GCTATAGAGACTGACTATCGAAGCAAACAATAATGAAGAAACGAGAGTTTCGTTTTACTATTTTTTTATTACAATCTGACATGTGCAATGCATATACAAACAGCAAGTGTATTACTGCGATCAAGTTGAATACTGTGCATACATACAATTAATTAGAGAACGAAAAAAAAAGGTAAACTTCGTGCGCCATCAGTTACAAATGTGGACAGAAGTGAAGAGACGAATATATCTTTATATATATATGCACGTATGTATGTCTTTCTCTTTCTGTTCTTTGGCACTGAGTTAATGAACATTGTCGTTCGATATTTACGCTTAGCGCTCACGATAATGTCGTATATCTTAAAACAAGGAAGAAGAAAAAACTAGAGAAAAAGAGAAAGAGAATGATCTATTTGTCAAAAAGAGAAGGCAGACTACAGCAATTTGATGTTGACATGCAGTTGACCTATAATCATCGTTAAAAAAACGACAGAGAAATAGAATATCGTCCATCATTATCAGTGACTAGGGATCTCTTCTGTTTTTTCTTCTCTTCTTCTCCTCTCTTTTTTTCAATACTAAATGGAAGACAGACAGTGCGAGAGACCGAGAGAAAGAACACAGAAGAAATTACTCGTCGATCCGTTATCATTCGATAGATCAAATTTCGTACTCATCAGAAAGCGGTGTATCCTCTTCGTTACATTTCATGTTTACATTCGTTTCGTAACACATAGATGTAAACGTGTGTGTGTGTATGAGTACCATTGCTAGTCGATTAGAGAAAAAGAAGAGCAAGAAGAAGAGGATATCTGTGTATTTGACATTTGGTCAGAATTGAAAGTGATTGTTACTTTTCTTCTTTTTCAATCATTTGCTTTTGTTATCGATTTTAGTCGAATGAGAAAAAAGATACAGGTGTATATGTTGTACATGTATATGAACATTCTCTTCTTCTTCTTCTTTTTTGTTCTCTTGCTTCTTTTTAATCCCAATACTATTGCTGCCAATCTCGATTCAGTTGTATATCCTTCTTCTTCTTTCTTTTTCCTATTTTTTTGTATGTGTGTGAACGCACAAGCATTTTTCATCGATGAGGTTTTTTTGTTCGTTCTGATGATATACGACGAGGGAAAAAACTGAATGTATGTGTTCACTACTCCAAGATATGAGACGAAGACAGACATAAGGAAAGCAATGGGTAGACTCTGTCTCTCTCTCTCTTTTATGTTTTTTTTTCTGAACTTTCTGTCTCGGGCACAAAAAAAGATAGACGATGTGACGACCGACAAGAAAATATGAGGCAGCATCGACTGAGAATAGTGGTGAACGACATCGACAGAAGATGGATATAGAGATATGTGCTAGATGAGAAATGTTCATCTTTTTCTTTTTGCTTCGCCGTTTTCTTTGTGAACTATGCGACACACATACGCATATATATAACTAGACAGATATATATAAACCATTCGCATTGATGACAAAAAGAAGATGAAGTAGAAGAAGCCTCTATCCTCTCATTTGAGTAGGGTAACAAGGAAGAACTGTAATTTTCCTAGGAAGATAGAGTGAACGAGAAAGCTATGATGATAACCATTATCATTGTCATATCAAGAGTATCTGTAGGAAAGAAATGTCATCAATATTTATAAGGGTAGGACTTATTAAATTGTTTGTTCGGCGTGTTTGTGCTAGTCTTTCGTGTTCATCATCATTATCATTCATCTGAACGTGATATAGAGAAATAGCTCATGATAGGAGAGAAAAAAATAAAAAAACATGCGAGAGTAAGATATCCTCTAACCTGAATTTAATATGCAGCACCAGCCGCGTACATTCGACACAGTGAGCAGATGGTACATAGTGATTGAGAGTGAGAGAGTAAAAAAAATGTGCTGTATGTGTGTGTGTCATTTGTATACGTAGTAGGAAAAAAACGACGATCAGAGAATATCAAACTTTAAAACAACTGTCTTAATGATTTTTTTGCGAGTAGTTTAAAAGGTCAGTTATAGTACAAGTGAAAAACCAATTTTTATCTTATCTTTGTTCTTTTCACATATTGACGTTGAATAAGGACAAAAGGATGAGCTTTATTCCCGTGTCTATATCACGCAAATTGTCATCCCATGTCTCGTCGAGTAAATACCATAATATATAAACGAGAATACGACGGAGATAGAGAGAGAGAGAAAGATACTTTTATTTGTATGCTCAAGATATCATGTCTCTTCATTTCTTTTAGATTAATTTTACTTGCGTGAGTGTGTATTTGTATATAAAACAATGGCTACATCTTTGGCTGATTTTCATCAAATGATAAAATTATTTGGTGCTGATCCAGACGAAATGAATGTTACTAATGGAAACGAGGAACCTGAAGAAGAAGACGAAGAGAATGAAGCCGAGTTGCAACTTGACGAAGAATCTTCACCTATAACAAGTGGCGAGGAAGAAGAAGAAGAAGAAGAAGGAGAAGATGAAACAGTTAAAGATAATCAACGATCATCAAAAACTAAACCGATCTCATCGGCAGCAGCTGCTGCGCGTTTATCACGTTTAGCCAATCAACGCATGGATTCCAATCGCTTTTTAATTTGTTCAGGAACAAATTCTTACAATACAATACGTAAAACCAAACATGAAGTACGACGTTTTGCATTGTACTTAGAAGACACCTTCAACGAAAAATGTCCCATTGANGAAGCAGTTAAAGGTGATCGACGATCATCGAAAACTAAACCGATCTCATCGGCAGCAGCTGCTGCACGTTTATCACGTTTAGCCAATCAACGCATGGATTCCAATCGCTTTTTAATTTGTTCAGGAACAAATTCTTACAATACAATACGTAAAACCAAACATGAAGTACGACGTTTTGCATTGTACTTAGAAGACACCTTCAACGAAAAATGTCCCATTGACGAATTGAAACCTGAACAATTGTGTACATATTTAAAACACTACTTTGGCAATGTTCGAAAAGCTGATAATACCGAATATGAACCTGATACATTACGAAGCTTTATGTTGTCAATTGAACGTTATTTGAAATCTCGTCAATATCCATACAATATACTTGAATCGCCTGTTTTTGCGTCATGCCGAGAAGTAATTCAGGAAAAGCGTGATACATGGGCTAAGCCAACAAAGAATATCAGTAATTCGAAAGTTGAAGCATTTACATCCGAACATGAATCTTTACTTCGTCAAATGAACATCATCACGCGCGATACACCAGATGGTTTATTATTGGAATTGTTAATCAATAATTCGAAATATTTCGATCAACGTGGCAACGAATCAACAATAAATCGTTCATTGTTATGGGGCGATTTAGAAATTAAAACTGATCCAACAACATCCAATGAATATATTGAATACAAACGATCGACGGTAAATCTGCGTGCATACGCTAATCCATCTCAATCAAACTATTGTCCAGTTGCCAGCTTACGTCTTATGACGTACCATCGGCCAACACAGTGTTCAAATGCAGATGCACCATTTTATCTCGTGCCACGAACATCAACTGATCAACGTGTCTGGTATAAAACAATTCGTGCCGGACGCCATCGACTAGATTTATTAATTCAACAGTCCATGCAAAAAGCTGGCGTACAAGGCAAATTTTCTTGCATGAGTTTACGAAAAGGCAAAATAAAAGGTTTATTAATACCATCAACAAATTCAGAATTGCTTGATTTATCATCATCGAATTCTGCTAAAAAAGTCAAACGAGAATCGACGACATCCAATTCATCGTCAGTTATGATCAAACCAGCTGATATTATTCTTCCACTTCAACCATCTGAAAATCATCAAGATGATATACCATCACCAATTGCAGTCTCATTGAATAATAAACGCAAATTGACATCTAATGATACATTTCATGCGCTCTATTCTGCCGCACATTTAAAATCTTCACGACAATCAAAAATTAACCTACTAAGAAAATATCTTGAAGACACACTTGGCTTAGTAGAATTTCTTACTTTATATGAATATTTAAGTCGAAATTCCTATATTAAACTACAAGGCACTCCTATTGAACATTATGAACATATTTTACCTGTTTTACTTACATTACTTATGCTTGAAAATACTGCATAAAATCAATCGAGTTCTATTCCATAGAGTCAATAATTATTCTCAAGTGAAATGATTATATATGTAGAAATGTTCTTCTAGTCGTTCTTATATCTCATTTCTCTCCGTTTTCTTGTCGTGCCATTCCAGTTTCTCTTTTTTCGTGTACGTGTATGTGTTCATGAATGTTTTTGATGTTGGTTTTTTTTTTGCTCGAAAAGAATATGTATCAAAGATGATAAATGATGTTTAAAATATAGATACTGTTGTCTACAAATGGATCATATCAACATAACCAAGGATTTCTTTACACTTTGGATTCTAATAGAACGATACAGAGTGAAGCGGTTAATCCGATATCGTATACGGTCTTATCGGATTATAGATGTATGTGTATCGTTGAAGTCTCATCCGTATCCGATGGGGCCATAGATGATTTAGTTGGAAACTCGATAATGATAACATTGACGAATCCTTAGAGTGAAATTCAGTCGGAAATCGCACCAGGAGATTTTTCACCGAAGACTCATATCAGTTGATCGGATCTGGTGAAAATCATTCGATCAAAATATCTGATAATGATTGTTGTACGATCATCGCTTGTTCGTACAACGATGTATTATTTAAATTTTCAAATCTTTAAATACATGATAAGTTCTAAATGTGATTCTCGCGTTATCGAGTATGAGAATTAACGACAAGTAATGCGGCATAGTAGCCGCTGACCTTCTACGAAAAGGATATCATCAGATTCGTCACATTGTTCAAAAGAATGATATATTTTCTTTTATTTCATTTAAATGATCCAATATTTTACTCATACTCACTTTGCTTCATAAAATCACCTCAAACTAACGCCTAGTCGTTGGCACATAATAAATTTTGATAATATTTTCATACAAAAAGAACCTCGTTCATATTGAGTCGCAGTCTGCAATCAAAGTTATCGAAATTCTTCATTTCTACGCGATCTATAGTGCATGTTTTATTGTTCTTCGCAATTTAATGAGCTGCTAATCCACAGGGCTTACTCTCGAAACTCGAAGAGACATTAATTATGTTACTTCGAAAATCATTGACACTAGCTGAAATTCTAACAAATATCGTCTTTCAAGTAAATCTCTAAGTGAATATCTACGTTTCCTTTTATGGTCGTTTCCGAAGTGATGATCTTCCATTTATTTAATTATCAAAAGAAACTAGATAAAATGTTTCTTTTATGATTTATGGTGAAAAGAGCACCCATTATAGTGCTGCATATGTTTCGAATATTATTTGTACAGTCGATATCTCTGTAGCTAACGCGATGAAATTAGACTATCAAGCATACGTGCGAAGGAAATCTTACCCAAGTGATTCTATGGTTGAAAATTCTGCAAAACTTTTCATGCCGCTTCTATAAGTCTAGAAAACATCGAATGAATGTATGCGTTGACAATAACACAGCCATCTTAGCTGTGCTGAATGCTGTAAAGTATAGAAATCAGCTCAAAACACTATTTTTTTGTTCAAATCTGTGCTTCGCTTGAAGAGAGTCAAAGTGTCAAAAATATGTTACCACGAACAGTTCAAAAAATATCTTAGTACTATATTATACTGAGAAAGTGAGCGCATTACTAAAACCAACCCGTGTGCCCTTCACCGTTCGTGTAATTTGATTGGGATGAAATTTTCACTGACATATTTTTACATCAGAATCTCGCTGGAATTTGGAAAGCCTCGACAAGACGAAGATGGAAAAAACAACAATCAAGTCCCTCAATGACTTTTTATGTTCGCCGCCTGTTTCGAGCGTAGTGGAAAGACTTTTTATTAGTCTTCTTCTCAACTCCTTTACTTTTTTCTTATAAGAATTTGTTTAAGAAGCCACAAATAACAGAAATATTTTTCGTCTCAAAAATTTAAGAAAAGAAGAACGTCATTCACAACCTAATTATATAAAAAGACAAGCTGATTTTTTCATTTCCACATAAACAATCTCTTAATTTGAGTGGATTCTGATGTCGATGAAAAAGACATAGATCGCCAGAACACTTCGACACACTTACGAAGTGTTGTCAAGATATACACTCAACCGGATGCTCGTGCTCAATCCATCGATAGTATCGGTGACGAAAAGGCTTTCATCATCACATCCGGATCATTAGGTCAACGCTTGGTTCCCGGCATTCATGGCTTTCCACAAGTGGATGCCATATACATCTTCTATGGTAACAAGTCAAGGGTGTCTATACAAATCTCAAAGAAATCTACGACGCAATGACAACGGACATCAAAGAACAAAATGAAGACTCCATTGTCATGAGTTTTGTCACCGAAAGAGAGAGAGAGTCCCAATCCAAATCTCAATATATTGGAACCAAGCTTTATGTACACGCAAATATTCAAGAATATCCTCCTTGAGACGAAACACGATAAACGAGCCATCACAGATTTAGCAAAGTATTGTCACGGATCCTTTCAAGACAACATTGGAGAGAAAATGGTCACCGATGAATTCGAACGTGATTCACGTTGGACAAGGCTATTTGGTAGTATACACGTGAGTGTTTTTACCCATCAAATGCTTAACCGGGCACTTTGAACGGCGAAGTCATTGTTAGCATAAGGTTTTTCCTTCATGATTTATACAACCAAATACAACAGGTCAACAGTTACAAAGGAAACTTTTCGTAGTCTACCGTGGACAAAGGCTATCGAAAGCAGATTTTGAAAAGTTATCAGCATTTGTAGGTGGTATCGTGTCTTTCAATAACTTTCTGTCTGCCAGTAAGAAACGAGACAAGTCTCTTGAATTAACGTATTATGCTCTACATCATCCCAAGAAGATCGGTATTCTATTTGTGATCACCCCATTCGCGTCGATTGGAGACTGGGATTATTTCAAAGACAAGGCAGAAATTCTTTTCTACACACATCGTGTGTTTCGAGTTGGTACAATTCGACAGATGGAAGACGGAAATAAGGTTTATCAGTAGATACAACTTCAGTTGACTGCTGTCGATGGTCCGTCACTGCGTATGCTTACAGAACGCATTAAAGATGAAATTGGAAGTGGCACAAGATTAAAACATTTGAGTAAACTATTGCTCACACTAGGACAGCTAGAGAAAGCCAAAGAATTGTACGCTGTGTTACTGCTGAAACAAACTTTTGACGAGAATGACAAAGCACATTATTATCATCAGCTTGGTTGCCGAGAAGTTACTCAAAATGATTATCAGATGACCATAGAATATTATGAAAAAGCAGTTGAAATCAAAGAGAAAAGTCATCCTCCAAATCATCCGAATTTAGCCACTTCGTACAACAACATCAAAGACTATTCAAAAGCACTTACTTATTTTGAACGTGCTCCAGACACTTGGCAACGTACACTACCTACGAATCTCCCCCATATAGAACATGTAAAACAAAGCATTGAAAGTTGTAAAAGCGAAATGGAGAAACAAAAGAGTACTGTTCCTTTTCTTTATTGAAATAATCTGCTATTATTTATATGCGCGCGCAGAGTACAATTCTGTACAGGTAGCAATGGCGAAACACGGAAACACATCCATTCGAGATAGGCAACACATGTACATACGAACATATATATGTGTATCAAAGGCCTTCACAGATATAATTGTGTTTAAAACAATACTCAATATCAAAAGAATTCATATAGAATATCTAAAGTACAGGACTTCGGTGCAAATCATAGGATTGTTTGTTTTCGCTGTTGAATGAAGTCTCGGGTAGTGTCGATAAGAATGAAAATGAAGGAAATCGATGAACATATGTAAGAAAGGCTAGTTTAGATACTCATGAACGATTGTGTATCACACATTTTGAAAACATCAACATATTATCGTAATGTTTTCAGTGATGAAAACAGCTTTTTAAATAGCGACTCATGTTCACAATTGGATTTGTTATGGAATTACTTTTGCTGCATAACACCATTGTTTTTTTAATTTCCGTTGATATATAATTCCTAAAAACATAATTTAAAATGTCGTTCATCTACACCTTCACTAATCACGTGTTCATGTTGCCGTACTGTTCCTAAATAAACACCATTATAGATTGGATTTGTGCATCAATATGTGGTTCATGATTGAAAATCAGCTGTGATGATATTACGTAGGATGGACTGTTCTGTATGAGATATTTTTCAATAGTGAACTTAGATCAGCAGCCGAATTTTGATAAAAGGCAAGGTCGAAAAGTACTATGAAGTTGAATTTTTGTTTTCACTTCGACAAATAGCATAAACGCCATTCAGGTAAGTCAAAGATATACTGTTTGGAATAGTTAGTTTGTTGTTAATGAGGACAAAACACAAAATTGATACTAGTTTCTACCGTTACAATTGTTAGGTGACTACGGAAAGGATACTTCTACGAGGATTATGTAAAGTCGAGGCAGGATTCTCTGCAGTCCACATTGTAATCTATCTTCAATGTGTTTAATCATGGTACTAGTAGTCAATAAAGTTCATAATTGAATTCAATAGACAAAATACTGAGATCAGTTCTAATTTCCTCTCAAAACCAATCTTGTTCATAAATAAACCGTATATAATTTCAAAAGGAAACATTAAATAATAAAAAACACTACTCCTACATGCACCAATAGACTGAAAAATAAGCCTTAATATCAAAGATAACGTAGGCTTTACAAGCAAGAAACGAAGCATTTTATCATAAAGCTCATCATCTTCGTGAATACATGTATCAGAAGACTATTACGCATTATATACTCTTGTCTATACTTCAACTTATAGAAGTGTAACTTGTTTACAGTTTGACTGTTTGCCGATGGCCATGCCCGTAATAATTATCTGGCAAACCGGTAAAATTTGTCTGAGATTTACCATTTTCAATCTTCAAATCATTCGTTCCGTTCCTATCATAATCTAACCATTGACACACAACAATTGAAATAAGGAAACCAAGTAAAACAGCGAGAGCTGCACACAGAACGGCCAATGCAACAATAATACGTTGTTTGGTTGGTTCACTCGAATTAGTTTGATTGGCATCTTGTTCACTAATATTATTCGCACGATTATTACTCGTTATATTTGATAGAAGTAACGAATTGATTCTCATTTGATGTTCTTGTTGTTGTCTAACATTGATTACAGTAGTAGATATCGGTATTGTTGTTGATTCTCCATCATTTCCACCGTCGTCCTCATTGTCGCCGTCTTGCGAGTGAACCATTTGAGTTACTATGAAGAAAGAAAGTATGAACATAACAGCATTTTCAGAAAGTTTCTATGCTGTTTTACTATTTTGAAGTGTAATAATACAAAGAAGAATATGCCACCAGATCATTGACATGGATTGAGTATCTACTATGGATATTATATATAGAATGATATATCGTTGATGTCTCCTCACTGTTTCTTTTCTTCGAATGTTAGGAGCGAAAAACAGAAAGAAAAAACAATAAACGAACTGAAATCTGAGCTCGTATAGCATGTTGAGAACAATCACGGATACCACGAGGAAAAAACACCAACGTACACACTTAATTTAAGTCATCATCTTACCATGTATACATGCATCTGACATAATAGATGTTCTATGTATCTACATTCTGTGTCTCTTCGTACTTTTCGTTTTTTTTTTGCTATTGATATTTGATCGTGCAATTCAAAAGGCGATATTGCAGATAATGATGCATACAACGAAAAAACAATATAGACGAAAATAAGGTTAGATATTTATGTGTACTCTCTATAGAGAATATCGTACTTACTTTTGCTGGATCTTAGGTTAAAGTATGACTGCTCATGCAAAATGATAAGATAGTGGTATCTGTTTGAATAGGAATATCGTTAAGCTCAATAGACTGAAGCATTTCTAGGAGGCTATCTATTTATTTAGTTAATTTTTGCTAGTCACCGAATATATGTGCTTTTGTATCAAAGTTCAACAGTTCTCTTTTAGAGATCAATCTCAGTAACCACCTTGATCCTTGAATACACGTTCAATATCAGCATTGTGTGGGTTTACAGGCGGCAACCAATGAGGTTTATTTTTCTGTAACCAAGACCAGAGAACATCGGAAGTAATTCCATGACCATATTGATTGATATGAAAACCATCAACACTTTCGATCAGTTGCCATGCTTCGCCGCCTTGTGCTTCCCATTCGTCAATAGCTTGCTCGAATGGAAAATCAATATAAGCAACATCAAAATTACGTGGCGAATACGAATACGTTGCATTACGTACAGCAGCGGATAGATCGACTGCACGTTGTGTAGTTAAATCGCGAAGGGTTTCATTCGATGAAAGCCATCCGTTACACGGAGAAATTTGTAAACATGTTAAATAAGAATAAACCTGTGTATATGTGATAGGTGGGCCAACACGACCTAATGGATGGATGCGGTCATGAAGAAGTTGATAGAGAAGACTGCCATTCGCTAAACCGGTTGTCAAAACATGACTACCTTTTGGTAAAACTGTATCAAGATAAGCTAAGCCAGTCAATGTATTATTTAACATTTCTTCAACTGTAGTCATATGTGCAATTGTATCCTGATGACCATTACAAACATCGTTACCTACTAGTGAATAAATGACTAGTAATGGTACGTCATTTTGTTGATCACGTGTTAAAGATTTAGCAATAGTGAGAATCGATTTACTATTGGCTCCATTGACAGCAATATTTTGATAATCACGATGATTGCAGTGGTCAAGATCGAATAAACGGGCGTAGAGTGACCGAGTCGGCCCTGTAAACAATAAAATAGATATCTATATACTCATTAAGTTCTTCTCACCCTCAATATTTGGCCACGTAATGTTGATATGACCTGTAACACCCGATAATTGAGGCCAATCCATTTCATTTTCAAGAATAAATAACAAGTGTTCAAAAGCACCAACGGATAATTGTCGAGCATCAAGCCATTGCTCAGGCAAATGGAAATGAGCAGAAATCGAATCTCCTAATACAACAATGCCAAGACGTTGTGTATCATTGCAAAATTCTTGTTCCCACGGATGACCTGTTGCTGAATCCATGCCAAATATACCATTACAATTCTCATCTATAGTAGGATCACCGTTGATTGAGCGTGCACCAGGACGAATTTTTCGCGAAAAATCATTACAATCTTTTCCACGCCATGAACTACCACGTAGTGATGATTCTGTGCCAAAATGATCGCCGTCGAAATCCAAAAGAGGTATATGATTATTGAACACATTGTCGAGAATTTTGCAAATTTCTCGAATACCGGGCAATGTGCACACTTTCGAATCGGTTAGTGATAGACGTGATCGATGGCGATGACGAAGCTTAAATCCACTTTGAGCAACTGTCAATGTTGATTTCTTTGGAAACAAACGGCATTCAGGTTGACCAGCATCATCTGTACAGATCTTTAGTGCGTGACAAATAACATCAGGTGTTTCATGATTCAGAAATCCATCAACAATAATCGGACCTAAATAATTGTGCTCCTTCACGACGAAAACTTCAGCATGAAGTTTAACCTACCTAAGAATTCGATTGCTTCTTTGCAATACACTCGGAATTGACTGGGCAAATAATTACAAAATCTTTCAAGTGACGAGACAATACTCTCATTGTATAGAATTGATAGATGTTCAATCACACCAAGAGTGATTGTACATGAAGCACAATCTACACCGCCATTGACACCTCTACCGTGTACTATAGGGAAGAAAGCAATGAATAACACGCAACAAGAATAAATTAGGCCAATATTTTGCATCTCTCTTTGATTTTCTCAAATAACATAGTGATAAGAACATATCAAACCCGCACATTCATATTTCATACATGATAATAACATAAAAGTGAGAAGAATGTCATCTGTATTCTTCTTCACTCTTATTTATGACTCTAGATTAATTCTGTATGCTTTTCAAAACTTAATCTCAAACGATTATACTTATCAGTTATTTATAACATTACGGTCTCGATACATTATCTGACTTCAATAGAAAAAAGCAGATTTTTCTTGTGTTGTTTTTTGTTCTACTTCGCTTTCATATTATAAGTATTTAAATGATCTACTCTGCAAGCTTTAATACCGTTTTGCATCAGCTAAGTAAAGTAAAGAATGAAAGCACTTTCACTTGTTCTAACCATTGTCTCATTAACGACGCTAACATGTGCAATTATACAAAATGGTCGATGTCCCTTTGCACAATATGCGTTTAGTGGACTGTCGTGTGCAACAGAAGGAGATGATAGTGATTGCCCAAATAATTATAAATGCTGTCCGTTGACTAATGGTATGAAATGTTTCAGTCCATGTCCAGAATTTGCTCAACCATGCACTCTTCAATGTCCGTTTGGTTTTGTCGTTGATCCATCACCGTGTACTAGTTGCGAATGTGCACCTGATCCATGTTTATCGACAGCATGTCCTTTGGGAACGAAATGTATTGTAACAGATTATAAACCGTGTGCCATTCAAGGACGATGTGGTAAAACGACTGAATGCGTCAATGATCTTTCTATTGAGGTTGATCCAACTCCAAAACCTAAAAACTGTCCTCAATACTGGCCAACAATGGGCAATGGCCTACAACAATGTCAAGGTCCAGATCGTCTATGTCCTGGCGAAGAGAAATGCTGTCAAGCTCCAACAAATGATATAAGTTCTCTTGATGCACCCAAAAGTTATTGTGTTCAACCATGTGACGATATTTCCAATTGTACACTGCAATGTACATTCGGCTTGGCTATTGATGGTGGCTGTCGAGTTTGTCGATGTAATCGTGATCCTTGCGAAGGTACTGTTTGTGCTCCTGGTCAAATCTGTCGACCACTACCAGCTCCGTGTGCGCATTTTCCTGGAAGACCTCCGTGTCCGTTGATGCCTGTATGCATGAAAGAGTTTTGATCGAATCGTTACTCTGTACGACATATTCATTCTTATATGTTTGTCAATGAAATAAAATACAACACATATAGTTCACCATCGAAAATATTGAAATTCTAACAGAAAATGCTTCTTTAATATATTTTTCTAGTGAAGGGATCATTAGCATAGTTGTTACTTAGATCGATGAAGGAGGCAAACTATTATAGATTTCTTTACTTTCATATATATTTGCATAGCCGTGAAAAATTGTGCTGACAGATTCTCTTTGCGGCATGTATAGTATAGACGTCAAATGGCTGCTATTATACAATTAATTCTACTCAATCATCTTCAAAACGTTTTGCCATTTAGATAGCAATGCATCTGTCGAGAGTACAGTTGGATAGAGATATCCACTGTCGATTTGTTTTCACGCCTACTTGAATATTCTTTATAATTAGAATTTAGTGGTCGAGTACTAAACGAAAATATCAATAAAGAATGGTGCGAATAAATATTCTATTTCTGATGTTTCTTGTTAGTCAATTTGACATGTCGTTTCGTCTAGTTATTTCACGGGAAATCCTGTCGGTGTTATATTGGAATTTTCGGCACATGGTTCGAATGGATGCTGAAGAGAGAGAAAGCTATTCCTATCAGTGGAAAATTAATCAACTACTAATACAAATAGTTTAGCGTGATGGAAAACAAATGCTTTCTAATCTTTGCTACTATTACAGTGGTATACTCTCTCTGTTACTCATGGACCATGATCTATGATCGACAATAGATTCTAATATATACATACATATTTATATTCATGTCTTGTACATATTGTGTACACGTCGGTGTCAGCTTTCATCCATAGAGATAATGATACGACAGAAGACAGCTGAAATAAGTAAAACAATTTGATATTGAAAGAGATAGGATGTACGTGTTGCTTTTGGTCTCGTTCTTCTTTGTTGACCAGACGAAGGCCCAACGACTTTCATTCGATACCATTGTCAGCTTTGGTGATTCCAATACAGACACTGGTCGAGTTTATGAACTAACTCAGCACACGTGGCCCATCACTCCACCATACTATCAAGGTCGATATTCGAATGGTCCTGTTTGGATAGAAAGATTAGGTGTGTCAAATCTGAAAAACTACGCTTATGGAGGTGCAACAACCGATGATCATCTAGTTGAAGGATATGCAGCGTCGGATACGAAGCGTGTACCAGGTATTCGTCAACAGATTCAAATCTATTTAAATGAAACTAATCGTACTGGAATAGATTTCACACGGACTCTTTATGTAATTTGGGCTGCTGGAAACGACTATTATTTCAGTGACAGAATTACTCCATTCATTGTCGCAGCTAGTATCACAAATGCCGTTAAAGATTTGATTCAGATTGGCGTGAGACATCTCCTGGTTATTAATTCGCCACCTATACACATTATGCCATTTATTCGAACTAAATCACAAGCTGACTACTTCAGACGCCGTACGATTTATCATAATAATAACCTTTCTCTCGCTCTTGACAAACTTGATTACAATCCTCAAGAAATTTCCCTGTATCTATTTGATATTTATTCGTTGATTTTAAATCTAACAACAAGTAACTCAACAAATGCACTCAAGACTAAAAACTGCTGGGAAGTCACCAACGGTAATGTGACTGCATTATGTCCAAATCCTGATCTATATGCTTACATTGATCAAAATCATTTTTCAGCACGAATGCATGATTTAATTGGACATGCTGTACGTCAATTTCTTCCGAATTCATCCGCAATAATGAAATCATCATTTTCTTTTCATATTATTTTATGTATTTTCATTTTTCTTCACCGGATTCAATAGTTACCAGAACTTTGCAGACACTTTCTCTGATAGATCACTCGGTTCGTTTCGACTTTCTGTATGATACGTGTTCGTTTGGAAAAAAATTCATTCTAGTCGATGCTGGTTTTTTCTTGTAATCGTTTGTTTCGTAGGATCCAATAGATATTCATCCCATTTGAGATTGTTTTTCCCATTTGATTATGATAAAAAAATAGATAAGCGCCCTCTACGACTTTCATGAATATACATGTTCATTCGATCCATGTATTATTCTATCTATCTATCTATCTTTTCTATATCGAATGCTTGATTGACACTTCCATCCATTCGAATTGTAAGATGCAGGGCACGGGATGAACAGAAAGAAGAAAAGCGAGTTTCATTGTTTTAGATGCTATATACTTTTCTTGCATGTTTTCTTATTATTTTCAATCTTTTCAATACATCTTCAACATCAACAACAGCTGCTATTTCGTCATTAACTGCGTCATACCATGATCCACTAATTCTCAATTTTCTTGTGTTTTCCTCAAATTTAGAAACTGCTATTACCTTCGATGTTAAAGTTGGCTGGATACTTAATGAACAAAGGAAATTCCGTATATATCTAAGTGGTGTCAATCTCCATAATAGTTCGATTGTTTTCACATCGACTGACGAATGTTTATCAAATGATTATTTAACAGACATTTATCCGTTAACTTCCACGGCACCTGCCACCATCGATGTAGAACTCCCGAGCATATCGAAATCTCATTCAATTGTCCATGTTTGTTTATTAACATCATCGAATACATCCTTCTCTCTCGCAAATAGCACGACATCATTAAATGCCACTAAATTAGAAGGAGCTTATTTTACACTCGTGAGAGAAAAGGGTCGTTTACCCTTTGCAGCGAAAATATGTTTAATTCTGATGTTGTTCATTATATCAGGATTCTACAGGTGAGCAAGAGCGACGATTTCTATTCAACTGATTAACAGACCACATATTGTTTTGTAGTGGTTTGAATTTAGGTTTGATGTCGATGAGTGTGAACGATTTAAGTTTGATAGCTGAATCCGAAGATGGTGCACTTCGTTATTATGCTCAACGTGTTTTACCACTGAGAAAACGCGGCAACTTTTTGTTATGTTCAATAGTTATTGCAAATGTTTTGGTTAACTCTCTGGGTACTGTTTTACTCGATTCTCTTGTTCATGGTTTATTTGCTGTTATTGGTTCGACCATCATGATCGTATTAATGGGTGAAATTATTCCTCAAGCAATTTGTTCGCGTTATGGATTAGTTATTGGTGCACATACGCATGTGATAACATGGGTAACAATGATTCTTACCGGTGTCATCTCGTATCCATTAGGTTTTATACTTAATAAAATCTTGGGTCAAGAAGTGACAGCATCGTATACACGCGATCAGATTGCTAGAATGTTAACACGTATTAGCGCTGATATAGAAAAACCTGAAATGGACGTTATTACGGGTATGCTTGAACATCTATTCTTCGAGTTTATCAATAGTTGATCGCTGTTTATATTCTGAAGGTGTACTTTCATTGCGTAAAAAGACGGTTCAAGAGGCTATGACTTGGTTACCGGATGTATTTATGATTGATAAAGATCGTAAAACGGATACGGAACTGTTGCTCGAAGTTCACAAACATGGCTTTTCACGCATTCCAGTTTATTCACACGAGAAGTAATCAGAATCTGTCTAATATTATTTTCATCGAAATCTTCCGTAGATCAAATGTTATCGGCATTGTTAAACTACGTGACTTTGCTTTGATTACTCCTGAACAATACCATTTAACTGTTAAGCATCTAATGGAATTTCATACGCGTAAGCACTTAACAGTCTTACATATTTGATTCGATTCCACCTATCAAAACTTTTCTTTATAGATCCGTTCGGTTTTACCAAGACAACAGATTCATTGTACAACTTAATGCAAGAATTTCTCAAATGTAGGAACGTATGCGTAGTAGTCGACGTGTTTATCTAATGATGTTTTTCGTTTAGCACGTTGGCATATTGCTTTGGTACAAGAATTACGTAATGAAGAAGATAATGTTGATCCAGTCTTCATTACTGTTGGAGTGATTACACTTGAAGATGTTATTGAAGAGATGCTTCAACGGGAAATTATTGAAGAAGCGGACTTCTTCAGTAAACTAAACTAAACTAAAATTTCATGAGAGAAAATAGTGAATTTATTTTACTTGTAGCGGATAATCGTCGTAAAATACAACGTAAACGAGCGAAAACAATGGATTATACAGCATTAGTCAAACGACCAGTTAAAGGTTAGCACTAGCATTCCGAAGTTCTACGAATCGATGTAAAACTTCTTTCTACTTCGCTTTAGGTCCATCAGTAAGCCCTCAATTAAAAGTTGCTGTCTTTCAATATTTAAGCACAAGTAAGTCAACGACATATGATCCTAAACACTTTTCCTCTTCATCCTAATTTTCAAAAGAGTGACAGAAAATGAGAGAACAGTGGTAAATTCACCATATTTTGCTCAGCATCATTGTTTCTCTTCATATGTAAAAGAACTCATTCATATTCATTTCTTTTATGTAGATGTGCAACAATTCACATCGGGTTTTATTTCACATGAAATCTTGAAGATTCTACTCAATTACAATATTTATGCGATGATAAAGCATCAAGCTAATCAAACAACAAATGCAATTTATTTGTATAAGAAAGGTTTTCGTTATGAACTATTTACATTAGTAATGCAAGGCAGTGCTACTTTGGAATCAGGTGTTGAACATATTATGTCCACCGTCGGGCCGTTTAGTTGTTTTGCTGGTTCAGCATTACTTGCCGAAAACAAAACCGTCAAAGACGTTCACCAATTTCTCGATCAATTGTTTACAAGTAATTCAAAAAGTGTAAAGATCACAAATCTGCTCGATGAGATTTCTTCAATATATATTCCCGATTACAACGTAATTGTCAACAGTGAATTACATGTTCTACAGATCCATCGTCTTGTTTGGCTAGCTGCTGTTCGTGCAACGCAAAAGCAACGTGGAAGTGATACGCATTTTCGACGAATGCAACCCGAACAGTTGTTATCACATGCACTAGATGAAATCGTAAGAGTTGCAAATAACTGAAACTGTCCTCTGATCATTACACTTTCCTTTTTCAGTCATCAGTTACCAATGTTCCAATTGATAAAACCAATTTAACAAATTTTCAACGTATTTTTCAAAACGAAAAAGATTTAGCACAAACTGCCAATGGAATTGGACATCGGGATACTCAAACATCATCATCTGTCTTTGAAGTTATACATTCTTTATCACCTGTTGACACCATAAAACCAACTGAATCAAATCAAGAATATCCTGTTCATGCAAATGGACAGCTTCCGAGTGAACAGCACGATGCGCTGACAGCATCAGTTATTTGTAATCCACTTCTCTTGAGTATACCAGCGTATGATCAGATCAATGGAAATGGATCTGTCAATGGCAATCTTCGTACATCGAGTAGCAATTCCACTAATTTAACAGATGGTGGATTTAATTCAAGTATGCATATTAATCGAATGTTCGACGACGCACTAGGACCAGTACGTGTACCTTGAGAATTTCTTTCATGGAATCGTTCTAACCCTATTATTGAACTTATCCTTTGTCTTTAGTTAATAGATGACGAACGAAATCAAGACGACGAAAACCTAATCGATTCACCTCGTAATGCAACTGGCGCTTTTGATCTATTTGATCATCCGGCAGCATCTACACCCATCTCACCACAATACTTGGTGCACGCACGTTCAGATAACGATCTTGTTCTTGATCTTCCATGTCCTCCTTCTAATGATCTGTCTCTTAATATTCAGAATGAAACCGTTAAATCGTTAACACATACGAAACGGTCGCATTCGACGAAATGTTCAGCATCTTAATCGTTTTATTCTTGTCAAATGACCTTTTCTTGCATGTACAAAGGAGCAGATAATTCTTCTTAATCACGATAACTACGACAATTTCCTCTTTTTTTTTTGTACAAATATGCTTTTTCTTCTCTTTCAAACATAACCAATCGATTAATCATATTTCATTCATTCGTTTCTACTCTATATTAATCTTTTTTATAAAATAAAAATGTAATTACAAGCACATATCATTCGATTTATTTGTTCGCTAAAAGAAAAAAATCAGCCATACATATCAGATCGACAGGCCAAAAACTGATACAATCGCATACATAGTTTTGTTCTCCCAACTAAAACAAATGAAATTCTTTGAACTTTTCTTCTTTCGCAAAACACTTTCGATGCCTACCGAACAGTACACGACCCATCCGTTGTGTTATCCCAAAAGCACGAACTTGCCGTGTGTAAACCTGCACCATTCTTTTGCATAATAACACATGAGACAATGTATTTAAAAGGCTTGTTTAATTTTGTCAAAGAATTTAAGATAGCTTCGACAATGTTCGATGTCCATGTATTAATTTTCGCCTGTTGATACGATTGCGAGCCGATCGTTGCTTCGATTGCTTCTTTCGTGATATTCGATACTTCATCAACAATGAAACTTGTGTCGTGTGTATCATCCATGATTGAGTTAAGAATTACCTACAAATGAGAAAGGCAGTCGGAGTGTATATAGATGTAACAGTCTTCATCATCATGCGCATACCGCAGAGAGAAATGAAAGAACGAGGTCGAAAGAGAGAAATATGTACGTATGCTTGGAATAGAATTAAAATGTATGTGATGTCGTTGTTTGCAGAAGAACGATTAGAGAATACAAAGGACAGGAGAGAGAGAGAGAAAATTGAGTATGATGAATGTGAGAATTGCAATTCTTGAACAAATTTAATTTGCAAATGTGTTGATAGATCGTTGGTTGAACAAAGCTAGTTCATGTTTTTCTCACGCTTCAAATTTAACTGCGTCTGGTGAGAGAAGAAAAAGAAAAGAACAAGATTTGTTATACTGATAAGAACTTCGTACGAGCGACAATTGGAGTATGCATTTGCTGGTTTATTCTTCTTCTTCTTTTTCTTTCTTACATTCTGTTGTTAAAACAATGTAGATACGTGTGTGTAACAGATGTGACATTCGTCCTTGAAAAAATAAGATCCTTTTACCATTTTGGCTTTTTTTCTTCTGCGATATTTTGAATAAATGAAAGAAAAAGAGGAACATATTTAATCTCATATAAAAAAAAAGGAAAAAGAAAAACGACGTTTTATATGGCTATTACCATAATTTAATTCCTTCATAAAAGTAAAGCGAAAATTATTATTGCCAGGTTGACCTATGCATCAGAAGGTGGCACTGAGTGTATGAAGAGGGTAACAATGTCATTGACCATTGTCCTTTTTGTTTTGTCTACAATGAATGTGCCATAAACAGCGAATCATGACTCTTTTACTTGCAGACGTATACTTTCGAGCACAATAGGTGTTGAAGTGTATGCATTAAGTATAAAGACATACTCGTTCGATTTTGAACGATAAATCCGAACGCGCATTTTTATTGTATTAAGTTCATTTTTTCAATTGATTTCTAACATTGTGTATAAAACGATTAAGATCAATCAATTTTGAGATTATGTCATGAAAGACGCGTCTACTAAAGTCTACCGCGAAAAGATTTTGATTCTTGTAGTTTAACTTGCCGATTGTTATCTCTGCCATTCTTCTATGGCCCATATCGATCTATACCACATCTAATCTAGGTTTCTATATGAACCACAACAATGTTTTGAGATTGTTCAAACTCATCGCATGTCGTTGGTTGATAACGAAACAAAAGAACATAATGAAGAAGATCTAGGTAGATACTATGAGCTTACACGAACTAGAATTAATACGAGCCGAAAAATATTGCATGATTATTAAATATCATCAATGCCGTTGCACTCGAAAAATAAATGATGAGTTTCTTTATTGATTAGTTATATGAACAAAGCTTCTTCTTTGTTCACGTTGTTGTTATTATGATCATCTTTATTCTGAAGACCGATTTTAATCACGTATTCTCGAGAGACAGTAAAAATAATCAAAGAGAAAAAGATAATGATTGAAGGACAGGCAGGAGAAAAGCTCATATTTAAAATATGCATGTTGGCAAATAGGCGAGCATCGTAGAAGACGAAGTCATATCGAGGCAATGACAACACTGGAGGACGAGGCCTGGCTTGAACTTAAAGCGGATGAAAGTATGTGTCATGTCGATCGGTAGTTTTGTTTTCGACGTTTTCTCAATAGAAATCAATGAAATTGTCTCTGAACATGTTGAATCAAGAAAATCGACGCTTATTGGAGATAACATGGTTCGAACGGCAAGTTTTACTGAACAGGTGGCTATTTCAACCACGACAATAACTGTAACCTTACCGGTACCACCACCATCAGCCACTACTACACGAGAATTATGGACAAATAAAGTCGAATTTCTTCTTTCGGTGATCGGTTACGTTGTTGATTTAGGTAAGAATATACCTTCAAATAATCTAATATTTTCATATTCATCTCACAGGTAATGTGTGGCGTTTTCCGTATATGTGTTATGATAACGGCGGTGGAGCATTTCTTGTTCCATATATGATCTTTCTATTTCTCATTGGAATTCCCATGTTGTAAGTTGAACAAATTTGTCTAATGATCCGAGTACTCGTCTTCTACTAGATATCTCGAATTATTTTTGGGTCAATTCTATGGTTGTGGTAATATAGCATTATGGCATCGAATAGCTCCATCGATGAGAGGTATTGGTATAGCATCATTTTTTATTGTCACTGCTGTCACGTTGTTCTATACAACCATTATCGGTATGTAATGTATCTACGCATCTACCTGAGTGCACGATTGACGTGAATCTGTATGTTTATTTATAGCACATTCAGTATTCTATTTATTTTCATCATTTCGCGAAGAGATGCCCTGGAGTTTATGTACTCATACGTGGAATACGAAAGCTTGTTCTGAACGTATGCATGTCAATGATACATCATCGACAACTAATGAATTCAAAGTTTCGTCGGCCGAAGAATATTATAATATATACATGTTAGGTATCGATCGTTCAAAAGGCTTAACTGACTTAGGTTATATCAAAGTCGATCTACTCCTGTGTCTCATTGCGATATTTGTTTTGATGTATATGTGTATTTATCGAGGGGTGAAAAGTACAGGTAATTGGAAACGAAAAAAGTTGAAATATTCATATAGATCCATACAACACTTCTCCTTTAGGCAAAGCTGTGTACGTAACAGCTACACTGCCCTATGTTGCTCTAGTCATGTTATTAGTTCAAGGACTAAATTTAAAAGGTTCACGTCAAGGAATAACTTATTTTCTTAAGCCCACATTCGAAAAATTAAAAGATATGAAAGTCTGGTATTCAGCAGCTAATCAAATCTTCTTCACACTTGGTCCCGGTTTATCTGTTTTAACTACCTATGGTTCATATAATGTCTCAACAAACAATTGTTACTACGATGCCTTGATATCAGTCATCGCCAATTTTGCAGCAAGTTTTCTCGCTGGTTTCGTTGTCTTCTCTGCACTAGGTCATATGTCCTACCGTTTGGGCAAGAGTATTACAACTGTAGTTGGCGAAGGAGCAAGTATCTCATTTATAGCTTATCCAGAAATTTTAGCAACGTTTAAATATCCAACATTCTTCTCAATCATATTCTTTCTTATGGTTATTAATCTAGGCCTTGATAGTGATTTTGGTGGTTTAGAAGCCATGTATGCAGCGTTGAGTGATGGATTTCCTCCATTGAAACGGCATCGAAAATCGGGAATGTTCATTATGTGCTGTTTATTAGTTTTGGCATGTTTACCAACAGTCACCTACGGTAGATAAGATTTCACGCTCAACAAGACTGTCTGATTTTGTTGTACATTCAATAGGTGGTAACTATGTGGTGCAATTCTTGGACAGATTTTCTACAGGTCCCGCATTGATGCTTGTTGTCATGATGGAAGCCGTTGCTGCAAGCTGGGTGAGCAGCAATCATTGTCTTCAAAGCACACAACTGACTTTTTGTATGTAAAGGTCTACGGTATTAATAATCTTGTCACTGATATGCAAAATAATCTGGGTTTCGCACCGAGCTATTTCTTTCGTTTTGCATGGAAAATTCTCTGTCCTTCGATTGTCTTATTTCTTATGATTTTATCATTAACATATACAGATCGATTCGAATATGGAACTTATGTTTATCCATTGTGGTCAATTGTTTTTGGTTGGTCTATGAACACAGCTTTTATTTTGCCAATTCCAATTATGATGATCTATGAATTCGTACGGCATTCGGATCCGAAAAAATCCTTCAAAGAACGGCTCTTTTATCTATTCGTTCCAACCATAAATAGACGAAAATTAAAGCAACTCCAACTTGAGAGTACGACTTCACCATCTATAACTCATGTCTAGATATTGTTTGTTCGTCTTTTACTCTCTCTCCCTATTCATATAGCTGTATACTCATTATTAATTAGTGTTGCTAAATGGCCTTCTATCCGGTTTCCTTAGTATAAATTCTTTTAACACAACGAAAAACGAAAATAAATATATCCATACATATATCAGTATCACTAGAATGTCGGTGATTGAAGCATTCTCGCGCTCCGACATAGATCCGAATTCGATGCCGGTAGGGACGCCGATGGCGAGATAGTCAGTTGTCGTTTTTCGTTCGGTTTCTCATCAGCCGATAAACGTTGAGAAAACACTGGTCGACAGTGAATAAAATTAACTACAGCATTTTGAAAATCTGTTGATGTTAACCAATAGATCACGAATGAAACAACATGGCTTGTTGTTGCCAAACTACTCAATCCCATTGTAATCAAATGTCGATGACGTTTAATAATCTTTCCCAAAGAGATATAAAATATCGCGGATGGTGATGTAAATATAATGAAGAAGATCGTGATGAAAACTAAAGTTTTTGTCAATCGGCTACCGTTTGTCGACGGTTGACGTCGCGTAAATGAAAGTGTCGTTGTTGAATGTTTCTTTTGCGTTTTCGAGCGTATTTTCGATCGTCTTGTACGACGGCGCGATTCGTGTACATGACGAATAATTGCCATATTACATAAAATCATTAGTGTAAAAGGAATGAAATTATACAGAAGTAAATGAACAATCTCCCAGAACTGAAAGAATTGAGATCGGTAACACTTGATTTGGATCTGTGTCGAATTATTTTTATCAAGAACGATCGCTCGTTTTCCATTAATAATCCATATTGGAAAATTAATAAAAGCGAAGAGAATAATAGTCATCCAACAAAGATAATGGATAATATTTGGTTTTAATATATATTTTCTAATGGACCATTCTTGATGCAGAGATACGCAACGTGCAAATGTTGCCAATGTTTTCAACCAGGCAGCGCATTGCAGGAGAAAGTATGCGCCGAAAGAGACAAGCTTACAAACAAATAACGAATATTCTTCGAGATTCTTAATTGAACTATTCGTTTGACGTTTCCATATCAGTTCGCGTACAGCATAGTTTAAATTCCAAGTAAACGGAATCAAGAGTTCGATAAGTGCTACATAGGAAAAAACGATAATGGTTGCATTGGAACGATTCGGTATGACACGTTTGAATATATAAAAACAAAGAAGATTTAATGGTGTACCAACAAGAATCAATATGAATGAATAAATACCAAAGATAAGATAACCCCAATCGGCTAATGTTTCTAACATATTGATCTAGTCTAGAAGTAGAAAATTAGCTTTTTATATTCATATAATCGAATCATTGCTGAATAGAATACATCGAATAGTGTTTGTAGTGCAAACGCACGTAGTATTAATAGAGGAAAATGACTTGTTCTAAGCATTAGACATCGATGAGTCTTTTTCTCGTTGTCGTGATTTTCCCGAGTGTGTAATAATTAGGTTTTCCCCATTTTATTTCGCTCGATCGTAAAAGTCTTTCTATCGATAGGCAACAAAGAGAAAAGAAAGATAATTGTCGTTTATTATAAACAATGGCGTATAAAGTTATCCGAGAAAACAATTCTCTATGACAGTTAAGATATACCACAAACAACTGGACATATCTTACCAGTTTGCATATCAAGCACTATTCAAATATTCATCTCTTCTAAATATGTCTCATATCAATATGTCATCGAGTTAAGATATCTTAATTTCTAATGAAGTTTACTTGGAAAAATATAATATGTGCTTTTTATCTATAAATTAGCATTACTATCGATACTCGTACAAAGAATAATAAAGAGACAGAAGACGAAACTAGACGATAGGATCAATTATATCGATCAACGAGAGCGAGGAGAGCTAGTAAGTGCTATCCAAAACAACAAATGTGATATAATTACCAGGATGCATCCATAACTTATATTTAAATGAAGACAAATATAGGCTATATCAAGATAGATAATCTGTCATTGGCAAAAACATCTTTGTCTACTTTCAATAAATGCTGCTATTTTCATCGCTATGACATGAATACGCTCTCAAGATCATTGACTTCTTTTTATTCAGTTGACAAAGATAGCAGCTAGATCAATAGTGATTTATACTAATGGTTATTGGAAAAAATGAAATGGTATTTATGATGCATTTACAATTTGAATATGATTAGCAACGAGAAAGACTCATTTCGAGATTAAAATTCGTGTATAATCGGCAATATTTTATTCGAATCAAGAAATAATAATGCTATTCAGTATTATCTTGAGATTCAATTGTGAAAAAGGACAGAAATATGTGAAAATATTTCTACATTGTTTGCATACTAATCAATAGTAAGTAATTTAGTCAACATGACTAGTAGCGTCAAGAAATGCTCGAAAGAACAGTGTACGAGAAAAATTTAACATGCCACAGGGATCAACTTATGTAAGCATACTTTTTCTTCGAATATATAAATATTTTTGTCTATTCTGATGAGTAATTATATCGGAAAAATCATATGGTACTTCGCGGGATATCGATAACTTAGTAAAAATCTCGCGCATGACTAATTGGCATATTTGAAGATCGAAGCAAATAGAAAGATTATTGCTATAGATTGTGATGGCGAAGCTATGCGATATGTTTGCGATCAGATTGCCAAACAATCTAAGATAACAAGATGACGTCATGTATCATCAACATTTCGTCGAGACCAACTAGCAAAATAAATAAGTTTATGAGCGATATACAACTGTCAAATCTGGTGGAAATTGTTGATTAATTACAAAGGCTCACTTACCGATTATTTTGTCTTTCTAATTCAATCGACCGATCGAAACATGTATGTGTGCAGAAGAGAGAAACCGAGTTCAGACAAAGCAGCAAATCATGATGTCTGTAGGGAATTGAAGAAAGCAGAAAGAGAGATATTTCTTTATCCATCTCTCGTGTATATGATTAGAGAAAATCATATTCTATAAGGTTGTTCAAAAAATATGGATCTCTGAGTTTCTCGATTGTCGTTTCAGATTAGTAGACACATTCATATTTGTCTAAAGAATAATACAAATTAATTAAGTCATGGAATCTTTTAATGAATATTCAATCTTGAATCTATCAATTATGAAACAATAATTCTACAACATTGATAATCCTTTTGATAAAAAAGAAGCGTTTCGTTAGAAATAAGGCAAAGAATATTTTTCTTAAGATTTCTCTTTCGCCAATGCATTTTTCATTGCTTGTAAACATTCATCACTGGTAACAGCTTCAAAATATGCTTGTTTTTCTTGTTCGTTATCAAGAGTGTCTAAACTAATTATATTTGACCACCATTTTTGTTTAGTTGTTTGAAAACCTTGTAACGGCCTTTGACAAATCATTTTCAGCCATTTTCGTGATAAATCATCGGGGCTTTCGCTGCGTTCACATTTAATGGGAAAATCACTTGACGAATGTAGAGTAGCATCAACAAGAAGTCGATAACCTACGGACGGGTCCAATTGATGTTGAACAAGTTTAACTGCTTTTAAAGGATAAGGAATGCCAACAATAGGACCAGTTATACCGATACGAAATGGTTTTCGTGTGCCAATAGCAATATAATCGCATGAAAGAGCAAGCATTAGACCACCGGCAATTGTATGTCCATCAAGAGAACAAGCAACTGGCTTAGAACAATAGAGAGGAGCTGTCATGCCGCGACTAAGTGTTTCAAAAACGAATTTATCAATGGCCGATTTTTTACCAGCAACAGATAAATTGTAGACAGTCGACAGATCAGCACCGGCACAAAATGTGGAACTGGAAGAATAGAATTCATTGGAGATAAGTCATTTATCAACAAAATGATTACTTCAGATTAGAACGTAAATGAACACCTCTGACTTTGTCTTCTTTCGAAGTTTGATCAAACACTTCAACCAGTTCAGTCAATAGTTCAGGTGACATTGCATTTACCTTTGGACGATTCATCGATACGGTGAGAATTGCATCGGCAAATGATAGGCTTAATGTTTTCCATTGCCGCTGTAAGCTTAACATTTCGATTTCACAGACAACAATCAGAATATACTAAGATAAGCTATCTGAAAAATACATTGATTTATCGACCACATTTGTTTACTGAACACACACATTTATGAAGGTGGTTGAATTATTCCTCCGAGTGGTAATGTATTTGGATTTAATACAGAAATCTTTCTCATATTCAAGTAGACTATTATCGATAATAGGCGATGCTTCAGATGAAAATGTCAAGTTATCACAGAATGTATACCATAGTATCAAAACATTGAATACTCTTAATTAATGTACTCCAGTTTTGCTTATTTTACATTTCATCGGTATCGGCGCTTGCCTTTACTTTGTCATCTAATGAAAATGTTATATCTAAGTATCATACGATAGGTATTAACAAATCTTGAAGACGTGAAACAGAATGATTTTAATATTGAGATGATTTTCTATGATCTCCTATTTAGACGAAACGAAATCTAAAGAACCTAGACAAGAATTGCGTTGAATAAGAAATAAGCAGTACAATAAACGTCCTTAGAGATCGTAAGTCCTACAGAGTATCTCTGTAAACAAATATCTGTAAAAATAAACAAACGATAAAAGTCGACATTTTCCATGAAAAGGGAAACAGGCATAAGGTCTTTTCAAAAATAGTCTTTTTAGTCAAACATCTATATTATAGCTAAAAATGTTGTATCTTGTTTATAGTCCATCTGTAAGTACTTTACGTTACGTTCTGTATGTCGCCATCGTTTTGATTGATTCTGTCTAATAACAAACAGTAATATTCGTTTACAGATGGAGCTCATTCGAACAGTTTAATGCTTTATGCTTATACTAGTTATTATTTTATACCCGTGACAAGACAAGCTCTCTCGACGCCTTATTTAACTGCTTCATTTTAGACCAGCTACATTCTAATAAAACAAACACGAATATTCGCCGAGTCTAAATAGTTTCTCTGAAAGCGCATTCGCGATGGTGAGCATTATTTCTCTGGAAAATAACCACTCCTTATCACAAATCCAGGTCGGTCAAGAACAACGTTCGTTGTTTTGCAAACAGCCACTTTGTAAGTTTCAACGTCATCCATTCTAATCGAGCGTTATTGGTCTCCTGTTATCTTGGGTAATATTTCTTAGTCCTCAAAAATGATCATAGTTATCTACTTCGACAAAAGCAGCGCTGCCACACAAAATATTTGAGTCGTTAAAGCGGTCAGTAAAATTGGAAAAAAATTCAAAATCTTCTCCAGAGCGAACAAATTGTATGTATCTCCATGATACGATCATACCACAAATAAAAGTAACAATGCAGATGATAACTATGCAGAATACATTAATCTGTTGTAATTTGTAGTAAACATACATCGTTTCACATATGCAAAGGCAGATTATCAGAAGTTACATATTATTTCAATGATAGTTCTATTATTGATGTTAACAATTAAAAAGATTGAATTCGCGTAAAAAAGTTTAGTGATTTGGTAAAATATGGTATGGCTTCAGTGCTATCACAGAGAAGAACAAACTCAATAGAACTTTCAAAAGACAGCGTTTTATTCGTGATAACGTGCACACCATCTTCACATAAAGCCATGTAATACTAAACTTTACAACCGCCCGAAGATAACGTACAAAACTAGTAACGACGAACACATACGCATTACGATTTATAGAAAAGCATTTAATAGTCGACAGATTTAAAGATTTTCATCATACGCTCACAATTTATTTGTATTACTCATATAGCAAATTACGTCACTGCTCAGTAACGAATATATTTCACCAATTTCATGATAATTGTATTCAGTTTTGGTATCAACCTTCGCCAACAGTATCTTTGGCACATGACCCCAACATTATGTCTTGTGTGGAAAACATTGGTTAAAATCTACTCTTTCTTTATTGAAAATAACGTTCAACTTTTACTGCGAAGAAAATACATCCATGTATACATGATGTTTTTGTAAAAAATAAAATGTTTTGTCACAATGATAACAAGTCGAAAATGACTATTTCTTAAGCATCTTTTTCATTGCTTCTACACATTCGTTACTAGTAATTACTTCAAGGAAATCCTCTTTCTCTCGCTTGCTCTCAGCACCGATTAATTTTGTAACATTAGACCACCATTTTTCTTTTGTTATTTGAAAACCTTGTAAGGGTCTTTGCATAATCATTTTTAACCATTTTCGTGACAGATCATCGGGTGTTTCACTTTTGTCCCAGGAATGAGGAAAATCTTTTATGGAAATGAGATTTGCATCCAGAATTATTCTGTGAGCAAGTTGTGGTTCAAGTTGATGCCGTACAATTTCGAGTGGTATCGTTGGAAATGGAACGCCGACGGTTATTTCAGTTACGCCGACAGAAAATGGTTTTCGTGTGCCTACAGCTATATAATCACATGCAAGAGCCAATATTAAGCCACCAGCAATTGCATGACCTTCCAATGAACAAGCAACTGGCTTGGAACAACGAAAAGGAGCGCTAACACCACGAGCAACAGTTTCAAACAGGAACTTATCAATTATCGGCTTTTGACGTTTGGAACAATGATCATACATATTAGCAAGATCTAAGCCGGCACAAAATGTCGAACTGAAAGTATAGAATGTAGATCGATTTGACAAAAGTTCGGCCTTTCGCTTTTCATTCAGTACCTAAAATTCGATCGTAAATGAACACCTTTAATCGTGACATCCTTCGACGCATGATCAAATGCCTGTTCAAGATCATTGAGTAGTTCAGCTGACATAGCATTCACTTTGGGTCTATTCATGGAAATGGTAAGGATAGCATCAGCTACAGAAACCGCTAGGTTTTTCCAACGTTGTTGTAAAACTGCCATTGCACACAAGAAGATATGTAGTTCGAAACAGAAACAGATAGTTTATAATTTTTGGCTTATATAACATTCTTTCATTCGGTTCTATACTGTATGTGTTGCCTTCGAATGACAATAGTAAAAAACAGATGGAGTACATTTATGTCGGATATTTTTATTCTTTATTCAAGTCATTTTCGTAGTAGAATGTGTCTGTAATGATACATGAGCGAAAAAAAAACAAACGTTAACATGCTTCTTTCTCATGGATTTTTTCCATGCGATAAATACGACAAAAAACAGATTTATTTTCATTGTACGCAGCAGGAAAACTACCTGTCTCTTTAACCACGCATAGCATGAAACGACTGTGTGTAACGCTTGCTGTTTTGTTTGCTTTGTGTATAATAATCTTGATTTAAAGCTGATTGAATAAGAAGTTGAATTAATTGATCATCGGATGGCAAGATTTCTTGCTCGGACAAATGTGAGTATGGGTTCAATCGAAATCGGACGTTATCGATATCTTTTTCATTGTGCTTAAGTTCATAAATATCGTCTGGTAATTGTTCAGCGTCAATGACAGGTGATACAATTGGTGTTGACGAGCAGTAAGAAGAACAACAGCAGACAAGAACTAAAGCGATCAACGCTGATATATAGAAGCGTGTGGAAAATGATGAATTACTGCCACACAATACAAAAAATGCCATATCTGAAAGAGAACTTTATTGAATATGAATGAGATTTCTTATGGAAACAAGTTGCTAATTTGTTCTTCTATTTATACTTGGTGATAAGAAATATATGCAACATTTAATAGTATGCTTCATCCGAAGTTAATGTGCGCAGGCGTTTCATGATTTAACATGCTCAACTAAGCAAATAAGTTCTCTTCATAAATTAATAACTTACAGTCATTAGATCATGTAACAGGAACAGTTAGTTCGCCTCAATTTTGACAAAGAAAAATGGCCAATGTTCCTTTTATATTAAAAAAAAATGAATCGTTTCAGATGATTTCTTCTCACCCTCAATTAACCGCCTTATGTATGGCTATGAATTCATTCATTCATCTCGATTCGACTCTTTGATTTATTCTCGATCAAAAACAGACAAATAGGTAAAATACTAATAAATCTTAATGCACCAATCCAAAACAATTCCTATTATAAATACGCGCGTTTTATGCTTCGTGAGCTTCTTCCAAACAGTGTCGTATTGTACACAGTTCGTTAGAGCGTACCTTTCTCTCACATTTCCTTACACACATAAGCACATTTAAAGTCTTCTGTCGTCTGCTCATCGTATTTCTATTTTTTGTGAATAATAGATCTCAGTTCTACTTCAAATGAATTCTATGACATGTTCGCGTTGAAAGTGCGAGCTCGATAAGCATTGTTCCACTGAGAATCTAAGTTGTATTCGTGACTAAACGTGAGGAACGTTAAGGGTGAATGTCGCTTTGAACTGTTACTGCAAGATAAATGTACTGATAGTAACAACTTAAGAAGTCATAGTCGTTCATCTCGTTCTCATGATCTTTCGAAGCATTATGAGATTCCTTTTTACGAATTCTTCAGTAAAACTCAACCATGATTCTGTCTGAAGTCTTACAACTAAACGCTGTCTACTAAGATGATCTACCAACTTTGCTCATCTAATAAAAACAATGACATGACCGACGTCTCTGTCCTTTTATACAAAATTAAGCTGGATATCAACCCTCAAGATCTTTATTAAAAATTGAAACAAAAGATTTTTGATACTACAGAGAAAGTAACGGAAAAATAAGGTTTCACACTCTATGTTTATGTTTCCGTAGTCGAATGTTAAATACAATATACATGCGGACATTCTACATAAGTATATTAATAAAATTCTATACTACTGAAAAACAACTTATTGTTAAAAGATCGCGGACAATAAGGTTCATAGAAGTAAATCTATTCGATTGGATTAGATTTTTCTATATTGACAGTCTCGAAGCATTTTCCGTTTTCATTCGCGTCATCTAAATGTCTACACAATCAAGGATTAGCCGCTTTTCTAACCAGAAGAGTTGAACTTAGCAAAAAACAACGACAGCCACATATTTAACGTCGTCCCTTCGTTTCAATAATAGCTAATCTAATAGAGTATATATTTTTCGAAAGCAAGTGCTCGCTTCCTTCGATAACACTTACATTCCTCATCGATAAGTGCTTGAAAATAATCGAAAAAACATATCGACGTAAAAAGTCTGAAGTCAATAAGTCTCATTTACTTGCGTTTTTTTTTCATTCCAAACAGGAAACTCCGTGCACAAAGAATACGAAGCCAAATTTTCACCCACCTTTTTTTTTATTATGATCGTAAGATAAATCTAACTTAATGCTTTTACTCAATCGTTTAGTATATAAAGACAAGAACTACGAGTATTGTTCGCTTGCAGGTATAAAGTACTTCGTCGAGTTCAAATGTATTCAGAACCGAGAAATAATCATACAAAACGGATGAAATTTCATAAATATTAAATAAAAATCACACCCACAATGTTCGTTAATACAACACACAATGATCATATCATTCAGCCAACTTTCAGTCAGTGACAAAACAATTGCATACTATCGATAAATTATTCTAATTATATCTTCGAGACTGACATCACCCACTCTTTCTCTTCAATAATTATTTACAGTGCACCTTCACAAATGAACTATAAGGTATCGCGAGCTCCCTAACAGAAAGTCAGCAAAACAATTAAGAAAAGGACCTACTTTCTTGTTACGACCTTCCAATTTAGAGTGGGCGTTGATGAGGAACAGCTTAATATGTCAGAGTATTCAGATAACTAAGGCAGTCTTTTCTCTTCGTCCAGATTAAATCTCCTCTCTTTTTTTCTTTGTCTTTAGTCATCTCTGCCCTCAAGCACGAACATCATCATGCGATTGACTAATTAATATATTGTCTAACAATGATGTTATTGCCACAAGGCATATTCTTTTTTAAGAGTTTTATTTCACACTGTTTTCCGCAAAGAGAAACAAAACAAAACGGACAAATCATCTGACAAAAGGTTAAATATCACAGGTGTTGATAGAGTTCAACGACTAGAAAACATGAATCCTATGCGGGGGATCTTATGGTTCATCGTTTGTTGTAAAAGCCGTTCAAATAAGTGACGAAAATATGCAGAAACAATATTAAATACAAATGACATGTTGAAGACAACGAACCATTCAGTAGAAGTTCAATTTGGGCTGAAATCAAGAAAACATCATTGTAAAATATCTACTAAATCAACTCCCACTTACCATACGATGGCAATGGAGACAACGATGATGATCGATAATGTTTTAGAATTGTTGTATTCAATAGGATTGCTTCTAAATATTCAAACTGATTGATGAAATTGATTTGAATGAGAATTTGTCTTACCGTCGATGATAACGAATGCTTTTGATACCTTCAATTGATTCTCAGCTTCGCATTCATACATGCCGAATGCTTCCGAGTAATTCAAGGAATTGATCTGTAAGAAAGACAATACATATTTGTTATTCAAGACAGATTTTCTTTCAATTCAAATTGATTACTTGAAGAAAAAGTAATAATTGAACTGTGTAATCATTGATTTCTGTCCGTCGAATGGCGTTCATTGACATGTGGTTTCGTTTCCATTTTGCGGAAGTTAATGGACGAGCAATTATAGTACAATTGAGAAGAATTTGTGAAGAATAACGGGAATATGACGAATGAACGGTGACTTCAGGTGAAACTAAACACGATAATCATTAACATATTTTACAAAAATACGCTTCAGTCATCTCGGTAGAATGCAAATCTACACAACTCATCAATGTCGAAAAATCTATCAAGAATTTATTGTGCACCCTGCCAAGATTTATTTGTTCACGCGTATGTGTGAATGGAGTTACATCCATGTGGTGTCGACATTCATCGTTGTGCTATTTTTTTTTTGTTTTTTATTGATGAACATAATGGTTGAATGAATGACAGAAGGAAAGTGCACAAGCATGTGTCCACTTTCGAAATCGCCATTTATTCATCTCTTTCTCTCCCATCATCATCACATGTGCATCTATGTATATTAAACCTAATCATTATATTGTAATCTCTAATTTCATGCCATTTTAACTCCTACTGTCGACGCTAGACAAAAAAAGAAAAAAGAAAAGTCTCNTTTTTTATTGATGAACATAATGGTTGAATGAATGACAGAAGGAAAGTGCACAAGCATGTGTCCACTTTCGAAATCGCCATTTATTCATCTCTTTCTCTCCCATCATCATCACATGTGCATCTATGTATATTAAACCTAATCATTATATTGTAATCTCTAATTTCATGCCATTTTAACTCCTACTGTCGACGCTAGACAAAAAAAGAAAAAAGAAAAGTCTCATCAAACTATTCTTCTTCCACTACTTCATCTCTTTTTTTTTCATGAATGTTACAAGTGCTTCTATATTTATTCACATAATTGAGTCATCTACAGGACGTAACACTCTAGAGTATTCTTGATAAGATGACATCTTCGCTGCTTTTGATTATATTCGATGAAGAAAGATAAAATGGAATCGATGCTTACTCGCTGGAACTAAATGTCTTGTACGTGTATCACGCGGCGGTATACCATTGTCGGCAATACATTGATAATTTATTGGCGCTGTTCGAGAAAAATTCCTGATGAGAAGCTTGTTATTGAATGGAATGATATCTAATGTGATTGAGAGACGAAAAATTCTCTATAAGTTCGTTTTCGATTATTAAATTCTTACTCCGATCCATTCTCTTATCGAATAAAGACTTGTATTCCGTTATGTTCCACTGAATAGTTGGCGGCGGATTACCACGCGCCAAACATTTTAAAATTACTTGTTCATTCTCCATAAGTATTCCATTATTATTTGATTCAATTGTTATATCGACAATTTTAGGCGGTGCTAGAATACAGAAAAGAGAATTCCTAATCAAATCTGTCTAGTCGAAAGAAAAAGAGTTCGAACACTTGATTTCATCTCGACACATCCCCAATACTCAAAAGAAATAAGCGAATATGACATGTGAAATTCTTCGCTTGTGTTACAATATCCGGTTCAGTCTCATCAAATATCGATCGGAAACACCTTTCAAATATCAAATAGAATAACAATAACAACAAACGATGGTCACAGATGAGTGTGAATGATAAAAATCTATTCTTACTCAAAACGGTTAGATTAAATCGTTTTATGATTGTCAATGTCCGATCAGCGGATGAAACACGACATGTGTATTCTCCTGCATCATCGTCGGAAACGTCCGATAAAATAAGACTCCACGTCCAAGCATATCTAAANCGGAAACACCTTTCAAATATCAAATAGAATAACAATAACAACAAACGATGGTCACAGATGAGTGTGAATGATAAAAATCTATTCTTACTCAAAACGGTTAGATTAAATCGTTTTATGATTGTCAATGTCCGATCAGCGGATGAAACACGACATGTGTATTCTCCTGCATCATCGTCGGAAACGTCCGATAAAATAAGACTCCACGTCCAAGCATATCTAAAACAATGAAAAGATGATATTTTCATCGATTAGACTATTGACTATCGGATCAATCAAAGAAAGAACACGTACGTATGCTCAAGCACGAATCGTGTACGATCATCACTATCAAGATTTTCACCGGTCGATGTTGCCAATAAGCGTCCCGTGGGTCCATAAAAATCAGCCTAAAAAATATATTTCCCCAATGAACATGATGTAATCGAGAATAACGAAGGCACAACTTACCCGTCTATTCGAATATCGTTCGGGTAAATCACATATGAAGGTTGCTGGTTCGCCCGTATTTACAGATACCGTTTCCAAAGAATCATCAGAAGAACAAATTGAAGGGGAGAACAATACAAAGATCAAAGTTAGTATTCGTAAAATCATGTGTGTATAGTCTCTTGTAACATCAATATCTTGTCATATCTAGAAATGAGAATAAACTCCTTTGAATGTTTCCTATAACAGCATCATTTATTCATTCATTTCTCTCTCCATCTCTTCTCTTCCTCGTTTGTCCTTCTTTCTTTTCTCTATATGTTTCTCTCTCTATTTTGTTCATACACATAATTATAGCGATGTGTGTGTGTGTGTTCATTTTTGATTCAGTACGTGCGTGCATAGGTTAAGAGAGAAAGCATGACTGATTATCATTCTTACTTGCAACGAAATAAACGAGAGAAAGATTGAGTAGAAAATTATAGACCTTGAACAAATTGAAAAAGAAATCATCTTACTGGAACACTGAACAGTGTGCACTCGCGCGCACGCGCATACTCAAATCCTTCGGCTTTCGACATATTTATTTCATTATAATCTCGTTTCTTCTCTCTCTCTCTTCCTTGCGTCTCTCTAAAATGAGATTGCTCAAGGTCAGAAGAAGCCTTTTGTTTTTCCATTAGATGTCTGAAAACTAATTGAAAAACAACAAATGATATTCATTCTAACAAGGCTGTCTTTTCAATCATCGATGAATTGTCATCCTCCATAGACGAAAAAAGGTCACAATTATCGACATTCACGTATATCCTTCGACGTGCATAGTACTTACCTGAAAACGATCCTAAGCTTTGGAATAATTCTCGATAATTGGATTCAAGTGCATTCACACATGTACATACATACTCACTCGAAGAATTTCTTGTCTCTCTTTCTCTCTCTTCCCTGGCCATCAATGTAGACACCAGTCGGAAGTGAATTGTCAGTGAAAGATAGAATAGGAAGAATGCGTTTCTTCTGAACATGAGCGGAAAATGACAAGCGTACGACATGTTACAATGACCTGTTGATTCTAAATGCTTTATGTGTTCATCGGACTAATAAGAAAGATGAAAGTAATAATAATTGAAATAGGAGAAAAAGAACAGTAGTCATATTAACCTGCAATGTTACAACAAGATCGACAAATGAGAGAACGATCAAAGTCTATTCTATAGTTCACTGCAATCATCAATAAATATCTAAATGCATCAATAAGGTAGTTGATTACTTAATCGAATTCTCTGATCTCATGTATATATATATAGTATACATCAGAGACAAAGCACAGATGGAAGAGATGAGGGACAACATGCAATCATTCGTCAGTCGATGATGGAAAAAGGCACGAACAATGACAATTGATTCTTGACAAGCGTTAATGTTTGTTGATATATATAATTTGTCTACTTTGACTTTTTAAATGAATACATCTTAAGAGATACGTTCGAACAAATAAGTTGTGTCATTTCAATGACTGAGTACAATTGATATAAACAACAAAAAAAAAGAAGAGACTGTCGAAGGCAAATGGAAACAAGGTGATAGACATTCTTTCGGTCAAATGAGCCTAGGTGTTTTGTTGAGGGAAAATATTGGTTATCTATTAGTATAACAATGAAAACATATGTTCTGCTAAAATCTATCTTTTTGTGTTTTGTACCATCTGGCTGATTAGAGTGGGAGTATTACTGATTGAATTAAACAATAGTCGACAGATAATTAATTTATTGTTACAAGATACTGATTGCGCTCCTCAGAATACGAAATTATGGGATTTTATTCTAGAATTGAAAAATCGCTCCGGCACACACGACCTAAAATAGTATGGTTAATTGAATATTATTAGTTAAAAATTTGTCGAAGTTTGAGTAATTGGTCCACATGAATCATCGTCGAAATCTTGAGATTTCTAAGCAAAGATTAGCAATGGTAACAATATACTTACAACTAATCTGCCAACAACAGCCATGCCTAGTGTCATTCTCAGTGCAGTAGCTTGATAGACTGATTGCGTGCTATTACTTCGAAGCTTTCCATCACTAAGACATGAATCTGTCAGATAGTTCAAGTAACCTGATCGATCGCCGATAGAAGCAACAATAATGCTTGTGTTCTCTGCGATAATACCTACCATTCCATGTAAATTGTTCACACCACACGTATCATGAATGTGCATGCGTTTTAAGACAGCTAGAAGGAAATGAAAACCTAGAACAGATATGATGCCAGCTAGAATGTTGATACAATTTCGACGACCACTCCGCCGGCTAGCGTTGAATTTGGAATATGTATCATATCGAGTTTGTCTTTTCACACAAGTGTCGATACGTAAGTATTTGTTACTGCATGCAGACGATCATCATCACTAGCTGTTTCTGTATTGAGCGATGGCGAGAAATAGAAAAGAATACCAGTACCAATCGTGGAAAATACATCGGATGAATAACACGATTTTTCTTTCGTCGGTTCAAGAGTATTCGAACGGAATAGGGCCAGTCAAACTGTTAGACCAAAATATGTGCCGGCAAAGAACAAATTTACTTTCAATAAAGTCGGTTCTGTTCGTATTCTTACCAAGCGTATGAACATATATACTGATTCACCGGCATCAATAGCATACAAGAAATGTGATGCAACTCATTAATAGATCACTTGCATCGGAGCTTTAGTTAATGCCATTAAGATTTGTTGAAGTGCATTGACTTTTCTTAGAACAGCACCTATGAAAGTCTATATACTTGCTGCGACGAAGTCAGCCGTCGATAAACTTTGAACATCAATGATAAATATTCCCGAAGTATCATCTCAATCAAGCAAATATCGTCGTAGAAATTTAATCAGAAAGCGAAAACCAATGAACATCATCACGAGGATGTCTGTAAACATTGGCTAGTAGAATTTCACGAGATCTTGTAATGGATCTTCGAAGTTGGTGACATTCGAAACGGAATAATATTGATATTTACTATGGAAGTCAAGAAGGAAGGTAAATTGAATTTATAAAACAAGTAGAATGACTAGGAATAGATATGAACGATATTTCGTCATTGTCAATTCTGTGACCGAATCGTTCGACTTATTTCGTTTATATAAGTCATAGCTAACACTTGAATAACAAAATCCAGAAGAAAAACACGCGCATTTCCAGGTTTTCACTTGTGGGTTAAACTTTCTCAAACGTATTTTTTCTTGTTAATATGAATTTCGTACTTTCGATTGAGCAAAATACATAAAGTCAATTTTTCAGCCCAAAGAGGCAAAAAAACAGCAGAGCCTTTTGCTTGCTTTTATGTTAAATATGTACAAGCATGCAGCCATACGTTTTGGTCGGTTATTTGAAATGAAGATATTCAAGTGTGCATATTACTTATAAAATCACAATGATTTCATTTGTATTTTTTTTTATTTCTTTTAACAAACAATCGGAAAACAACAGTTAACGAACAAAAACAATTTACGTTCGTTTTTTATTTTTGCCGGATCGCTGTTGGTTCTTTCCTTTACCAGCTGAGTTATTCTTTTTGGTAAATTTTGATCGTTTTTTAGCAGCACGTTTATCTTTTTTCAAACGTTTGTCAACAACTTTATATGGACCTTTGGCACCTGCTGGTCGACTTGCACCTCGTTGAGATTTTTTCGCCACAACATATTTCACATTGGCTTTCTTCTGGCCAATGACACCATATTTTCGATAGAGACTAGAAACAACGGAATTGAAGTGTTTCTACAGTCGAGAAGACTTACTCTTTTATCTGTTTATTTCGTTCTTTGTTGTCTAAATCAGGATTATCCAGCAACGGTTCAGCTTTCTTTTTGACTTTTTCTAATTTACGTAATTCCTAAGAACAAGTATTCGAATGAGGTGATAAAAATTCAAATGACAAATAAACATACACGTCGTTTCTTTCGAGCTTTGGCTTCGGAGACTTTTTTCGATGGTCGTTCATCGATTTCTCTCATTTTCGCTTTGTATCTTTGAACAAGTTCTTTGGTCAACGGTAAACTTGCTCGACAGTGTTGTTTCTCTTCCTCAACAAACCATTTCGGTAGATCCTCCGTGTCGCCATAACCCATAAAACTAAAATCAATGAACGTCATACATTCATTCATTCGTTTCAAGAAGACGCTTTTACCGATTGTACGAATGATCAATCAATTGTTCACGATTCTTTTTTGATTGAGCCATAACATGACCGATGGCTAAGCCTTCGGCATCGAGATGAACGCGTTTCATTGCTATACGAAAGAAATAATGTGCGTGAAAAGTTAACCAAAGACAAACATACGTTGACCGATCGGTACTTCTTCAAATCCATCTTTGTCCAGCGAACGTTTGGCCTTCTTCGGCTTACTCTCCTCTTCTGAGTCACTAGAGTCATCGGCTAAAAACAATGTTGGCTCAGATTCAACTAATTTACGAGAGAAACAACTTTACTTTTGCCATTCTTCAGAATACTTTTGGAAGCCTTAGCTAAATAGAAAAGACAAGATCAATTAAAGAAGCCTGTAGCTACTTCATTCTTACCAAGAACTGGGACACCTTCTGATTTCAATGCATTCAATTTTCTTTCCAATTCGAACTCTTCATCATTATCGTCATCATTCAACGTTTGTTTGAATATGTCTTGTTCGAACCAGACATCAGCGACTGTTTTCGCTTTTGCTGATTTCGTTGGTGCATCAAGAATGTCCATATCCAATGGATTTTCTTCATCATCGTCCCATTCATCGTTATTATTTTCATCATTTTCCGATTCATCGTCGTCGACGTCACTAAAAATTCAAGCCAGTTTCGTATCGCACGCAGTTCTTTGCACATACCTATCGAGTTTCGGCTGATGTCGTTCTGAATCGTATGGAATTCGTTCATCATCTTCATCATCATTTTCATCGTCGAGGTATTGTTTGTAAATATCGATCGACGCTAAATCTCCATTATTTTTCTCTCTATCATACGCCACTCGAGGTATCCGGTTCTTTCCTTGACCGAGGTAAACATCATCATCACTGTTAACTTCTTGGTCAGCTCCAAAATTCATATCTGGAATAGCCGATGAAATTTCCAATAGTTGCTAAAAACAACGATGATAATTATCGATAGGATTGAAGTAATGATCAAACCTTTTTGGTTCTGATTTTTTCAAGATCGAATAAGCCTTGATCATTCTTGCCACCTTCAGCTGTTTCATGATCATGGACATCACCAGGTAAGACCATTTTCAAAGCAAGACGATCACGTAGTTTACGCTTTTCTTTCATCACATGTTTACGTTTTCTATCCAAGAAAAGAATAGTTTTAAATAAATTTCCTGTGAATGCATACCTTTTCGCTTCTTTTCGCTGCTGTTCATTAAGTTTTAATAATTGCTCTTCAATATCAGCATCTTCTTCGTCTTTTTCACCGTTCTCAGTTTCTTCTTCGACTTTTTTCTCTTCACTTGTTGCTTCAGTTCGAAGTGGTGCTTTCTTGTAAAACGATGCAAACATATGTCGACGCCAAGCAAGAATCGATCTAAATAAAACATTTGGTTACAGTACAACGCTGTCCGATTTTTTTTTGTACTAACGTGATTTCACGTCGACCGAGAACTTTAATATCTTTGATACATTCTTTGATTTCGTCTGTTGTTTTGGGATGTTGAAGTAGACGATCGTCGTCAATCACAATCTGCAAAACAAAAATCAGTCTAGTACAACTTTCATTCGACTTACTTCATTCGCTGTGGCGAGAAGATCCAAGAAATTCTCGCTTTCGATGAATTTGGTTGCATCTAGTTTGTGATACAAGGTATAATCTCCTTCGGGATAACCTTCTCGACTTCTGTAAAAGAGAGACAAGAACGGTAATTGACTGAACAGAACTTTCTTCGAACAAACCGGATGAATTTTTTCAGGATGTTTCAAGCGTTGTTTTGCTTTGTTCTGTGCTTCGGTGATATCATTATCAACTTCTGTGAAGACATGTTTATAATCGAGAAACTTTGGATCGATTTTATCCGGTGCATGATATCCTTGACAAACGACGAAGATTTCAGCAGATTCGTTACGCGAAGCCTAAACAGTCACAAATTATTTCATTGAGAAAATGACAAAGCGAAAAATCTACTTGAGGCTTAGTTGAATCTACACGTTTGAACATTTGTTGGAAAACCCATAGTAATGAATAATAATCTTTCGAACGAAACATCTTCGTCACAAATGTACCACCTTTACGTAGAAATTCCGTTGCTAACTTCAATGCGTTCAAAGTCAACACATCTGAAAAGATTCGGTTTCTTACGAGAATCTGCTATTTCAATTGAAGTTAATTACTTTGTTGATATGCGTCATGAATCCAACTTTTTCCGACGTTTGGAGCACCATCATGAAGAATAACGTCTGCTTTAAAGGTAGCTAGATCTTTTTTCAAAAGCTAAATATAACTATTGCATGAGAAGAGGAGGATTTCAAAGATCAGTTCATACTTGTCGACATTTTTCTGATGTGATATCTTCTTGATATGTAATAGTATGTGGAATTGGTTTAATTGGTGCTAAATCAATACCTACAAAATAGAAGAATATAAGAAAAGAAAACCTAGATGAAAAAAGAAAACAAAAAGTTTACCAATGATCAAACTCGATATTGGCATATGTTTTTCAGCTACTTGTAACCAACCACCGGGTGCTGCACATAGATCGATGAGAACACGAGCATTTTCAAGAAAACGATGTTCACGATTTAGCTGTAATAACTTGAATGCAGCACGAGATCGAAAGCCTATTTGAATATGGTTAGAAAAGAAAGAGTTCTCCGCGAAATATTAATAAAAAACATACCTGATTCTTTAGCTAAATGGTAGAATTTATCGCGACGAAGTTTTCCAACTTTTGCCTTTTTGCCCATGTTTATCTGAAAGAAAACCTATGACTGTAGAGTGTTTGCCTTCGACACTAATGAAAAGTATTCGGACGATAGTCCGTCTATTTTATTTTACTATATCTCTTCATTGATTTACAAACTGCAATAACATTTTGCACTGAAATCAACCATTCAGTAAGAAGACGAGACATTCATGTGTGTACTAACGACATCTATACCACTAGATCGACCATTGTTAATCTCATTTTCTTCATACTTTTTCTCTAGATTTTCAAATTTTGAACAAAATTTTAGTATTATTTTATCATACAATATCCGCCATAGATTCGTCCAATGTCCTTCGATTATTCACTTCTTCTCAAAACTTTCATGTATTCGTCAGGGTCACTGGCGTGACAATATGTAAATCATTTTTGTCGTTCTAGATAATACTATTGTGGTTCAATTCATATACAAATGAGTAAGCACAGTGCCAACTTTGGTGGTACCGTTGGTTGGGATGAACAAACTGTTATCGGCAAACGTGCACCACGAGCTGGGGAGTTAAAAACGGAATCAGCTATTGCTGCTGCTCAACGTGCTGGTATTGCCATCGATACATCCAAAAAATACGCGGCTGGACACAACAAGCAACATGAAGCGGCAAAAAATACTGCTGCTCTCGATCGTGAAACCGAAGAACTACATCATAATCGAGTCAATACAGATGTGGCACGAGCTATTCAACAAGGCCGCATAGCTAAAGAATGGACACAAGCTGATTTAGCTCGACATATTAACGAAAAGCAGCAAGTCGTCAATGAATACGAACAAGCGAAGGCGATTCCCAATCAACAAGTTTTAAGTAAATTGGAACGTGCTTTGGGTATCAAATTACGCGGTAAAGATGTTGGACAACCGTTAAGCACCGGACCAAAAAAGAAATAAATGATTATTTTGTGTCCATGAAACAACAAAAAGACTCTCTTTCTCTCTCTCTCTCTTATGGTTACTCTTGTATATTTTTATCCATAATCTGTTGCGAAGTTATACTTTCATTTTCTTTTTTGGTCTATGAGATGGTTAAAAGAACCGCAAAAACAGACGAAGTAGAAGAGAACGATCGATGAGTTTTTTTTTTATTAAGTAGACGAAATGATGACTTAGCTTGAAAACATTCTGACTCTTTTTTGTAGATGACTCAAACTTGAATAAATTCATTTCATTTGACTTCAACAACACGGACGCGTTCAATCTAAGGCATGTTCTCTCTTTCTATTTAGATTACGAAGGCAATATTGTTTAGGTTTATTTTAGTCTTTCTTTATTTTTTACAATAAAACGATGGATCAAGCAGACGATTTGAAGGCATTTGAACGTCGTATGATCGAAATCGTTTCATCACTTCAACCATCGATATGGCGTTGGCGTGTGATCCTATTCATTCTTGTCGTTGTTACACTTCTCACATTTTATGCATTGATCACGGATGATTCATTCAACGCGTCATCTTCAGTCAACCAATCTAGTGATAATTCTTTCCTGTCTACAATCTACTCACATCTGTTTTGTAAAAAAATCTATTTTTCAATATCAATTTCCTTCCTCATCTTCGCGTTTCTGTTCGGTATTCATCGTAAAATGTTTTCATCTTCGATTATAATTGCACGATTTCGGTATATTCTCGCTGATTACAATATGTCATGTGATTCCGATGGACGACTTATTATCAAACCACGACCAACGCCACCCTATCTAACTGCTTCATCTTGATATGATTTTTTCTTCTTCTGTTCCAGTTATTGTTGTTGTATTATAAAACTTTCAAAACAGAAACGTCAATCGATTCTTTTTTGTCAAATCTAACAAAAGAATTCTTTCGATTGATATGATTGTTTCTTTTTTTAGTATGACTACGGAATTAAATACACCTGCGAATGCATCGCCATCTGCATCGCAACATCAAACTGCACATGTGCAACGAAGATTACAGAAAATTCTCGATTTAAAACTCGAATCAGATAAAGATTTGATCGAATCGTTGAAATACTTATCAAGCTTTTTCACGGAGAACAGCGTTCGAACACGACGGTCGTTACGCAGTACAATCGAAAAGCGAAGTTTAACACTAAACGATCAATTTGAAGAGTGTTTTCGAGTAGTTAAACAACAACTCGATCAAATTAATGAAACAGTTACATCGATGTCCACCTGTTGTCAAGATATGACACAGCGACTGAAAGTACGATATCAATTTGATAGCGACATGATTTTGCATTGTTTGACTTTAGGATGTGAAAGCACAAACACAAGAATTAATCAATAGAACAACGCAAATTCAAAATGAGAAGTACGATATCTTAGTCTTGTTTGATGTATTTCTAGGAAACTCTACTGTTGTATTTAGTCAAGAGTTGAATGTTAAATCTTGTATCACAGAAGGATTTATCGAACGATTTCAATTAAAACCAGACGAACTGAATGCCTTGCGAACAACGCGAGATGGATTTTTACATCCGGTAAAAAAGCCGTTTGTCTCGAATTTCAAACAACGTTCGCCTTCTTCTCTTCTAGCAATTCTTCAATGTACTCAAACGAGTCAAATCGATTCATCAAGATTGTAAACTATTGCTACGAACAAATCAACAAACAATTGGACTAGAAATCATGGAACAAATGGCACTTCATCAAGAATCCGCCTACGAAAGACTGTATCGATGGTTGCAAAGTAAATAAAAACGCATTAAATATTGTTCTCTTTTACTTTTTCATTCCTCGAAAGATGAGTGTCGACAGCTAACAGCTGAATCACCAGAAATATCGACATTACTTAGTGAAGCACTTGAAGGGCTAAAAGAACGACAAGTTTTGTTCAAGTAAATCAAGAACAAAGAATTTGTTTCGATATAAGTTGATTTCTGTAGGTATGTTCTGGACGAGTATGGTACAGCCCGTCGTAGTGCGATTGTTCGCGGTTTCATCGATGCATTAACTCGCGGCGGTCCAGGCGGTATGCCACGACCGATTGAACTATCCTCACATGACCCATTACGATACGTTGGCGATATGCTTGCATGGACACATCAGGCGGCTGCATCAGAAAAAGAATATGCAGAAATTTTATTAAGAAAATTTAAAGATTGGAGTGATCTAGAGAAAACAATTCAAACATTATTAGGTTTTCTCACTGAAGGTTTATGTCGGTAAGCTGAATCCATTTGTTTTCGATGATTTGAAAGCAGACCGATTTGATCTTTGCAGTCCATTACGTGTTCGTCTTGAACAAGTTTTAGTTTCTCAACATGAACCGGTCACATTGTATAAATTGACGAACTTGCTTAAATTCTATGAAACAACCATCAAACAATTGTTACCGACAGATTGTCAATTAGCTGTTGTTCTTGATGAAATCACTAATTTATCATCGAAAATGTTCTTAAATGCGTATGTCAAATTCTTCTATCTTCTAATAACTCATTCTTGTTGTCTCCTAGTTTGAATGCAGCAGCAACACGTTTAATCGAAAAGGTTGATATTCCTACAAATGATTTGAATTTATCCGATGAATTACGCCGTACATTAGCATTACTACGTGATATTCTTGAAACCCATTCAACGTCCATGATACCTTTCGAATCAAAACGTACAGATTTCCAACAGATTGTCTACTCAATTATTGATCCATTACTGCAAATGTGTTCTTTATCAGCGGCGAAGCTAGGCGTAGTTGAAATGGCTGTTTATCTTGTTAACTGTTATAGTGCAATACGAGCGACACTAGCTGTCTTTGCGTTCACCGACGAAAAGATTGAGATGCTCGAAGGACATGTATGTAAATCTCATACTGTTGCTCGAATGAATCGTGCAATGTTTAGATCGAAGCCAATACTGATACATTAATCGGTGAGCAAGCAACTTATATTCTTCTTCGAACAGATCTATTGGATGCTTATCGTATCGTTGAAAAACAGCAGCAAGACTCAAATACTACCGATGGGTCTTTAGCGCTTAAGCCAGGTATGGATACGATTACATTGAAAGCAGCAATGGTAAGTTGAGAGACATTTGTCATAAATGAAAGCAACTGAATACAAAAAATTTAGGTGAAATTTGATTCCTATCTGGCATCTCCGGATCTTTACATAATGCCACAATTGAAATATCTAATAAGTGCTGTTATTCGGTAAGAACAGTTCTTCTCCGTAATTCGATTTGTTTCTTATTCTAATAATGTCATTTCAGAGAGAAGATAAAGAAACGTTCTGTTGAATTGATCTGCACAGCTTATACTAGTCTTTATTCGGCCATTATGGATCCAAAGAATACATATGCAAATCCATATTCAATAATGCCACATACACCTGAACAAATAGTTAAATTACTTTCTTAATCCTTATTTATTTATTCAGTGTCGTTGATAAGTGAAAGAAAGAGACATTCTTGTTTTAGAGAGATTTTCGAAATCGTTCAGTGAACTTCTTAGATCTGCGTGTGAAATTTTTCCGGATATTTTATCGGGTGATAAGTACAAAATAAAATTATCAAATAATACAACAACTTCGATGTATGTAGATTTTTTATTGATATAAAAGACATGTGCTTTGTTCGTATACATAGAAACTACCATACAATAAAAGCTGACTAAAATATTGAACTAAACAACGAGAAAAATATTCATCTAGATAAGATCTTCTCTTGATTATCAACTCGTAGTTTGAGTAAATGTAATTCATCTTCTAGAAAACGAATTCGATTATCTTTGAGAAATATGATTTCACGTAAGGATTGAATTTCTTCTTGTTGTTTAAGGTACTCATGACGATACTGAAATAGGAGAAAGAATTTAGTTGAAGAAGGTCAAACGAGATGCTCTCCACTCACATCAATGCCGTAGATTTCAGAAGGAATAGACGAATAAGTATCATTGGTATCCACATTCCATACTTTTTTCTTGATTTCGAAATTATGTTTAATAAATGGCTGAACAAAATCCGGTTGATTTTGAAATTTCTCTCTAAGAAAGGAAAAACGTACAGACAAAGCAATGAATGAGCAAACAAACAAATAGTTATGTACTTAAGAAAGTTAAATTCGATATTCGATGCAGGCAAATGTAGTGACTCGACTTTTTTCATAGATTGATGCGAAGTGTGTTGCTGTAGATCGTCATTAGATTTGTCCAGTGTCGCAGGAGAAATCGATGAATCGTTGGTCATGTTTACTTTCGGTATCGGAGCAACTTCTGCAACAGGTAGTTGGGTTATTCTTTGTAAGGTTCCTCGATGCGGAAAACTACACGTCGAGTCGAGTGTTCGATAGGTAGTAATTTGTGGAACATTCGTTTCCTCGGTACGCTCTTTCATTGAGACAAGTATTGGATCACGATCAACACCAGAAATCCACTCATCTGATGTTAAGGCTGGATATGGACCAATGGTGTCTGGATAAATATCGTATTGAAATACTTCAGCTCGTCGTGGGACTACAGCAAAAATAAATTAGACGAGAAACAATTCTCGAATGACTACAATACGGACCAATCATTGATATAGGTTCACAAATAAGGCCTGTGGATGTTAATTTGTAAAAACGCATAATTTCATTTCGGGTTACATCAACACCTAACTTTGGCATTACACCTTTAAATAAGAAAAGTTACGTTATAGTGAAAGCGACTGTTTTCGGCACATCAGTTACCGAGACATCGTTGTGGTGATGTAGATTTGTATTCCGAAAGAAAATGTAAATAAGGCTCACATTGATCAGTGTATTCATAATATCGAATGTTTCCATCACCCTGTGAGGAATTGACTGTTTATTTCTTGAACAATATAATGGATTCTTTTACCTTTCCTGCAAGATAAACTATTCGTGTATCATGATCGTAGAATGGAACGAGAACACCGGCGCTGAAATCAATTGTTTCTACAGTTAATGGTCCTGATAAATCACTCTAGAGAAACATGTCCTTTGTGAATTTAAACTAAAGTTTACAAATCAGTTCCTACTGCATTCCATATAGCAACTTGTCTTTCGAATTGTTTACCGAAACCGGTTGATAACAATCGATTTGTATCACCTAAGAAGACGAGTTTCGATGTTTTTGGACCTTGATGACCGATATTGTTCTATCGAAAAGAAGAGTACATTCTAATAGGAAAGAGATTCTCTTGTCTTCATACAGCAACAATACGACCAGTACGTGCTTCAATAACGCGTATACGTTTGTCTTTGCAAGTTGTTGCAAATAATGATCCATTGCGGTTCCATGTCACCGATTGTATAGAATCCGGATGGCAACGATAGATTTGAATTGGCTCCGCTCGTTCGACATTCCATAGAATTACTTGATGATCTGAACCAGCGCTTAGGATCAAATTTTCTGCTGTTGGATGCCACTCCACATAATCGACACGTCTTTGGTGTCCGTGTAAATCAACTTTCCATTGATAAGTATCCGTTTTCAGACCGTCATTTGGTATAGACCATACTTTTACTGTTCCATCGTCTGAACACGAAGCAATTTCATTATCGTTGAACGGATTAAACTTTAAATCGACGACAGGCCCTCGATGACCGGTAACGCGGGGGTGATCAACGTCAACACGGCCAGTCTAGATGAAGCATTTGAATAGGAAAAGAAGCAATTCACTTGAGAGCACAAGACAAACTATTCACAAACCTCTGAAAGGAGTAAAACAAGAAAACTTCCTCCACCTGATGTTTCCGTGACGATTGCTAAGAACTTCGAGTTGACTGCACAAAAACATCCATCGTGCGCATTTCGTGTAATACAAATATTTTTGTAACAATCTTGTTCGCGATAAGGTGAACCATAGACATGACGAAATTTTGAAATACGAACTTTAAATGGCATCTAAATGTAAGATGTACAATTCGATTAAATCTGCACCTTCCTTTTTATACGAGATATATTCTCATTATTCGTGTCATATCGCCTGTCTTCTCTCTCTCTCTCCCTTTCGCTTTCATTTTCAGTTCGATTCTTTTCATTCACACACACATAAAACTGCATGTCCTTAGTGTATAGACTGTGCATACTAATCTAACATGCGGAAGCTTCGAAAGACGCTGAATGATTCATTATGAGCGATAGACAGGAAGAGACATAGTAGTTCTTCTTATGTCTACTGAGAAGAAGATGATGATGAAGAAGAGGATAAAATGTTCGGTTTCGATCAGATGATGTGTACACATATAAAAACTTACCCTACTATTAATTCAATATTAGAATAGACAAGATCGAGTGAATGAGAGAGAGAGAGAGAAGAGACCGAAGAAGAAGAAGAGTTCAATCATTATTATCTATACGTCGATGAAGAACATCTGATTAACTTTCGAACGAACAGTATTTATTATTTTTATCTGCACGAAGTATATGCATCAAGTTTGAGTCCTAATTTTGACATCGAAACGTTTACAAACAGAAGTCTTCTCCCGTTTTTTTTCCGCTTCTTCTAATGCATTGCATTTAGGTCAAACACAATCATGCACAAAAGAGAGCAAAAAAGAATAATGAAAGAATAGAAAGATGAAGAGAACAATAGAAGAGACACTAAGAGCATATATGAAAAAAAAACGACGAGGAATTTAGCTTTCTCTCATTTATATTTTAACACTAACAAACGTTAACAATAGATCTCCTGTTCGACATAACCCTTTCATTAATTCTCGATTAATCTTTTTCTTTTCAAACTTATATGAACATTCTACTCGATTCCTATCGAAATCATTAGAAAGCATACTTTTTTTCTTTCAGTCGAGATTGTCTTCACCAACTTCGCTTACCTGACATATTTTCAAAGAAAAATACATGTGGATATCAATTGAAAATGACAAGACTACGTGTCAGTATTCATTCGTTCGTTTGACACATGTTATCGGACTGTCGATAGTGCATAGCTGATAATAACATACATAAGTCAATCAATATGTCGATAGGAAAGAGAAGAATGAAGTTAAAACAATATTATACTCACAAATGCTATTGATCAAAATGCAACGAATATTTTTCGAGACAGTTTGGACTTCTTGTGTGCCTATCACCGCATAAATTTTCTCGTTGAATACTTTATAAGTTCATATACAATAAAAACTAACTTCTGTAACATTGACTGTTACGATTCAATTTGAGTTACAAGCAAAAAATCCTTCATAGGACGTTACAAAGGTGATGGTCATGGTCTGTAACGCTCTTTACTCGTCATGTCCGTCACGGCTTTTACTCGATGACTATCATATTCTCTGGCGAGCATCGACATTCACTTCTACGTGACAAAAGAATCTCTTCTATTGAACCTTACATTTCTCTTCTGAATAAACATATCAATTCATTATTGCATTGAACAATCCAATAATATATACACTTGATAGAAAATAAAAACATTTCCTGTACTTCATATGTATTGAATAGTTGATCAGAAAAGAGCTTTTGCAAATACTGTTCAATTAGTTTCTATCACAAAACTAAAGTAGACCATTCCAACGGCTAACACACGACATAGTCTAATTGTCTATCCGATTCTATTGGACATTTCCTTTTCTTTTAATGAATGAGAAAAGTAAAATCTTCTCGACATAATTTCCGTTTGAGAAAATTTATCGTTTGCCGGTCAGAAAAAAAAAGAGCAGAAAGAAACAGAAGGAAGGTTACTCGATGTATTGATGAAATCAATAAAAGACAGAAAAAGAATTATATAGCTTTCGGTTGTTGAATTGAAGGCTTAAGTACTAAGTCGTTTTTTTAGAAAATGATGCATTATTGATCAACAAATCCAGGTTGATTTATATGATCGACAAAAAAACGTCGCATATAATTGAAAGTTTTTTCAAATATTGATTCTTCATTGCATATCTATCTCCTTCTTGACAATGATGTTTAAATATGCCATGTCAATTGATTGTTTTCAGTACACGAAAAACATCCTTCTCTATTTCATAACCCACAAAATATAATTCTGTTAAATACATCTCGTCAGCATGTTCATCGAATTTGTTACATAATTCGATAAAAACCAAAATGTTCATTATATCATCGATATGTTGACAATCGATTTCATAAGACGAGTCTATCAGCAATGATATCACGGCACGAGCAGGATGGGACACATATGATTAGCATAACTAAATATTGATGCATTTTTTATTTGTCAGTGACGTTACTAAATAGACTCTCGGTCTGCAGATATTTAATTCTATACAGATGAAGTATTTCTAGTCGTATGAGTACTCAATAAAGGATACTGCTGAATAATGTTCATTGATAGTCATTCGAGTCTTGCGAATTATTAGCATCGTTCTCATTTGAATTTGAATAGCTGAGGTAGACTGAAAGACTTAGACTGGACACATTCGTATTTGTTATGCCATTCGACGATCGATTTCTTCCTATATTCATCTATTGATTTACAGAAAAGGTATTTGTCTTATAAATATGACGTTCTGTTCTCTCATCACTAAGAGAACGGAATAAATATCATTAATGTATCTTCGTGACTGTCTTTTCTGTGTTTCTTCTTGAGTCAGACAGAATGCGTTTCTCGATACCGACGTTTTGTTTCGTTGGATTCATCCCCTTATATGTAATTTTACCGAATTCTTCTCTTTTTCTCTTTCCTTCTTTTTTTCGGCTGTTGGCGAGCAAACATGCATGTATTCTTCTTTTTTTTGTAGCAGTTTGATTTTAAAATCTTACGTGACGGAGAATAATTTGTACCATACGCAGTTTTTGGCTTAATAATCCATCAGTGTAAATGCTGTTTCTTACAATATTCTATTAGATATTATTAACTATTCTTACTAACTTGGTCAATGGGACAAGTGACAATGTCGATCAAGTGAGTAATCATGTTCTCAAAGATCGATATCAGATGAAGCGAGAATATCTAGAGATTGATCTGAGAATTGGATAGTCGTTTGAATGGAAGTACATTGTGCTGCGATTTGCCTTTCCAGACAATGGTGTATTGTAAATGTTAGCAAATAAAACGTGATTTATCAACAGAACATTGCATTTCAATGTCAAATAGTCTATAAAAAGTCATCAATTCTTGAAGCGAATGATTGAGTGACAATGCGTATTGATTTCATTTGATGTTCACATCCTCTCCGAACTAATTCTATTATATAAATCGATTATATTGTTTCTTATTAGATATATATCAAGACGATCTATTCTATTATTGACGTTAACGATTGGAATGATTTGTGCATACTACTACATGACAGTAGACTCAACAGAAATTCTTTTTACTATTTATAAAACACCTGATCTGTCGTATAAAGTAATCAATATGAACGATCGAACGCCGGCATATCGATTAGCAACGCTCAATGGGAGAAGACCATACGCTGATGGCGATCGAGCACAGGCGACTGTCGTCGAACATCTTCGATTATTAGAGAGATGTCAACGCGATCCCTCACTTGTTGTTGTTGATGTCGGCGCATATCTAGGAGATTTTGGATTGTATGCTGCGGCATGCGGTTGTCAAGTATACTTATTTGAAGTGCAACCTGATATGATCGATTTAATACAGACATCTATCAATGTTAATGACTTTCCTTCCTCGCGCGTTCAGCTGGTGCATAAAGCTGTTACTGATTTACCGTCGAATTCGAATTTGACATTTAGTATTGCTGGAGGAAGTACGACGGCTGCCAATGGAACATTATCTGTTTCAACCATTCGTCTCGACGATATTCAATGGCCATTGAATTCGAAAATATTTCTTTTAAAAATTGATGTGGAGGGTTTTGAATTGCATGTACTTCGCTCGGCACAAAATCTCTTTCGCAATCAACGTATTCAGCATGTAATCTTTGAGTATACTGCATTCTGGACTGATAGAGCAGCCCAGAAAGAGGTTCTACCGTATGTTGACAAGAAATTAGGTGCGAAGAACTTCTATGTATTACACCGGACGAGAAAAGATGTTTATGGTCCGTTAGATCGCGATAAGTTCGATGAATTTTATGAAATTCACACGAAGAGGTGTTTACAGACCGATGTCTATGCGACTTTCATCGATCTTGAATCAAATGATATGATCAAAACAAAAGAGTATGATGTGAAATCAACGCTAGCATAACCGAGTATATGTTAATCGTTTCTACTTTGGCGTTTTAGGGAAATGTTGTATATATTATTTTCCTTTTATGCATATCGTTGTGTAATAAAATGAACTGTTCTAGTAGATAAGTCATTCTCTATCTTTCATCCTGTTTCACGCTAACCAACCGATAAAACGTGTTCGACTGTTACAAGCTTAATTCAATTGCTTCTGTTAATAATTGTGAAGAGGATTGAACAACAATGTATTGTCATTATCAATTGTATGCAGAAGTACTAGGCAAAGCGTTTTTTCCTACATAGGAGATTTCAAGAATAGTACCAAAATGCGTTAGGAAAATATGGTTTGTTTTAATGAATATCATAGTTTGTTTTGACAAAAATGATTCAGTGTATCGAAATATCGTTGTTCATCTTCGCGACTAAAAACATCAAAGATAATTAGAGATATTTTTGTGTTTGAACCACGATGTCGAAGCCAGTCAGCTACCGTTTGTATGGCTATGCGACAGGCACTATCAGCTGGAAAAGCAAATAATCCTGTTGAAATACAGCAGAATGCAATCGATGTGATGGTGCCAATTTCAGATGCTAAGTTCAAACAAGATTCGTAGCAAGAAGCCAATTGTCGAGCATCATTGTCTGTGACACGTGCACCATATGACAACTGAGGACCAACGGTATGTATCACGTATCGAGAGGGAAGATTATAAGCAATGGTGATTTTAGCATGACCAATCGGTTCTGACTGTCCCTGTCGGTTCATAATAGCATAACAGTCGTCTCTTAAACGCGGACCAGCAGCTGCATGAATGACATTATCTATACATAGATGGGTAGGTTGAAAACAGCCTAAAAGAGCGTTATTCGCTGCGTTAACAATGGCGTCGACGACTAGAGTTGTGATATCACCGCGCCAAACACGAATTTGCGGAAAGGATTTGTATTGTACAGGGAGATTGCTTGCATATGTTAATGTTTTCATGTGATCTCGTTCGAAAGAAAGCATTTGATCGATCAGATTATAGATATGTGAAGGATATCGTTGTTCAGGCGAAGGATCGCGAATAGTAAGAGTGTGACGAATGAAAGATCGTTGATCTTCAATAGAATTCTGGGAATAAGGACTTTGTGGTCCACTGAAATATTCGACGAGCTCACGAATAATTGAGCCATAGTTAATTGCTTTATTAGAGTTATGTACGGCCAGGGGTTGTAGTTTGATTAATGAAGAATAATCTTTCAAAGTTAGTGTATGGGACATCTAAAAAGCAATAAAGTTAAGCTCGTCTTTATTGTCATCATTGTTTCATATATACGCTAAGAAAAATTGTCGAGTCATTTCTTACCAACCACTTTCAATGTAATGGATTAGTCGTTAGTCATTGATGATGTACGTTTGTATGGAATTCGTTATCGAGCGCCATCTAACTGTTGTTTCGTAGCGACATGAAGGTGTTTCGAAGGGTAAAAAAGTTGAAATGGTGATTAAAATCAATACGATTTCATCGGCTTCGTTCGTAGCTTTCAATTTAATTTATAAATCATGGGTCCAAAACGAGCTGACAATGCTAACAAAAACCGACGCGTATCACAACTAATAGTTGCTCCAACAGAAGAACAAGGTTTTTTAGTTGATTTTTCATTCAGTCTCTATGCACATACGTACGTTCTATCTATAGAAAACCATCAATGTCTCGGTAAATTTGCTGCTGATTTGGAGATATGTTGTCGAGAACTGTCTTCAATGCCTCCATATCTCACTATTCCGGTGTACAATCGTAATCTTCCATCTTCAGTATCCCAACAAATGGGTACATATTCAGGTGCATCTGTCGCTCCATCGTTGATTGGCGGCGAAGAACAATTCTCTTCATCGGCCAAGTTGCCATCTACTGCACGTATTCCATCGAATAGTGGAACGTTAACTGGTCTAGAAACTGATAATCGATCACATAGTATTCTTGGTAAGTCGATAAATTCATGACGCTCAAGTCAAATTGAAGACGTTTTTTTTTTCGTTTAAAGGACGTGAATCAATCAGATCTTCATCATCCTCTTATCGTACATTTCACCTTGTATCAAACAGTGACTTTTATCGTCCAAAATTCCTAGCCGATCCAGTTGGTCACGAGCAAGATCCAATCGATCAAATCAAAGCCTTATATATGCGAGGTATTTACTTATACTCAGTGTGAAGGATAAAATTACCTTACCTTTTCACTTAGCCTGGCAACTTGATCAACGGTTTATTGACATATTGAAAAAGGTGCTTCCTTTACAAGAACAATTGCATACACTCGAGTACGTTTTGTGTATATCCAATAAACATTGGATAAAATCGTCATATTTACTCTAGCTTTTGTTTTGTCGGACTGAACGCACAGACAATCTATGGGCTTGCTGACGTTTGTCAAACGATCAAAAATTTAAAGTAAGCACTTTGAAACAATAAACCTCATTCACTAAAATTCCTAGCATCCCCTTTTAGAACTGTTTCACTGGATGGAAATCCATTGGCAGGAGAGCATTTCTATACTCTAATCGATAAGCCTGATTCGAAGTAAACAACATTAAACATTGAATGATTTGTAATATCTACAATTGACACACTTGTCTAGAATAGTTCATCTTTCCCTTCGATTTTGCCAAGTCGGTGATACAGGTAGTGAACGTCTTGCCAATGCTCTGGGAACGATGTATATTCAAAATTGCAAATTATTAACATTAACACTAACCGGTAATCAAATTGGTGATCATGGTGCTGAATCTTTCGCAAAAGTAAAGTCAATCGCTGCCATTCTTCGACTATTTTTCATCTTCAGGCATTGCGATACAATCGAACATTGATTTCTCTTAATCTTTCATCGAATTGCATTACTGATACAGGTGCATGTGCATTAGCATTCGTAAGTACCGAATATTATGAGATTCTCTTTTTTTTCCTAAACAAAATGATTCATCATACTATCCATTTAGATATAAGTAGGGTAGGTTTTGTCGATGTATATCTATTGTAACGTCATTAATGTGTTTGTTTGTCTAGGAACTAGGTTTTGATAGTAAATATTGTCGTATATATTCTATTGAATCTAGTTTAAAGAGTGTTTTTGTATGTGCAATCGTTATTAACTCATTGTCGTTTAGGTTTTACGGCAGATTAACTTGACTAACGACGAAATCATTCATCGGAGACATTTACTATCGGAACGATATGGAGATGCAAATGCAAATGACTTTCGTATTTATGTAAGGCATACACAGTGAGTGACCATACCAGAATGAAGAGAACAATTTTTAGGCGACCTCACCAACTCCATCAACAACATCAACGAAAAGTCGTTCAGCTCGTGACTTGAGACGAACTTTGGATTCCAATAAGAACCGAAAAACGACCTCAACAAGATCTACAGTATGTTTCGAAAACGCTCAATCTTTGTTCAATCTTCACGATGGTTCCGTATGCTTTTAGGACAAACGTCATAGGGCAGATTCGAGCGGTAGACGACTCGCTGTCAAATCAATTTCTTTTCATTTCAAAATCGATTCTTGTAGATGAAAATCGTCCGCCGTCGACTAATAAGAATGAACATAAGAAGGGAGCAAACGCACGCTCAACATCCACAAACGCTCGAGGAGTTGCATCTGGTAAATACCATGAATTTACTATTCTAAAAGATAAATCCAATTGGTATTCGTTTAGATTCAACACGAGCACCAACTGTAGCCCGTGGCAAGAAAACTTCGTCAAGTACGACGAATGTGTCAAAGAAGAATACTTCATCTGCAAAAGAAGATGACGATCCCAATGAAAAGGTAATTTAAATAAGCAGAATAATTGAGATTCAAGCAGCCTTTTCATCTTACTGCTCTTCACGACGATAATTTTGATAGAATAGTTGCACATTTCGGAATATACATGATACTTTCTAATAGATCGATGAATCTATAACTCTCTTTTCTCTCCAGAACCGGTAAGTTGCTATATTCTTAATCAAAAAGTCAAATATATACAATCAAACTTATTTTCTCATCTATTAATTAACGTAAATCATTCAATATCATAATCATTTGATTATCTTTACATATCAAATTCCTGTTCTTCACATCGACGCTTCATTCCGCACTCTTCATTGCTTTTCTTGGCATTTTGTCTATCAACAACAATTTTCCTCATTTATTTTTAGGGTCATCCACCTGTAGGATCATTATCGGGAAAAGTACGACTCTTTTTATCATTAAAAGCCTTCATTTTGTTGTTTATAGTTACCAATGCTAACGACCCAGCGATCCGAACGTGAAAATCCATTAATAGAAAGAAATGAAAATCAATTATCAAATGGTGAAATAATTTTAAAAGGCAATTTAGTTCTTTTGAACTTGAATTTATCTCGTAAATACACTCAATAAACTACGCGATAAATACTATTTGTGTTTCTCGCAGGAAATCATTTAACTTTAATAACGGTCAATGAATTTCTCCTTTCCGTTCAGTATCAATTGAATATAACACAATTTCATGAAACCAATTACGCTTCCCTGGCCGATTTCTCTGGTCTATGTCGACTCGAACTCAAAGTACTCAGACCTCTTTTGATGTTCGGAATAATTATCTTTTTCTTGCATGATTGAAGGATATGGAAGAAGTATCGAAAGCTTCCTCTGCTTATCAAGCATTAGAAACGCTTCTTGCTCAAAAGAATCCATTGCATCGTTCTCAACAAATTAAAGAATACGAAGCAAAATTGATCGCTGAACAGCAACAATCGGTTCCTAGTGTATCAGAGAAGGCACGTGTTGGTTCGAGTCTCCGCTCGACCAGTAAGTTTATTCTACCTTCTAGAAATCTTTTTTACTGTCTTCTTTTCAGCTCAACGACCAACATCCCGTGTTAAAGATCCGAATTGATTTTATTTTCTCTTTTCAATAAACCAAATTCTAGTTTTTCTCTCCTCATTTTTCTAGATTTCTTTTTCTTTGTCTCTCAATGTCCGCTGGAACAAAAGCCTATGTCGACGGTAAAATTCAAGTCCGCCGAATCATGATGTTCGCCAAATCGAATGATCCGGAATCGCAAAGAGCGAAAGATATCCTCAACCAATATGATCTCTCTACAGGTAACTACTCATCAAAACATTCACTTGCTCTCTATTCGATATTTTAGACGACTATGAATGTGTCGACATCGAAAAACGACAAGATTGCATCCAATTAGAAAACTATTTTCAGTATATCTGCTACACTGATCGCCGAAAGGTAAAGAAAACATGATTTTCATTCGTATAAAACCGAACATTTTGTAGAATCCATATATCTTTATCAATCAACTGTACTTTGGTTCGCTATTTGAGCTGAATATCTGTCATCAGAATGGTTCATTGAAGAAAGTTTTATCGTAGAATAGACTTGTTGAATTGTATTTACCAATAAAAATAATGAAAAAAAAAGAAATTTTCCCTCGTTTCACACGACCTGGAAGCGACATTTTTAACATCTCATTACTTTTTTTTCCCAAGTAATATGCAAATTTGTACGAATGATTGATTTGACAACTCGGTATTTACTTTTCGAATCGTGATTATATTCTAAACATTTCTTGCCACTTGATTTCTCTCGAATATTTGACCAAAATTCTCTTCGTTCTCCGATCCTGATGTTTTCAATTCTTTCGAAACCTACCATGATTAGCAAACAAAATTCTTTACAGAACAGAATCAGTTTCGAAGGGCAACAAACATTCTCCAACACTTGAAAGGCTTTATTAATATGAGCACTTGAAACATTTTTTTCGTACGGACATATGTCCTTGAATTTCTACTATTTGTTAATCAAAATACGAACTAATTGTAGTTAAACATGTCGACAGAAAACATGACATTGATTTTTCAAGGTTTCTCAGACGAAAAGCAAATGAATAATTTACAGTTACATGTCTTTTCATGTCACGAATGGCATTCTCATATATCGAAGAAAATCTCTTACAATGAGTTTAATCTCGATTTGTAATGGTGCCACTTAAAATGTGTGTGTATACTTTAAGCTAAATATTTCATGCTTTTTCTCATGGTCATAAGCACTTGTTCAATATTATTATTGTCATTGAAAGGAAAAAGAGAATTTTTCAACACAAAGTTCTACTGTACAAACAAATTGTTTAACAGTCAGTTTGCTGTTCAAGTTCGTTCATTATCTGAGCAAAACATTCGCTACCACCGAATAAACGTTGACAACGAGTGCCCAGCGGCACATCGTCAATGATCGTCGATGATGGTGTTAACATTCGACTGCCTGTTTTTCGACTAGTTATATCGGTAGAAGCAGCGGATGATGACGAACTCGTTTGCTTACGAAGAATGGAACGTGTGTGACCGATAGTTAGGCCGCGATGCGATCTATTTGAATGCATATCAAGAGGAGAACTATTGTTCGAAGATTTCCGAGAGATAGGCTGAAGTTTCGAGATCACTCGTGTTTTCATTAGTGCTGAGCGCCAATGAGTAGATGGAACGTTAGGTGAACGTCTTGATGTTTGGTCAGCGTGAAAATCGACATGTCGGTAACGTGACGAAGTTGATAGATCAGAAACATGAATTGCAGGTAGAACGAAATGATGATTACGTATGGAAGTCGGAGCATTATGTGGGAAAGAATCATCTAAAATGACGATTACTATGTTTATTCGACTGTTTTTTCGATCGAAGTCATATACCTTTATCCGATGAAGTTATTGTTGAAGATGAATCATCGCCGTGATATTTTCTTGGCGGAAGTTTTCTTGTTTTCGTCTTAGATGAATGCGTTGTTTTACTTTCTAATGGCGCTAATGGAGCTTTTGGTCCGGGGCGGCTTTTTAAATCCTTTTGAAATTGATACACATACCATGAACATGTCGAAACAAGTTGTTCGGCTTTAGCTAAATCGATACCCATTTGACAGAGCGAGTTTTTAAGCAAAGCCTGTGTCACGACAGGTCCACGACTATGTCCACTAGATGTTTTAAGCCATGCAGTATAATCTGAATATTTACTCTTCAATTCAGTAAGATCATCAGTGAGATACGTATTGTTTCTATCGGTCGATATAGATNAAACACCTTTCAGATATCAAATAGAATAACAATAACAACGAGCGATGGTCACAGATGAGTGTGAATGATAAAAATCTATTCTTACTCAAAACGGTTAGATTAAATCGTTTTATGATTGTCAATGTCCGATCAGCGGATGAAACACGACATGTGTATTCTCCTGCATCATCGTCGGAAACGTCCGATAAAATAAGACTCCACGTCCAAGCATATCTAAACAATGAGAAGATGTTTTCATCGATTAGACTATTGACTATCGGATCAATTAAAGAAAGAACACGTACGTATGCTCAAGCACGAATCGTGTACGATCATCGCTATCAAGATTTTCACCGGTCGATGTTGCCAATAAGCGTCCCGTGGGCCCATAAAAATCCGCCTAAAAAATATATTTCCCCGATGAACATGATGTAATCGAGAATGATGAAGGCACAACTTACCCGTCTATTCGAATATCGTTCGGGTAAATCACATATGAAGGTTGCTGTTTCACCCGTATTTACAGATACCGTTTCCGAAGAATCATCAGAAGAACAAATTGAAGGGGAGAACAATACAAAGATCGAAATGAGTATTCGTAAAATCATGTGTGTATGGTCTCTTGTAACATCAATATCTTGTCATATCTAGAAATGAGAATAAACTCCTTTGAATGTTTCCTATAACAGCATCATTCATTCATTTCTCTCTCCATCGCTTCTCTCCCTCGTTTGTCTTTCTTTTTTTTCTCTATATGTTTCTCTCTCCCTATTTTGTTCATACACATAATTATAGAGATGTGTGTGTGTGTTCATTTTTGATTCAGTACGTGCGTGCATAGGTTAAGAGAGAAAGCATGACTGATTATCATTCTTAGTTGCAACGAAATAAACGAGAGAAAGATTGAGTAGAAAATTATAGACCTTGAACAAATTGAAAAAGAAATCATCTTACTGGAACACTGAACAGTGTGCATTCGCGCGCACGCGCATACTCAAATCCTTCGGCTTTCGACATATTTATTTCATTATAATCTCTTTTTCTCTCTCTCTCTCTTCCTTGTGTCTCTCTAAAATGAGATTACTCAAGGTCAGAAGAAGCCTTTTGTTTTTCCATTAGATGTCTGAAAACTAATTGAAAAACAACAAATGATATTCATTCTAACAAGGTTGTCTTTTCAATCATCGATGAATTGTCATCTTCCATAGACGAAAAAAAGGTCACAATTATCGATATTCACGTATCTCCTTCGACATACATAGTACTTACCTGAAAATGATCCTAAGCTTTAGAATAATTCTCGATAATTGGATTCAAGTGCATTCATACATGTACATACATACTCACTCGGAGAATTTCTTCTCTCTCTCTCTCTCTTCTCCCTGGCCATCACTGTAGACACAAGTCGGAAGTGAATTGTCAGTGAAAGATAGAATAGGAAGATTGCGTTTCTTCTGAACATGAGCGGAAAATGACAAGCATACGACATGTTACAATGACCTGTTGATTCTAAATGCTTTATGTGTTCATCGGACTAATAAGAAAGATGAAAGTAATAATAATTGAAAAAGGAGAAAAAGAACAGTAGTCATATTAACTTGCAATGTTACAACAAGATCGACAAATGAGAGAACGATCAAAGTCTATTCTATAGTTCACTGCTATCATCAATAAATATCTAAATGCATCAATAAGGTAGTTGATTACTTAATCGAACTCTCTGATCTCATGTATATATATATGTATATATGTAGTATACATCAGAGACAAAGCACAGATGGAAGAGATGAGGGACAACATGCAATCATTCGTCAGTCGATGATGGAAAAAGGCACGAACAATGACAATTGATTCTTGACAAGCGTTAATGTTTGTTGATATATATAATTTGTCTACTTTGACTTTTTAAATGAATACGTCTTAAGAGATATACCCGAACAAATAAGTTGTGTCATTTCAATGACTCAGTACAATTGATATAAACAAAAAAAAGAAGTGACTACCGAAGGGAAATGGAAACAAGGTGATAGACATTCTTTCGGTCAAATGATCCTAGATGTTTTGTTGAGGGAAAATATTGGTTATCTATTAGTATAACAATGAAAACATATGTTCTACTAAAGTCTATCGTTTTATGCTTTGTACCATCTGGCTGATTAGAATGGGAGTATTACTGATTGAATTAAACAATAGTCGACAGATAATTAATTTATTGTTACAAGATACTGATTGTGCTCCTTGTAATACGAAATTACGGGATTTTATTCTAAAATTGAATACAACGCTCGGGCATACACACACGGTCTGAAATAGTATGATTAATTGAATATTATTAATTAAAATTTTGTAGAAGTTTGAGCAATTGGCCCACAAGAATCGTCGTCGAAATCTTGAGATTTATAAGCAAAGATTAGCAAGGGTAACACTATACCTGCAACTAATGCGCCAACAATAGCCATGTCTAGTGTCATTCCCAGTGCAGCAGCTTGATAGGCTGATTGCGTGCTATTACTTCGAGGATTTCCACCACTAAGACATGAATCTGTCAGATGACTCAAATAACCTGATCGATCGCCGATCGAAGCAACAATAATGCTTGTGATTTCTGCGATAATACCTGGCATTCTATGTAAATTGTTCACACCACACGTATCATGAACGTGTATGCATTTCAAGGCAGCTATGATGCCAGCTAGCGTGTCGATAACCATCGTATCATGAAGAATAATATTGGATGTTTATACAGTTCAGACGACCGACCATTCCACTGGCTAACGTTGGATTTTGAACATGAATCATATAAATTTTGCCTTTTTCACACAAGTGTCGACATGTAGGTATTTGTTACTGCATGCAGACGATCAACATCGCTAGCCGTTCCTGTATTGAGCGACGACGACCAGAAGCAGAAAAGAAAACCAGTACCAATCGTGGAAAACACATCGGATGAATAACGCGATCTTTCCTCCGCCGATTCAAAAGTATTCGAACGGAATAGGACCAATGCAACTGTTAGACCAAAATATGTGCTTGCGAAGAACAAATTTACCTTCAAGAAAGTCGATTCTGTTCGTAGTCCTACCAAACGTACGAACATATACTCATTCACTGGCATCAATAGCACAGAAGAAATGTGATCTAGCTCATTAATAGACCACTTGCATTAGAACTTTAGTTATTGCCATTAAGTTTAGTTGAAGTGCATTGAGTTTTCCTGGAACAGCATCCATGGAAATCAATATACTTGCTGAGACGAAGTCAGCCGTCGATAAACTTTGAACATCATCACGCGGATGTCTGTAAACGCTGGATAGCAGAATTTCACGAGACCTCATGATGGATCTTCGAAGTTGGCGACGTTCGAAACGGGATAATATTGATATTTACTATGGAAAGCAAGAAGCAGAATGACTGGGAATAGATATGAGCGATATCTCGTCATTGTCAATCCTGTGACCGAATCGCTCGACTTAGTTTGTTTGTATAAGACATTGTTAACACTTAAATAACAAAATCCAGAAGAAAAACATGCAGATTTCTAGGTTTTCACTTGTGGGTTGAACTGTTTCAACCGTATTTTTTCTTGTTAATATGAATTTCGCACTCTCGATCGAGCAAAATACATAAGGTCAATTTTTCAGCCCGAAGAGCCCATATGTTTTAGTCGATTATTTGAAATGAAAATATTCAAATGTATATATTACTTATAAAATCACAATGATTTCATTTGTATTTTTTTTATTTCTTTTAACAAACAATCGGAAAACAACAGTTAACGAACAAAAACAATTTACGTTCGTTTTTTATTCTTGCCGGATCTCTGTTGGTTCTTTCCTTTACCAGCTGAGTTATTCTTTTTGGTAAATTTTGATCGTTTTTTAGCAGCACGTTTATCTTTCTTCAAACGTTTGTCAACAACTTTGTACGGACCTTTGGCACCTGCTGGTCGGCTGGCACCTCGTTGAGATTTTTTCGCCACAACATATTTCACATTGGCTTTCTTCTGGCCAATGACACCATATTTTCGATAGAGACTAAAAACAACGGAATTGAAGTGCTTCTACAGTCGGGAAGACTTACTCTTTTATCTGTTTATTTCGTTCTTTGTTGTCTAAATCGGGATTATCCAGCAATGGTTCAGCCTTCTTTTTGACTTTTTCTAATTTACGTAATTCCTAAGAACAAGCACTCGAATGAGATGATGAAAATTCAAATGACAACTAAACATACACGTCGTTTCTTTCGAGCTTTAGCTTCAGAGACTTTCTTCGACGGTCGTTCATCGATTTCTCTCATTTTCGCTTTGTATCTTTGAACAACTTCTTTGGTCAGCGGTAAACTTGCTCGACAGTGTTGTTTCTCTTCCTCAACAAACCATTTCGGTAGACCTTCCGCGTCGCCATAACCCATAAAACTAAAATCAATAAACGTCATGCATTCATTCATTCGTTCCAAGAAGACGCTTTTACCGATTGTACGAATGATCAATCAATTGTTCACGATTCTTTTTCGATTGAGCCATAACATGACCAATGGCTAAGCCTTCAGCATCGAGATGAACGCGTTTCATTGCTATATGAATGAAATAATGTAGGTGGAAAATTGATCAAAGACAAACATACGTTGACCGATCGGTACTTCTTCAAATCCGTCTTTGTCCAGTGGACGTTTGGCCTTCTTCGGCTTACTCTCCTCTTCTGAATCACTGGAGTCATCGGCTAAAAGCAATGTTGGCTCAGATTCAACTAATTCACGAGATAAACAACTTTACCTTTACCATTCTTCAGAATACTTTTGGAAGCTTTAGCTAAATAGAAGAACAAGATCAGTTAAAGAACTCTATGGTTCTTTCATTCTTACCAAGAACTGGGACACCTTCTGATTTTAATGCATTCAATTTTCTTTCCAATTCGAACTCTTCATCATCATCGTCAGCATTCAATGTTTGCTTGAATATGTCCTGTTCGAACCAGACATCAGCGACTGTTTTCGCTTTTGCTGATTTCGTTGGTGCATCAAGAATGTCCATATCTAATGGATTTTCTTCATCATCTTCCCATTCATCGTTTTTATTTTCATCATTTTCCGATTCATCATCGTCGACGTCACTAAAAATTCAAGCCAGTTTCGTCTCGCATGCAGTTCTTTGCACATACCTATCGAGTTTCGGCTGACGTCGTTCTGAATCGTATGGAATTCGTTCATCGTCTTCATCATCATCATCATTTTCATCGTCGAGGTATTGTTTGTAAATATCGATCGACGCTAAATCTCCATTATTTTTCTCTCTATCATACGCCACTCGAGGTATCCGATTCTTTCCTTGACCGAGGTAAACATCGTCATCACTGTTGACTTCTTGGTCAGCCCCGAAATTCATATCTGGAATAGCTGATGAAATTTCCAATAGTTGCTAAAAACAACAATGATAATTATTGATAGGATTGAAGTAATGATCAAACCTTTTTGGTTCTGATTTTTTCAAGATCGAATAAGCCTTGATCATTCTTGCCACCTTCAGCTGTTTCATGATCATGGACATCACCAGGTAAGACCATTTTCAAAGCAAGACGATCACGTAGTTTACGCTTTTCTTTCATCACATGTTTACGCTTTCTACAGAAGAAAACAAATAGTTTTGAATAAATTTCCTATGAGTACAAACCTTTTCGCTTCTTTTCGCTGCTGTTCGTTAAGTTTTAATAATTGCTCTTCAATATCGGCATCTTCTTCGTCTTTTTCACCGTCCTCAGTCTCTTCTTCGACTTTTTTCTCTTCACTTGTTGCTTCAGTTCGAAGTGGAGCTTTCTTGTAAAACGATGCAAACATATGTCGACGCCAAGCAAGAATCGATCTAGATAAAACATTCGGTCACAATATAATGCTGTCCAAATCTTTTTGTACTAACGTGATTTCACGTCGACCGAGAACTTTAATATCTTTGATACATTCTTTGACTTCGTCTGTTGTTTTGGGATGTTGAAGTAGACGATCGTCGTCAATCACAATCTGCAAAACGAAAAATCAGTCCAGTAGAACTTTCATTCGACTTACTTCATTCGCTGTTGCAAGAAGATCCAAAAAATTCTCGCTTTCGATGAATTTAGTTGCGTCTAGTTTGTGATACAAGGTGTAATCTCCTTCCGGATAACCTTCTCGACTTCTGTAAAGAAGAAAAAAGAGCGGCAATGAATGAAACAGAACTTTCTTCGAACAAACCGGATGAATTTTTCAGGATGTTTCAAGCGTAGTTTTGCTTTGTTTTGTGCTTCGGTGATATCACTATCAACTTCTGTGAAGACATGTTTATAATCGAGAAACTTTGGATCGATTTTATCCGGTGCATGATATCCTTGACAAACGACGAAGATTTCAGCAGATTCGTTACGCGAAGCCTGAACAGCCACAAATCATTTCATTGAGAAAGAGACAAAGTGGAAAATCTACTTGAGGCTTAGTTGAATCTACACGTTTGAACATTTGTTGGAAAACCCATAGTAATGAATAGTAATCTTTCGAACGAAACATTTTCGTCACGAATGTACCACCTTTACGTAGAAATTCTGTTGCTAACTTCAACGCGTTCAAAGTCAATACATCTGAAAAGATCCGGTTTCTTACGAGAATCTGCGATCTCAAATGAAGTTAATTACTTTGTTGATATGCGTCATGAACCCAACTTTTTCCGACGTTTGGAGCACCGTCATGAAGAATAACGTCGGCTTTAAAGGTAGCTAGATCTTTTTTCAAAAGCTAAATATAACTATTGCGTGTGAAGAGGAGGATTTCAAAGATCAGTTCATACTTGTCGACATTTTTCTGATGTGATATCTTCTTGATATGTAATGGTATGTGGAATTGGTTTAATTGGTGCTAAATCAACACCTAAAAAATAGAAGAATGTAAGAAAAGAAAGCCTAGATGAAAAAAAAAAGAAAGTTTACCAATGATTAAACTTGATATTGGCATATGTTTTTCAGCTACTTGTAACCAACCACCGGGTGCTGCACATAGATCGATAAGAACACGAGCATTTTCAAGAAAACGATGTTCACGATTTAACTGTAATAACTTGAATGCAGCACGAGATCGAAAGCCTATTGGAATATTGTTAGAAAAAAAAGAGTTCTTCGCGAAATATCAATAAAAAAATATACCCGATTCTTTAGCTAAATGGTAGAATTTATCGCGACGAAGTTTTCCAACTTTTGCTTTTTTGCCCATGTTTATCTGAAAGAAAATCTATGACTGTAGAGTGTTTGCCTTCGACACTAATGAGAAGTATTCGGACGATACGCCGTCTATCTTATTTTACTATATCTCTTCATTGATTTACAAACTGCAATAACATTTTGCACTGAAATCAACCATTCAGTAAGAAGATGAGACATTCATGTGTGTACTAACGACATCTATACCACTAGATCGCCCGTTCTTAATCTCATTTTCGTCATACTTTTCCTCTAGATTATCAAATTTTGAACAAAATTTTATTATTATTTCATCATGCAATATCCGCCATAGATTCGTCCAATGTCCTTCGATTATTCACTTCTTCTCAAAACTTTCATGTATTCGTCAGGGTCACTGGCGTGACAATATGTAAATCATTTCTGTCGTTCTAGATAATACTATTGTGGTTCAATTCATATACAAATGAGTAAGCACAGTGCCAACTTTGGCGGTACCATTGGTTGGGATGAACAAACCGTTATCGGCAAACGTGCACCGCGAGCTGGGGAATTAAAAACGGAATCAGCTATTGCTGCCGCTCAACGTGCTGGTGTTGCCATCGATACGTCCAAAAAATACGCGGCTGGACATAACAAGCAACATGAAGCAGCGAAAAATACCGCTGCTCTCGATCGTGAAACCGAAGAACTGCATCATAATCGAGTCAATACAGATGTGGCACGAGCTATTCAACAAGGCCGCATAGCTAAAGAATGGACACAAGCTGATCTAGCTCGCAATATTAACGAAAAGCAGCAAGTCGTCAATGAATACGAACAAGCGAAGGCAATTCCCAATCAGCAAGTTTTAAGCAAATTGGAACGTGCTTTGGGTATCAAATTACGCGGTAAAGATGTTGGACAACCGTTAACCACCGGACCAAAAAAGAAATAAATGATTATTTTGTGCTCATGAAACAACAAAAAGACTCTCTTTCTTTCCCTTTTATGGTTACTCTTGTATATTTTTATCCATAATCTGTTGCGAAGTTCTACTTTCATTTTCTTTTTTGGTCTATAAGATGGTTAAAAGAACCGCAAAAACAGACGAAGTAGAAGAGATCGATCGAGGAGCTTTTTTTTGATTAAGTAGACGAAATGATGACTTAGCTTGAAAACATTCTGACTTTTTTTTGTAGATGACTCAAACTTGAATAAATTCATTTCATTTTACTTCAACAACACAGAAACGTTCAATCTAAGGCATGTTCTCTCTTTCTATTTAGATTACGAAGGCAATATTGTTTGGGTTTATTTTAGTCTTTCTTTATTTTTTACAAGACAACGATGGATCAAGCAGACGATTTGAAGGCATTTGAACGTCGTATGATCGAAATCGTTTCATCACTTCAACCATCGATATGGCGTTGGCGTGTGATCCTATTCATTCTTGTTGTTGTCACACTTCTCACATTTTATGCGTTGATTACAGATGATTCATTCAGCGCGTCATCTTCAGTCAACCAGTCTAGTGATAATTCTTTCCTGTCTACAATCTACTCACATCTGTTTTGTAAAAAAATCTATTTTTCAATATCAATTTCCTTCCTCATCTTCGCTTTTCTATTCGGTATTCATCGTAAAATGTTTTCATCTTCGATTATAATTGCACGATTTCGGTATATTCTCGCTGATTACAACATGTCATGTGATTCCGATGGACGACTTATTATCAAACCACGACCGACGCCACCCTATCTAACTGCTTCATCTTGATATGATTTTTTCTTCTTCTGTTCCATTTGTTGTTGTTGTATTATAAAACTTTCAAAAAAAAACGTCAATCGATTCTTTTTCGTCAAATCTAACAGAAGAATTCTTTCGATTGATATGATTGTTTCTTTTTTTAGTATGACTACGGAATTAAATGCACCTGCGAATGCATCTCCATCTGCATCGCAACATCAAACTGCACATGTGCAACGAAGATTGCAGAAAATTCTCGATTTAAAACTCGAATCAGATAAAGATTTGATCGAATCGTTGAAATACTTATCAAGTTTTTTCACGGAGAACAGCGTTCGAACACGACGGTCGTTGCGCAGTACAATCGAAAAGCGAAGTTTAACACTAAACGATCAATTTGAAGAGTGTTTTCGAGTAGTTAAACAACAACTCGATCAAATTAATGGAACAGTTACATCGATGTCCACTTGTTGTCAAGATATGACACAACGGCTGAAAGTACGACGTCAATTTAATGGCGACATAGTTTTTCATTGTTTGACTTTAGGATGTGAAAGCACAAACACAAGAATTAATCAATAAAACAACGCAAATTCAAAATGAGAAGTACGACATCTTAGTCTTGTTTGATGTATTTCCAAGAAACTCTTCTGTTGTATTTAGTCAAGAGTTGAATGTTAAATCTTGTATCACAGAAGGATTTATCGATCGATTTCAATTGAAACCGGACGAATTGAATGCCTTACGAACAACACGAGATGGATTTTTACATCCAGTAAAAAAGCCGTTTGTCTCGAGTTTCAAAGAACGTTCGCTTTCTTCTCTCCTAGCAATTCTTCAATGTACTCAAACGAGTCAAATCGATACATCAAGACTGTAAACTATTGCTACGAACAAATCAACAAACAATTGGACTAGAAATCATGGAACAAATGGCACTTCATCAAGAATCTGCCTACGAAAGACTGTATCGATGGTTGCAAAGTAAACAAAAAAGCGTTAAATATTCTTCTCTTTTACTTTTCATTCCTCGAAAGATGAGTGTCGACAGCTAACAGCTGAATCACCAGAAATATCGACATTACTTAGTGAAGCACTTGAAGGATTAAAAGAACGACAAGTTTTGTTCAAGTAAATCAAGAACAAAGAATTTGTTTCGATATAAGTTGATTTCTGTAGGTATGTTCTGGACGAGTATGGTACAGCTCGTCGTAGTGCGATTGTTCGCGGTTTCATCGACGCATTAACCCGCGGTGGTCCAGGCGGTATGCCACGACCGATTGAGCTATCCTCACATGATCCATTACGATACGTTGGCGATATGCTTGCATGGACACATCAGGCGGCTGCATCAGAAAAAGAATACGCAGAAATTTTGTTAAGAAAATTTAAAGACTGGAGCGATTTACAGAAAACAATTCAAACGTTATTAGGTTTTCTTACTGAAGGTTTATGTCGGTAAGCTGAATTCATTTATTTTCGATGATTTGAAAGCAGACCGATTTGATCTTTGCAGTCCATTACGTGTTCGTCTTGAACAAGTTTTAGTTTCTCAACATGAACCGGTCACATTGTATAAATTAACAAACTTGCTTAAATTCTACGAAACAACCATCAAACAATTGTTACCGACAGATTGTCAGTTAGCTCTTGTCCTTGATGAAATTACTAATTTATCATCGAAAATGTTCTTAAATGCGTATGTGAAGTTCTTCTATCTTCCAATAACTCATTCTTGTTGTCTCCTAGTTTGAATGCAGCAGCAACACGTTTAATCGAAAAGGTTGATATTCCTACAAACGATTTGAATTTATCCGATGAATTACGCCGTACATTAGCATTACTACGTGATATTCTTGAAACCCATTCAACGTCCATGATACCATTCGAATCAAAACGTACCGATTTCCAACAGATTGTCTACTCAATTATTGATCCACTACTACAAATGTGTTCGTTATCAGCCGCGAAGCTAGGCGTAGTTGAAATGGCTGTCTATCTCGTTAACTGTTATAGTGCAATACGAGCAACACTAGCTGTCTTTGCGTTCACAGACGAAAAGATTGAGATGCTCGAAGGACATGTACGTAAAAGTCATACTGTTGCTCGAATGAATTCTGTAATGTTTAGATCGAAGCCAATACTGATACGTTAATCGGCGAGCAAGCAACCTACATTCTTCTTCGAACAGATCTACTCGATGCTTATCGTATCGTTGAAAAACAGCAACAAGACTCGAATCCTACCGATGGGTCTTTAGCGCTTAAGCCAGGTATGGATACGATTACATTGAAAGCAGCAATGGTAAGTTGAGAGACATTTGTCATAAATGAAATTAATTGAATACAAAAAACTTAGGTGAAATTCGATTCCTATCTGGCATCACCAGATCTTTACATAATGCCACAATTGAAATATCTAACAAGTGCTGTTGTTCGGTAAGAACTATTCTTCTCTGCAATTCGACTTGTTTCCTATTCTAATAATGTCATTTCAGAGAGAAGATAAAGAAACGTTCTGTTGAATTGATCTGCGCAGCTTATACTAGTCTTTATTCGGCCATTATGGATCCAAAGAATACATATGCAAATCCATATTCAATAATGCCACATACACCTGAACAAATAGTTAAATTACTTTCTTAATCCTTATTTATTTAATCAGTGTCGTTGATAAGTGAAAGAAAGAGAAATTCTTGTTTTGAAGAGATTTACTCTTAGATCTGCATGCGAAATTTTTCGGGATATTTTTTATCGGGTGATAAGTACAAATAAAATTATCAAATAATACGACAACTTCGATGTATGCAGATCTTTTATTGATATAAAAGACATGTGCTTTGTTCATATACATAGAAACTACCATACAATAAAAGCTGACTAAAATATTGAACTAAACAAGGAGAAAAATATTCATCTAGATAAGACTTTCTCTTGATTTTCAACTCGCAGTTTGAGTAAATGTAATTCATCTTCTAGTAAACGAATTCGATTATCTTTGAGAAATATGATTTCGCGCAAGGATTGAATTTCTTCTTGTTGTTTGAGGTACTCATGACGATACTGAAATAAGAGAAAGAATTTAGTTGAAGAAGGTCACATGAGATGCTCTCTACTCACATCGATGCCGTAGATTTCAGAAGGAATGGACGAATAAGTATCATTGGTATCCACATTCCATACTTTTTTCTTGATCTCGAAATTATGCTTAATAAATGGCTGAACAAAATCCGGTTGATTTTGAAATTTCTCTCTAAGAAAGGGAAAACTTATAGACAAAGCAATGAACAAACAAATATTTACGTACTTAAGAAAGTTAAATTCGATATTCGATGCAGGTAAATGTATTGACTCGACTTTTTTCATAGATTGATGCGAAATGTGCTGCTGAGGATCATCATAAGATTTGTCCAGTGTCGCAGGAGAAATCGATGAATCGTTGGTCATGTTCACTTTCGGTATTGGAGCAACTTCTGCAACAGGTAATGGAGTTATTCGTTGTAAGGTACCGCGGTGCGGAAAAGTAGACGTCGAATCGAGTGTTCGATAGGTAGTAATTTGTGGAACATTCGTTTCCTCGGTACGTTCTTTCATTGAGACAAGTATCGGATCACGATCAACACCAGAAATCCACTCATCTGATGTTAAGGCTGGATAAGGACCAGTGGTGTCTGGATAAATATCGTATTGAAATACTTCGGCTCGTCGCGGGACTACAGAAAAAATAAATTAGATGAGAAACAATTCTCGAATGACTACAATACGAACCAATCATCGATATGGGTTCACAAATAAAGCCTGTGGATGTTAATTTGTAAAAACGCATAATTTCATTTCGAGTTACATCAACACCTATCTTTGGCATTACACCTTTAAATAAGAAAAGTTACGTTATAGTGGAAGCGACTGTTTTCGGAGCATCAGTTACCGAGACATCGTTGTGGCGACGTAGATTTGTATTCCGAAAGATAATGTAAATAAGGTTCACACTGATCAGTGTATTCATAATATCGAATGTTTCCATCGCCCTGTGAGGAATTGACTATTTACTTCTTCTTGGTGAATATAATTGATCCTTTTACCTTTCCTGCCAGATAAACTATTCGTGTATCATGATCGTAGAATGGGACGAGAACACCGGCACTGAAATCAATTGTTTCTACAGTTAATGGTCTTGATAAATCACTCTAGAGAATGATGTCCTTTGTGAATTCAAATTAAAATTTACAAATCAGTTCCTACTGCATTCCATATGGCAACTTGTCTTTCGAATTGTTTACCGAAACCGGTTGATAACAATCGATTTGTATCACCTAAGAAGACGAGTTTCGATGTTTTTGGACCTTGATGACCGATATTGTTCTATTGAAAAGATCAGTACATTCTAATAGAAAAGTGATTCTTTTGTTTTCATACAGCAACAATACGACCAGTACGTGCTTCAATAACGCGTATACGTTTGTCTTTACATGTTGTTGCAAATAATGATCCATTGCGGTTCCATGTCACCGATTGTATGGAATCCGGATGACAACGATAGATTTGAATTGGTTCCGCTCGTTCGACATTCCATAGAATTACTTGATGATCTGAACCAGCACTTAGGATCAAATTTTCTGCTGTTGGATGCCACTCCACATAGTCGACGCGTCTTTGGTGTCCGTGTAAATCAACTTTCCATTGATAAGTATCCGTTTTCAGACCGTCATTTGGTATAGACCATACTTTTACTGTCCCATCATCTGAACACGATGCAATTTCATTATCGTTGAACGGATTAAATTTTAAGTCGACGACAGGCCCTCGATGACCGGTAATGCGGGGGTGATCAACGTCAACACGGCCAGTCTAGATGAAGCATTTGAATAGGAAAAGAAGTAATTCACTTGAGAGCACAAGACAAACTATTCACAAACCTCTGAAAGGAGTAAAACGAGAAAGCTTCCTCCACCTGATGTTTCCGTGACGATTGCTAAGAATTTCGAGTTGACTGCACAAAAACATCCATCGTGCGCATTTCGTGTAATACAAATATTTTTGTAACAATCTTGTTCACGATAAGGTGAACCATAGACATGACGAAATTTTGAAATACGAACTTTAAATGGCATCTAAATGTAAGATGTACAATTCGATTAAATTTGCACCTTCCTTTTTATACGAGATACATTCTCATTATTCGTGTCATATCGCCTGTCTTCTCTCTTTCTCTCTTTCCCCTTCGCTTTCACTTCCAGTTCGATTCTTTTCATCCACACATATATAAAACTGCATGTCCTCAGTGTATAGACTGTGCATACTAATCTAACATGCGGAAGCTTCGAAAGACACTGAATGATTCATTATGAGCGATAGACAGGAAGAGACATGGTAGTTCTTCTTATGTCTATTGAGAAGATGAAGAAGAAGAAGAAGAAGAAGATAAAATGTTCGGTTTCGATCAGATGATGTGTACACATATAAAAACTTACCCTACTATTAATTTAATATTAGAATAGACAAGATCGAGTGAATGAGAGAGAGAGAGAGGAGACCGAAGAAGAAGAGTTCAATCATTATTATCAATACATCGATGAAGAACATCTGATTAACTTTCGAACGAACAGTATTTATTATTTTTATCTCCACGAAGTGTATTCATCAAGTTTGAGTCCTAATTTTGACATCGAAACGTTTACAAACAGAAGTCTTCTCCCGTTTTTTTTCCGCGTCTTTTTCTAATGCATTGCATTTAGGTCAAACACAATCATGCACAAAAGAGAGCAAAAAAGAATAATGAAAGAATAGAAAGATGAAGAGAACAATAGAAGAGACACTAAGAGCATATAAGCAAAAAAACGACGAGGAATTTAGCTTTCTCTCATTTATATTTTAACATTAACAAACGTTAACAATAGATCTCCTATTCGACATAACCCTTTCATTAATTCTCGATTAATCTTTTTCTTTTCAAACTTCTATGAACGTTCTACTCGATTCCTATCGAAAACATTAGAAACCATTCTCTTTTTTCTTTCAGTCGAAACTGTCTTCGCCAACTGCATTTACCTGGCATATTTTCAAAGAAAAATACATTGTGAATATCAATTGAAAATGACAGAACTACGTGTCAATGTTCATTCATTTGACACATGTTATCGGACTGTCGATAGTGTATAGCTGATAATAGCATACATAAGTCAATCAACATGTCGATAGGAGAGAGAAGAATGAAGTTAAAACAATATTATACTCACAAATGCTATTGATCAAAATGCAACGAATATTTTTCGAGACAGTTTGGACTTCTTGTGTGCCTATCACCGCATAACTTTTCTCGTTGAATACTTTATAAGTTCATATACAATAAAAACTAACTTCTGTAACATTGACTGTTACGATTCAATTTGAGTTACAAGCAAAAATCCTTCATAGGACGTTACAAAGGTGATGGTCATGGTCTGTAACGCTCTTTACTCGTCATGTCCGTCACGGCTTTTACTCGATGACTATCATATTCTCTGGCGAGTATCGACATTCACTTCTGCTGTCACAATTTCTACGTGACAAAAGCATTTCTTCTATTGAACCTTACATTTCTCTTCTGAATAAACATATCAATTCATTATTGCATTGAACAATGCAATAATATATACACTTGACAGAAAAAAAACACTTCCTGTACTTCATATGCATTGAATAGATGATCAGAAAAGAGCTTTTACAAATACTGTTCAATTAGTTTCCATCATAAAACTAAAGTAGACCATTCCAACGGCTAGCACATAACATATTCTAATGGTCTATCCGATTCTATTGGACATTTCCTTTCCTTTTTATGAATGAGAAAAGTAAAATCTTCTCGACATAATTTCCGTTTGAGCAAATTTATGGTCTGTCGGTCAGAAAAAAAAGAGCACGAAGAAATAGAAGGTTACTCTATGTATTGATGGAATCAATAAAAGGCAGAAAAAGAATTATATAGCTTTCGGTTGTTGAATTGAAGGCTTAAGTACTAAGTCGTTTTTTTAGAAAATAATGCATTATTGATTGATATGATCGACAGAAAAAAAAACGTCGCATATAATTGAAAATTTTTCAAATATTGATTCTTCATTGCATATCTATCTCCTTCCTGACAATGGTGTTTAAATATGCCATACCAATTGATTGTTTTTGGTACATGAAAAACATCCTTCTCTATTTCATAACCCACGAAATATAATTCTGTTAAATACATCCCGTCAGCATGTTCATTATATCATTGATATATTGACAATCGATTTCATAAGATGAGTCTATCAGCAATGATATCACGGCACGAGCAGGATGGGACACATATGATTAGCATAACTAAATATTGATGCATTTTTTATTTGTCGGTGACGTTACTAAATAGACTCTCTGTCTGTAGATATTTAATTCTATACAGATGAAGTATTTCTTGTCATATGGTGCTCAATAAAGGATACTGTTGAATAATGATCATTCGAATCTTGCGAATTATTAGCATCGTTCTCATTTGAATTTGAATAGCTGAAGTAGACTGAAAGACTCCGACTGGACATATTCGTATTTGTTATGCCACTCGACAATCTATTTCTTCCTATATTCATCTATTGACTCATAGGAAAGGTATTTGTCGTATAAATATGACGTCTTTTCTCTCATCACTAAGAGAACGGAATAAATATCATTAATATATCTTCATGATTGTCTTTTCTGCATTTCTTCTTGAGTCAGGCAAAATGCGTTTCTCGGTACCGACGTTTTGTTTCGTTGGATTCATCCTTACATATGTAATTTTACCGAATTCTTCTCTTTTTCTCTTTCCTTCTTCTCTTGGGCTGTTGGCAAGCAAACATGCGTGTAATCTTCTTTTTTTTTTGTAGAAGTTTGGTCTCAAAATCTTACGTGACGGAGAGTAATTGGTAACATACGTAGTTATTTGTTTAATAATACATTAGTGTAAATGCTGGTTCTTACAATATTCTATTAAACGTCATTAACTATTCTTCGTAACTTGGTCAATGGGACAAGTGGCAATGTCAATCAAGTGAGTAATCATGCTCTCAAAGATCGATATCAGATGAAGCGAGAATATCTAGAGATTGATCTGAGAATTGGATAGTCATTTTAATGGAAGTACATTGTACTGTGATTTGCCGTTCCAGGCAATGGTGTATTCAGAATGTTAGCAAATAAAACGTGATTTATCAACAGAACATCGCATTTCAATGTCAAATAGTCTATGAAAAGTCATCAATTCTTGAAGCGAATGATTGAGTGACAATGCGTATTGATTTCATTTGATGTTCACATCCTCTCCGAACTAATTCTATTATATAAATCGATTATTGTTTCTTATTAGATATATATCAAGACGATCTATTCTATTATTGACGTTAACGATTGGAATGATTTATGCGTACTACTACATAACAGTAGACTCAACGGAAATTCTTTTTACTATTTATAAAACACCTGATCTCTCGTATAAAGTAATCAATATGAACGATCGAACGCCGGCATATCGATTAGCAACGCTCAACGGAAGAAGACCATACGCTGATGGCGATCGAGCGCAGGCGACTATCGTCAATCATCTTCGATTACTAGAGAGATGTCAACGCGATCCCTCACTTGTTGTTGTTGATGTCGGCGCATATCTAGGAGATTTTGGATTGTATGCTGCGGCATGCGGTTGTCAAGTATACTTATTTGAAGTGCAACCTGATATGATCGATTTAATACAGACATCTATCAATGTTAATGACTTTCCTTCCTCACGCGTCCAGCTTGTGCATAAAGCTGTTACTGATTTACCGTCGAATTCGAATTTGACATTTAGTATCGCTGGAGGAAGTACGACGGCTGCCAATGGAACATTATCTGTTTCAACCATTCGTCTCGACGATATTCAATGGCCATTGAATTCGAAAATATTTCTTTTAAAAATTGATGTGGAAGGTTTTGAGTTGCATGTACTTCGCTCGGCACAAAATCTCTTTCGCAATCAACGTATTCACCATGTGATCTTTGAGTATACTGCATTTTGGCCTGATAGAGCAGCCCAGAAAGAGGTTCTACCTTATGTTGACAAGAAATTAGGTGCGAAGAATTTCTATGTATTACATCGGACTGGAAAAGATGTTTATGGTCCGTTAGATCGCGAAAAGTTCGATGAATTTTATGAAATTCACATGAAGAGGTGTTTACAAACTGATGTCTATGCGACTTTCATCGATCTACCATCAAATGATATGATCAAAACAAAAGAGTATGATGTGAAATCAACGCTAGCATAACCGAGTATACGTTAATCGTTTGTACTTTGACCTTTTAGGAAAATTTTCTACAGATTATTTACTTTTTATGCATGTCGTTGTGGAATAAAATGAACTGTTCTAGTAGCTAAGTCGTTCTCTATCTTTCATCCTGTTTCACGCTAATCAACTGATATTAAGACGTGTTCTACTGTTACGAGCTTAATTCAATTATTTCTACTAGTAATTGTTTAGAAGATTGAACAACAATGTAATGTCAATATCAATCGTATGCAGCAATACTAGGCAAAACATTTTTCCACCACAGGAGATTTCAAGAATAGTAACAAAATGTGTTAGGAAAATATGGTTTGTTTTAATGAATATCATAGTTTGTTTTTAGAAAAATGGTCCAGTGTATCGAAATATCGTTGTTCGTCCTCGTGACTAAAAACATCAAAGATAATTAGAGATATTTTTGTGTTTGAACCTCGATGTCGAAGCCAGTTAGCTACTGTTTGTATGGCTATTCGACAGGCACTATCAGCTGGAAAAGCAAATAATCCTGTTGAAATACAACAGAATGCAATCGATGTGATGGTGCCAATTTCAGATGCTAAGTTTAGACAAGATTCGTAGCAAGAAGCCAATTGTCGAGCATCATTGTCTGTGACACGTGCGCCATATGACAACTGAGGGCCAACGGTATGTATCACGTATCGGGAGGGAAGATTGTAAGCAATGGTGATTTTAGCATGACCAATCGGCTCTGACTGTCCCTGTCGGTTCATAATAGCATAACAGTCGTCTCTTAAACACGGACCAGCAGCTGCATGAATGACATTATCTATACATAGATGGGTAGGTTGAAAACAGCCTAAAAGAGCGTTATTCGCTGCGTTAACAATGGCGTCGACGACTAAAGTTGTGATATCACCGCGCCAAACACGAATTTGTGGAAAGGATTTGTATTGCACAGGAAGAGTGTTTGCGTATGTTAGTGTTTTCATGTGATCTCGCTCGAAAGAAAGCATTTGATCGATCAGATTATAGATATGAGAAGGATATCGCTGTTCAGGCGAAGGATCGCGAATAGTAAGAGTGTGACGAATGAAAGACCGTTGATCTTCAATAGAATCCTTGGAATAAGGGCTTTGTGGTCCACTGAAATATTCGACGAGCTCACGAATAATTGAGCCATAGTTAATTGTTTTATTAGCGCTATGTACGGCTAGGGGTTGTAGCTTGATTAATGAAGAATAATCTTTCAAAGTTAGTGTATGTGACATCTGAAAAGCAGTAAAGTTCAGCTCGTCTTTATTATCATCATTGTTTCATATATACGTTGAGAAAAATTGTCGAGTCATTTCTTACCAACCACTTTCAATGTAATGGATTAGTAAGTCGTTAGTCGTTGATGACGCACGTTCGTATGGAATCGGTTATCGAGCGCCATCTGACTGTTGTTTCGTAGCGACATGGAGGTGTTTCGAAGCGTAAAAGAGTTGAAATGGCGATTAAAATCAATACGATTTCATCGGCTTCGTTTGTAGCTTTCAATTCAATTTGCAAACCATGGGCCCAAAACGAGCTGACAATGCTAACAAAAACCGACGCGTATCACAACTAATAGTTGCTCCAACAGAAGGACCAGGTTTTCCAATTTATTTTTCATTCAGTCTCTATGCACATACGTACGTTCTATCTATAGAAAACTATCAATGTCTCGGTAGATTTGCTGCTGATTTGGAGATATGTTGTCGAGAACTGTTTTCAACACCTCCACATCTCACTATTCCGGTGTACAATCGTAATCTTCCATCTTCAGTATCCCAACAAATGGGTACATATTCAGGTGCATCTGTCGCTCCATCGTTGATTGCCGGCGAAGAACAACTCTCCTCATCGGCCAAGTTGCCATTTACTGCACGTATTCCATCGAATAGCGGGACGTTAACTGGTCTAGAAACTGATAATCGATCACATAGTATTCTTGGTAAGTCGATAAATTCATGACGCTCAAATCAAGTTGGAGACATTTTTTTTCGTTCAAAGGTCGTGAATCAATCAGATCTTCATCGTCCTCTTATCGTACATTTCACCTTGTGTCAAACAGTGACTTTTATCGTCCAAAATTCCTAGCCGATCCTGTTAGTCCCGAGCAAGATCCTATCGAGCAAATCAAAACCTTATATATGCGAGGTATTTACTTATATTCAATGTGAAGGATAAAATTACCTTACCTTCTCACTTAGCCTGGCAACTTGATCAACGGTTTATTGACATATTGAAAAAGGTTCTTCCTTTACAAGAACATCTGCATACACTCGAGTACGTTTTGTGTATATCCAATATACATCGGGTAGAATCGTCATATTTACTCTAGCTTTTGTTTTGTCGGACTGAACGTACAGACAATCTATGGCCTTGCTGATGTTTGTCAAACGATCAAAAATTTAAAGTAAGCACTTCGAAACAATAAACACCATTCACTAAAATGCATAGCATCCTCTTTTAGAACTGTTTCACTGGATGGAAATCCATTAGCAGGAGAGCATTTCTATACTCTAATCGATAGGCCTGATTCGAAGTAAACAACATTAAACTTTGAATGATTTGTAATATCTACAATTGACACACTTGTATAGAATAGTTCATCTTTCCCTTCGATTTTGCCAAGTCGGTGATATAGGTAGTGAACGCCTTGCCAATGCTCTAGGAACGATGTATATTCAAAATTGCAAATTATTAACATTAACACTGGCCGGTAATCAAATTGGTGATCGTGGTGCTGAATCTTTCGCAAAAGTAAAGTCAATCGCTGTCATTCTTCGACTATTTTTCATCTTCAGGCATTGCGATACAATCGAACATTGATTTCTCTTAATCTTTCATCGAATTGCATTACTGATACAGGTGCATGTGCATTAGCATTTGTAAGTACCGACTATTATGAGATTCTCTTTTTTCTAAACAAAATGATTCATCATACTATCCATTTAGATATAAGTAGGGTAGGTTTTGTTGATGTATATCTATTGTAACGTCATTAATGTGTTTGTTTGTCTAGGAACTAGGTTTTGATAGTAAATATTTTCGTATATATTCTATTGAATCTAGTTTAAAGAATGTTTTTGCATGTGCAATCGTTATTAACTCATTATTGTTTAGGTTTTACGGCAGATTAACTTGACTTACGACGAAATCCTTCATCGGAGACATTTACTATCGGAACGATATGGAGACGCGAATGCAAATGACTTTCGCATTTATGTAAGGCATGCACAGCGAGTGACCATACTAGAATGAAGAGAACGATTTTTAGGCGACCTCACCAACTCCATCAACAACATCAACGAAAAGTCGATCAGCTCGTGACTTGAGACGAACTTTGGATTCCAATAAGAACCGAAAAACGACCTCAACAAAATCTACAGTATGTTTCGAAAACGCCCAGTCTTTGGTTAATCTTCGCCATGGTTCCGTATGCTTTTAGGACAAACGTCATAGAGTAGATTCGAGCGGTAGAGGACTCGCTGTCAAATCACTTTTTTTTCCATTTCAAAATCGGTTTTTGTAGATGAAAATCGTCCGCCGTCGACTAGTAAGACTGAGAATAAGAAGGGAGCAAATGCACGCTCAACATCCACAAACGCTCGAGGAGCTGCATCTGGTAAATGGCATCAATTTACTATTCTAAAAGATAAATCCAATTGGTATTCGTTTAGATTCAACACGAGCACCAACTGCAACCCGTGGCAAGAAAACTTCGTCAAGTACGACGAATGCGTCAAAGAAGAATACTTCATCTGCAAAAGAAGATGAAGATCTAAATGAAAAGGTAATTCAAATAAGCAGAATACTTGAGATTCAAGCAGCTTTCTCATCTTACTGCTCTTCACAACGATAAATTTTATAGAATAGTTGTACATTTCGAAATTTATATGGTGTTTTCTGATAGATCGATAAATCTATAACTCTCTTTTCTCTCCAGAACCGGTAAGTTGCTATGTCTTTAATCAAAAAGCCGAACATATACAATCAAACTTATTTTCTCATCTATTAATTAACGTAAATCATTCAATATCATAATCATTTGATCATCTTTACATCAACGCTTCATTCCGCACTCTTCATTGCTTTTTTTGACATTTTTTTTCTATCAACAGCAATTGTCATCGTTTATTTTTAGGGTTATCCATCTGTAGGATCGTCATCGGGAAAAGTACGACTCTCTCTATCGTAAAAAACCTTAATTTCGTTGTTTATAGTTACCAATGCTAACGACCCAGCGACCCGAACGTGAAAATCCATTAATAGAAAGAAATGAAAATCAATTACCGAATGGTGAAATAAATTTAAAAGGCAATTTAGTCCTTTTGAACTTGAATTTATCTCGTAAATACACTTAATAAACTACACGATAAATACTATTTGTGTTTCTCGCAGGAAATCATTTAACTTCAATAACGGTCAATGAATTTCTACTTTCCGTTCAGTATCAATTAAATATAACACAATTTCATCGAAGCAATTATGCATCTTTGGTTGAGTTCTCTGGTCTATGTCGACTCGAACTCAAGGTACTCAGACCTCTTTTGATGTTTGGAATAATAATCTTTTTCTTACATGATTGAAGGATATGGAGGAAGTACCGAAAGCTTCCTCTGCTTATCAAGAATTGGAAACGTTTCTCGCTCAAAAGAATCCATTGCATCGTTCTCAACAAATTAAAGAGTACGAAGCGAAATTGATCGCTGAACAGCAACAATCGGTTCCTAGTGCATCAGAGAAGGCACGTGTTGGTTCGAGTCTCCGCTCAACCAGTAGGTTTGTTCTACCTTCTAGAAATCCTTTCTACTGTCTTCTTTTTAGCTCAACGGCCAACATCCCGTGTTAAAGATCCGAATTGATTTTGTTTTCTCTTTTAAATAAACCAAATTCTATTTTTTCTCTCCTCATTTTTCTAGATTTATTTTGATTTCTTTATTTTTGAATGTCTGCTGGAACAAAAGCTTATGTCGACGGTAAAATTCAAGTCCGCCGAATCATGATGTTCGCCAAATCGAACGATCCTGAATCGCAAAGAGCGAAAGATATTTTCAACCAATATGATCTCTCTACAGGTAAATACTCAACAAAACATCCACTTGCTCTCTATGCGATATTTTAGACGACTATGAATGTGTCGACATCGAAAAGCGACAAGATTGCATTCAATTAGAAAACTATTTTCAGTATATCTGCTACACTGATCGCCGAAAGGTAAAGAAAATATGATTTTCATCCGTATAAAACCGAACATTTTGTAGAATCCATACATCTTTATTAATCAACTGTACTTTGGATCTCTATTTGAGCTGAATATCTGTCATCAGAATGGTTCACTGAAGAAAGTTCTATCGTAGAATAGAGTCGTTGAACTGTATTTAACAATAAAAATAATGAAAAAAGAAATTTTCCCTCGTTTCACACGGCCTGGAAGCGATATTTTCAATATTTTAACATCGCATTACTTTTTTCCCAAGTAACATGTAAATTTGCACGAATGATTGATTTGACAACTCGATATTTACTTTTCGATTCGTGATTGTATTCTAAACATTTCTTGCCACTTGATTTCTCTTGAATATTTGATCGAAAATTCACTTCGTTCTCCGATCCTGATGTTTTCAATTCTTTCGAGACTTACCATGATTAGCAAACAAAATTCTTTTGCAGAACAGAATCAGTTTCGAAGGGCAACAAACATTCTGCAACACTTGAAAGGCTTTATTAATATGAGCACTTGAAACATTTTTTTTTCGTACGGACATATGTCCTTGAATTTCTACTATTTGTTAATCAAAATACGAACTAATTGTAGTTAAACATGTTGGCAGAAAACATGACATTGATTTTTCAAGGTTTCTCAGACGAAAAGCAAATGAATAATTTACAGTTACGCGTACTTTCATGTCACGAATGGCATTCTCATATATCGAAGGAAATCTCTTACAATGAGTTTAATCTCGACTTGTAATGGTGCCACTTAAAAATGTGTGTATACTTTAAGCAAAATGTTTCATGCTTTTTCTCATGGTCATAAGTACTTATCCAATATTATTATTGTCATTGAAAGGAAAAAGAGAATTTTTCAACACAAAGTTCTACTGTACAAACAAATTGTTTAACAGTCAGTTTGCTGTTCAAGTTCGTTCATTATCTGAGCAAAACATTCGCTACCACCGAATAAACGTTGCGAACGAGTGCCTAATGGCACATCGTCAATGATCGTCGATGACGGCGTTAACATTCGACTGCCTGTTTTTCGACTAGTTGTCTCGGTAGAAGCTGCTGATGATGACGAACTCGTTTGCTTACGAAGAATGGAACGTGTGTGACCGATAGTTAGGCCGCGATGTGATGTATTTGAATGCATATCAAGAGGAGAACTATTGTTCGAAGATTTCCGAGAGATCGGCTGAAGTTTCGAGATTACTCGTGTTTTCATTAGTGCTGAGCGCCAATGAGTAGATGGAACGTTAGGTGAATGTCTTGATGTTTGATCAGCGTGAAAATCGACATGTCGGTAGCGTGACGAAGTTGATAGATCAGAAACATGAATTGCAGGTAGAACGAAATGATGATTACGTACGGAAGTCGGAGCATGGTGTGGGAAAGAATCATCTAAAATGACGACTGCTATGTTTATTGTACTCTTTTTCGATCGAAATCCTATACCTTTATCTGATGAAGTCATTGTTGAAGATGAATCATCGCTGTGATCTTTTCTTGGCGGAAGTTTTCTTGTTTTAGTCTTAGATGAATGCGTTGTTTTACTTTCTAATGGTGCTAATGGAGTTTTTGGTCCGGGGCGGCTTTTTAAATCCTTTTGAAATTGATACACATACCATGAACATGTCGAAACAAGTTGTTCGGCTTTGGCTAAATCAATACCCATTTGACAGAGCGAGTTTTTTAGCAAAGCCTGTGTCATGACAGGTCCACGACTATGTCCACTAGATGTTTTAAGCCATGCAGTATAATCTGAATATTTACTCTTCAATTCAGTAAGATCATCAGTGAGATACGTATTGTTGCTATCGGTCGATATAGATGAAGGTGTTGGTGGAGTTGCAGGTTTCCTTCGAAGCGGTTGACCAATAGGCGGTAGACGAAGTTTCGCAGTTGGAAACGTTGGCTTTTCGGTGAACATGCTAGTCTCCTTTTAAAAATAGAAAAGAAAGAAAGAAATGGGTTAAATTCTCATCGATCAGTCACGAAATGATTTTAACATGTATGTATGTTCTATGATCCTTTTTCTTTTCTTCTAGCTTTCTTCTTTTTACGTGTAAAACTAAATAATGACGATTGGTGTGTCGTGTTTTACTTCCTTAGAATAACTTGTTGAGTTTCCTCTCGGTGTTTTCTGCTTTTGATGTGTTTCTATTCTCATACTTCGTTCAGCATTTGTCGTTTAATTGAATGAAGAGGAAAGCACAAATAGAGACATTCGAATTCCTAGGAAAACAACTTACTTGACGCAAAGAGATCGGTTCGAATGATTTATTTCAGTTAAAATCTGAATTTGATTCTCGTATTACGTCGTTTTATTTTGTTCAATTATTCAAACGACGATAATAATCGCGTGACGGCCCACTAGTGAAATGAAAATAGTTAAAAGAAAATGAAAGAGGAGAAATAGAAAGAGTGAAGTCTTTGAAATGACTTGATTTAAAGACAACAAAAGAATAGAATTTTGCTCAGTCTACTATCCTGTGAAAACAACAAGATGATATAATAATGAATTGAATTGGCCTTGACAAACAAAGGTAACGAAAAGTCCGCCTGCAAAAAGTACAAACAATCATTGATTCACTGCATATAAACACTCGCAGCTAGACTTCGTTATTTTATCAAGTTCACAACACAAATGCGTACGTGTCGCTTAATTCAATAATCACTTGACAAAATGCGATTGTTACAAACTGATATTTTCTTTGCGTTTGAACGTTTAACTCGTTTAGACTTTTCAAGCACAAGAAATCTCTTTGAACTCATCCGAATCTAGTTGATCTTTTTTGTAAATATTGACACAAAGAAATACATTTCGAGGTTGTACAGTACTCGTTCTCAATCAAATTGATCGATCTTTTTCTCTGAAGTGACATGTGCATGTTTACACACTTGATGGTAAAACAATTAATTTCATGATGTTTAACAACAACGATTCATCCTATATTTATGGATAGACAAAGGAACACAGAGCAAAAACATTGTCTAAAGAACATCCCATTTTTCTTCGAATGCACTACAAACTTTAGCGCATGTCAAGGCAGCTGATAATGGGTAGGATGAAATCGACACGGTATCTTCATTATAATCAATATTGACACTTCCTTTTGCCATAGCACCAATAACAAAAACAACGGGTTGATCAATGTCTCCACATTCATTTTGTACATAATCACGAATCTTAACTAGACGTGTAGGTGTTGCGCCAAATGAAGTGGAAATCTTTTTGCAACCAACAGGAAAATGATCCGTAATTGGATTTTTGATCACTTTGAGTAATTTAATACCACCTTGAACTGTGTCCTGTGATCGAATGGATAGTTTATGAAGAAGTTGAACCATTAGACCAGCAAATCGATCGAATGTGCGCGGAATACGTGTTTGAGGATTAACTTCGATTAATATTCCTTTATGTGTATGAATGTAAACCTTAAAAAAATCATTTAAAATCCATAGATTTTCAATCGTTCCAAGAAAGTAACCTACTTGAAGTAATCCAGCGCGATTCAATGGTGAATCTAGCAGTGCTAGTAAACATTGATGCGTAATATCTGGTCGTGCATTGGAATTTGGATCACGCTTGTATTTGAGAAGATGATTCTTATGTCGATCACAATTCAACAACTCGTAAACTTTACCAACTTTGATTGTTTCTAAGTTGGCTTGTTCGAGTACAACAATCAAACGTTTATCGGACGATTTCGTTTTCTTGATTTTATTTACTAGAGGTTCATCGGTTTGAAACTCTTCTCCTGGATTATTGTTATTGCCTTCAACTTCGTCTTGTCTTGCACGTTTTTTCGTCGGAGGCATTTTCTTATCTGGAAAATGAATGAGATTAGTTCTTTCTTTATTATTTTGGTTCTTTCTCGGCAAAAAATAAAAGACATCGATTAGTGAGTAGATATTTTTTTTTCTTTCGAATCAGTGCACAGAAAAAGAAGAATTTGGAACTGTTGTCTTTTTTTTTGTTCTTTTCATTTCTTTAAAGACTTGCGCCCATCTTAAATGCAATATTATTGTTCACTGTTGGTGGAGCTTTACTTTCATCATTCGAATTGATATCATCATTCAGATCATTTTCTAATGGCTCATTTTCACCATCGGAGCATTGATCTAACTTTTCGAAGCCTTTGCGTCGATTCATCCAATCTCCGAGAACAGATGTCGGAGCTGTACTGTTCGTTTTCACATCACTTAGAAACGTATTCAAACGACGAAGTTTGCGGAGATTGCGTATGCGAATTAGACAGCCGAAGATAACAGCAAGCAGAACGGGAATGGCAAAGAAGGCCATGATAATCAATGAAGTGCGAAAGTTTTTATCATTAAGATAGATTCGTTTACTGAATGCTTGAGTCGGGAGATCTGCATGAAGAGAAAACGGAAATAAATGAGAAACTTGCTTGAAGATATAAATCTTGCCATTTACCTTTTCGTTTAGATAACTCGAATTTATGTAAAGCATTGGCTGGTGATGATGCTAGTTCACCTACATAAACTTCACGACCATTTGATGAAACAGCAATATCATGCGGAGCTTTTAAATGCTATAAGGAAAATAATTACTTGGTTGACGTTTTTGTGCACCAATCTACTTACCGGATCTGAATCAAATGATGTTAAGATATCACCCGATCGTGCATCAATCATATAGACTTTTTTCACAGGTGTTTCCGCGCCACCTGTAACAGCGAATAAGACTGTACCTAAAACAAAACACGACGATCTTCGATTGATTTCTCATGTGAGAGTGATATTTCACCGTTGGTGTTAGGTGCGAATTCAATTGCGTAGATAGGACCAATATTATCTTTTCCTTCAACACGTATCTGTCGTTGAAATTCACCAGTCTTCGAATTGAAACATTGGATACGGTAGTTTTCTCGATCGGCACCACATAATAATTGAGCATCCTCATTTAATGCTATTGAATGAACAATATTCCATTGATTCGGAAGCGGAAAGCCATCATCTAAATGAATTTTTCCGAAAACATATAATATCTCCATTCATTCAAACGCTGATTAGCATTGTAACCATATGAACAAAGTTTCCAGGTGAATAATATTCGATAGGGCATCGTTAGAATTCGTCAGAACTTACCATCACGCATGCCATTCATTGGTGTACCCCATTCAGTGATATATTCTCCTTTTCGATTGAATTTGATGATTCGACTATTACAGTACCTAAAGAATAATCATCAAGTATAGATTCATTCGAATTCTTTCGCTTGTTCTCACCCGTCAGCAACAAAAAAATCGCCATTTTTCATTACAGCAACATCTGCTGGACGACAGAGTTGCGTCGGTCCCGAGCCAGGTTGGAACATTTCTCCGATTGTCAATGCAGGATGTAACAAATCGTTAGGTTTAAACATGAAGACTTGGTGCATGGCAATATCGGTTACCCAGATATTTCCCGCATGATCGATTGTTAAACCATGTGGCATGTAGAACATTTTCGCTCCCCAACGAGCCTTTGTTTGACCTGTACGTGTATCAACATGGAGTAGAACATCATCATCAATGGGACCATAGGCTTCATTTCGAAAACGATAGTTTCCGGTGAAGTATCTAGACAATGAATAGAAATATTTCTAGTTTAGCATATAAAAAAAATTCTTACTTAGTCTCCCATTTTCTTGTACCACGATGGAATACAATAAGTTCATCATTTGCTTTGTTCAATGTTATGCCTCCGATCTCACCAAGTTGACTAGGTAAAGATTTGACGTCAGGCCATGTTTCGACACATGTATAAAGATTTGCTATAGAAGAGAAAAATCGCCGGTTATTCCTAGTGTTCGAATTCAATTTTGTGACACATCAAGCGACAAGACAACAACGATTCTCACGGCTGGTAATTTTTGCATTATGTAATTTAACTGTTTGTTCTTTTCCGTAAGTTAAATGTGTTGGTAAAAGATAATCATAGTTTTGCGCATCGACATATTCATAATCGGGTAAACCGAGATGAGATAAAACTTTATTTATATCATACGGACTTGAACCTCGATTACGATGACGCATATTTTCAACTTCATCCATATAATCATCATACGATTGATCGTCATCCGATGTTGATGAAGTATGTTTTCCTAAATGTATTGTCGTGAACATTAGAAATCTCTAATATATCAAAAGTTTAATTACCTATTGTTGGATTCATAACATGCTCAGCATGGGTGTCATGACCACTACGCGTTTCGCCAATATCAGATGGTTTACGTGGAGGTACTTCACTATCATGTGGAATAAGACTAGAAATAAAAGTTAATGTTATAACTGATTAAAACGTTGAGAATTATTTACTTGATCAACGAACTGAATTCATTGTCCCAACATGATCGAATCGGTACTTCGCCAGTTTTTTGTTTTCCATTCGCTGTTTTCGTTGGTTCATATGAGTACATTGCATATACATTGCACATTTCATCTTTATGTGTTGGTCTATTATTTCAAATACAATCAACACATTGAGATAGTTAAGTCAATTATTTTCCATACCCGACTCGAACAATTTGATCGTCATCATTATCATAAACACATTGACCAACAAGGTAATCGTCATTTTGAATTTCTACTGCTGTTGAAAGTGGATAAAACGATTGTGGCCATTGCGGATCACCTTTGACGATTTGTGTTATAACACCATCACGTACACGATACAATGAATTAACTCGAGCTGAAAACAAATGAATGAATGCTATTTCTCTTTCCATACGCATAGCAACAACAAATCTCTACCCCATTGATGTGCGTGAACACGTGCAGCAAATATTGATATTGTTGGACCATTATAACGACATGAGAATGGTGTTCGTACAGCTAAAATATCGAATGATTTCTTTTTACTTCTACGAATTGAGGATGTCTCTTACAATGTGCTTTGGCTTTTAGATAGATCTGACTAGTTCCAGCTAACATCACGCCGGCTTGATATTTTCGCCTAAGGAGCAAACAGCAATATAAAAATTAATTGTATTTCCGTTCACATACGGTTTTCGACTCATTATGAGTTGATTTCCTGATTTGTCATTAACAATATTCGATAGATAATGTATATTGACAACAATGTATTTGTATGGCGTATTGCGACCAACCGGAAATCCAACATCTAAATATTGATTTTATTCAGAGTTCGTCTTATTATTAGAAACTATCACAAACCATCAGGTAAATTCATCGAAGGTGCATTTCGAGCCCATCCATGGACAATCAGCTGTTCATTACCGGTACAAGCTTGTCCCGATGCCCTGTAAACATATATTTCAATACAGAATTGTCAGACAAGAATTTTCAACTAACCAAACTCGTTTGTTAGAACCTGGTTTAGTACAAGCGAATGTTAACATATGATGTGCTGCATTCATACTAATCAATGGTGAATAGCCAACTAGAAACCGCAGATGATTTTATATGCATTTCGTTTTTCGGTTCAAACTTACCGATTGTTAATTCTTCATCGGGCAATTCATATTGCAGAAAAGTATATTGATCTTCCTAAAAAGTCATATTCAGTATTGTGTTTGTTTCATCTAACAATCTCTGCGTCTCTTACTTGTGTTGTATTGTAATTTGGCATAGTTATGTTAATGTTGAAGAGTTCATCTTTGCTTTTCACACTTGCTGCATGATTATAGCCAGTGATGGTGAGTAGTCCGAGAACGATATTGAGGACGGTTATTGTTGTTCCAAAACGAAAGTTATCCATAGTTCGTTTGTTATTTGTTTCTTATATACAACTATACAGACTTGTTCTTGACCGAGAATGGTGATTGAATACTTAACCCGAACACAAGAGAAAGAAAAGAAAAAGGGAAAGAAGAATGTTACATCTGCAATAAAAAGTACAGAAATAGAAGATTATTTATGCCTGAATGAAAAAAAAAAGAAACAAAACAAAACGAAAAAGCACTGATATGCATGAATATCTATCAGATTAATATTATTTGTCGTTATCATTAAGTGGACAAGCAAAACTAGCAACAAGTAAATTATGCACAAACTCATTTTTGCGCCTGTTCTGCTGATGTAATGTTAGAGAAGAGGAAGAAGACGATGACGACGACGGCGTTTCATCACATAGTTTGCGTAATAAGGACGAATTTGATTCAGTTATCGATGATTTTGTTGACGTCGGCTGTTGGTCAGGTATTGGCTGCTGCTGCTGGGCAACGATCTGTGCCCAGGTTTGTTGAGTATTAGTCGATGGAGATGAAGAAGACACTGGTGGAGATGATGCATCAATAAAAAGTGCGGAGGTAAAAAGTGAATCGAAAAAGTCATTTTCAACTCCCGGAACAGTATTCGTTGATGATGTTGTTTGTTGCGATGAATGAGATTGTGACTGTGACGAATGATGATGATGGTGGTGATGAGAACGGCCTGTTGAACGAAGACGTTCACGTTCATATTGTTGCCGAGTTAAAGTTTGAAGATTAATTGTTGTCGATGATGATGAGTTCGAACTGGTGTTGTTATTATTGTTAGATGCCGCTAACCTTCTTACAGCAGATAATTGTGTTAAAAGATCAGCAATAGGATCCGTTCCACTACTGAGAGATGCAGTGTCGACAACAAAATGTTGACTTACAGTACCTCCACCACGTCCCAGTCCGCCTCGTCGACTCGGCGTTCGTAAAGGTCCTCGTCTATAGCTACCTCGCGTACTAGTACTACTAGTGAAGTCAAAGTCTCGAGTTGATGATTGTCTGGAATATGGATTGGTTCCAAGACCAGGTGTAGATGGCGTTTGAACTTGTTGATGTTGATGATCATTAGCAATGTGCGCTAGTAGATCAGTAGTAACAAAGTTCGGTTCACCGTTTGACATAGCAGCACAGATCGGACAGATAACTTCATTTGACTGTTGTTCATCTGCATGTTTGCATTGTAAATGATGAAAGAGATCAAGATTCTGTGAAGTTAACGATGATTCGTTGAGAAATGGATAAGCGAAACCCATTTCACCACAAAATGGACATGTGAATGATTGAGCTAAATCGGATGCACATCGTTCACCATGATAATATAAATCAAAATCTTGACGTGTTAATATACCTAAGATGAAAGAAAACAAGCGACGGAATAGAAGAAAAACAACAACAAAAACAAAACATCTGCTTTTACATTGCATAGGATGTTCAGTTGTATGGTGACTTGATGTTTCACCCCGTTCATAACATGCAGAACATAGATCATAATCATAACAAATTAAACACTTGTAACGCTTAGATCGAAAATTACTTTTACCACAAGCATCACAACTAACACCTTCATGAGCAGACATAGCTAAAACTAAATAGGAAAACTAGAGGAAAATCTGACATGACAGCCATAATATGTTCAAAAGATGGACCAATCAGAGTCGAGCCTCCATGATGATGCAATTCTATACACTTGCATTTTTCGTACGATATATCGTAAGAAAATGAATGAATTGCGAGTGTCAAGATTTTCCTCGAATTGAGTTAATTTATTATTCAGAAAAAAAAACGAATATTTGATTTTGTTGCTTAGGCATTCTGACTCGACATGGATTGGTTGAAAGTCGAGTATCTGATTGAAACAGATTATTACCAAAGATAATTCGTTTTCTTCAGAGAATTAACTTTGATTACGTGCAAAATATCTGATTTAGATTGTTCATGTCATGCAAAACAAACACGACAGTCTGTTACCCTTATCCAACCTCTTCCGTTGTATTTGTCAACTATAATTTTCAAAAGAAAATCATTGTGATTTGCATTTAAGATTCAGATAATTCTACACAAGATTTTATTCTTTGAAACGTTTATTTTAGTCAATAATTACACGCAAAATACGCTTTCAAATCTTGATATGCATTCAGTGGCCACCGCCGAATAATTCACGAAGATCGGGATCTTTTTTACATCTGAAAAGAGCAACGTTCATCAAAGGCGGAAGCATAAAGAGCGAGTCATTTTCATACCCTTGAATAAACTGTTCTTTATTCAATTTTTCACCTTCACCTACACCAAGTGTATTGAAAACACCAATGGCAAGTTCTTTTGGATAGTTTTTATTCGCTTTGTCAGATTTACCAGCGATTGTCAACTAAAAACATCGAAACAATCGTTTCGTGTACTTCAAAACGCCGTCTTATCCTACAGAAGCTTTCAAAAATGCAGCTAATTCATGTAAATCCATCTGTCCATCGCCTGAAACATCGCACCTAAATGAAATTGTTCGCATAGATCATATCGTACAGATAAACAGCACTTCGTACATCTCAAAAACGTAATTAAGATGACTATCCAAGTCTCCTGGAGAGCCAGCAGCGACTGCAATTAGAAATTCATAGAAATCAATTGTTCCGTCATGATCTCGGTCGAACACGGCGAATACATGACTTGAATAAAGAGAAAAGAGAATATGAAATCTTATACGTGTCGAAAAAAAAAATCAAAGAAGAAATTTTACTCGCAGAGAACATTGGTTTTGTCGTTTTCATCTTTGATTTCTTCGTAGTATTTTACGAAACCATGTTTATCCATTCTACCGGAAGGAAAATCATTCCAAAAAGCCTTGAAAAAAGTTACGGAAAACTTCGAATATGCGAAGTGATACTGCCGAACAGAAACATACTGCATGTAAATCAATAATTTCTAACAGAAAGACAAAAATAACATTGTTAATTAGTAAAGGTTACGGACAATATTCTTTCATTACCCTCTTCACTAAGACTAGAACTTGCTTTGAGTAGTGCCAACGCTAAATTTCACAGAAATTAGGTTGAAAAAAAAACCGAACTGATCATATCGACAAACCCTGTGGAGTGAGTTCTTTTGATGCTCCGGATCTCACGACGACTTTATTACCCATGTATAATATTTCCAAAATGAGCAGAGATTTGACAATTGGAACAAAGTTCTCTCTATATATAATTATAGGGAAGAAAATACTAGTTGTCACGACATATTGTATGAGTACTTATCGAAGAAAAAAAAAAACAACAAATCCTTAGCGTTCTAGTCAACATCAAAAGACGTGTTACCAGACCTTGATTAACATCTTCATATGTTTCATTTCATTTCCTATTCTAAACATCGTTAAAAAATCTAGTACAAGAAAGCCGTCACACTCTTGGTAAACATCAATTCAAAACGAGCAAATACAAATTAGCAAGAAAGATCGTACGAGTAAATCTCGAGAAACCTTTCGACTGTCTGTCGGTATCTTCCTGAAAAGAACGATGCTTCTTCGCGTGGATGTTGACATGATACTGCAAAGTTCTATGGTCTTCCTCGATGTCAATAGATGGAAAGAGAGAAAGGAGGAAAAAACAAATCGAAATTGATTTATCAATATAAATTTTCGCATCTAGTGGAAACATTAACAAAATATAGTTAATATATATGAAAACGAAGAGCGACAAGCGAGTAATGTGCATAGAAGAAAGCAAATGATGATACGATTATTGGACTATTTAGCGTGGAGTATGAATCGTTCTTGCTTATAAAAGAGGATAAAAGTTGGAAGAGAAAAAAAAAGAGTCTTTCAAGACACGCTCATTCTCTTCTTTGAATATATGAACTGATCAAATGAAAAAAAATGTGTCGGAAAAGGTTAGATGAGACTACGGGTACACGATGAAGTTGATACTTCTAACGGAACGAATTCTTACTAATATTTCACATTTGAAAGAAGATCGGATGAACAAGTTTGAAATTCATGGGAAATCTACTCTTCCTCGTCTTTATCTCTGACAAGTGAACTCAATAAAAACCTTGGAAAATTTCAAAGTTTCTGTCATTGCAAGAAAAACGATCAGTTAATCAAAACCGAAAATCTATCGAGGAATATTGACTGAATTGAGAGGAAGAGCACCTTAAGAGACTTTCCATTACAGTATTTTGCTTTATTAAACGTTACTTTATCTCGCAGTATAAGCAGAGTCTACTTACTTCGTTTGATAGAGTATTAGTGCGATTAATGGATTCTGTTGATGAGAATGAATTTTTCACATACACGTTCCTGAGCATCAGACAAATTTCATGAGCAGTTCGATCACCGGAAGTGCTCTTTTCTCCTTTTTGTCATAATTAATCGTTGATAAGAGAAAATCTTTACTAGATACTTCTCTTTTGAATGAATTTCTTATTAAATTAGAATATATTGGACACGATCTCAGGTTCCTTCCATAGTTTGAAGACGAGTCAGAACATTTCTCATCAGTCAATCTGCATTTTCTAGTAGATGACGGTATCAGTTATTGTTAGCAAGAGAAGCGAATAGGTTTCTACTATCGTTTAAGTATATGCCAAGTGCACCTTCATTAATTGAATTTTCACTAGTAAATCCATTACTTACAGAATATAATCCTTAGAGACTCTCAATTCTTGTGTTTACTGAATAAATTTAGTATGATAAATGATTCCTCCTATGAATTGGAAGGAAAAATAAAGTTTTTTTCTAGGTCGTTCTCTTCGGATAGCTATGAATTTGGATGGATCTAGACATATTTGAACTTAGTAAACCATAACCTGAAGAATAGAGACGACCAAAATTGTAAGAGAGAATGAACTATCTGACAATGAAATGATAAGCTCAAATGTTTTATTCGTTCACTTTGTTTGTCTCTTCCTCTGTTCATAGGAAAAAAACGTCAGGAAACGAAAAATAACTACTGCAGTAACTTTAATCCGTACTCAGAAGATCTCATGGTATAACGTTCTCGTTTTAGACAAGTAATTCTGGTTCAATCAACCATATTTTCATTATATAGCTTAAGCCTATACAAGCACAAGTACGCTATCGATATCCTGAAAGAAACTGTGTTACATGTTTTAAGATTGTCTGATTAGTGGATGATCTATGCCGGTTTTCTAATATCCAGTTAGTAAGCATACGATCGATCCGTATTGAAAAGTACGATCTGAATTCGGGAGAAATCAAGCGAAATTAACGTAAAGAATTTCTGATTTTTCCCGCAGGCTTCTCTCCGATTTCAATAGATTTGGTTGTCGAATCCATTGTTTTGGCCTATGTATTCAATTGCATTGTGGCTTGTCTAGCGCAGATATTTAACAATCAACAACAATAGGAAGGAGGAGCAATGTATACATGTGCATTGACAAACAATAAATAAACTCCTTTCTACGGACTGATCGAGTAGGGCGCACTAGAAACGATCATAAATAGTATTGTAGTTACAACAACCATTGCAGCGTACAACTCCCGTTGCAGTCAACATTTATTATTAAGTAGGGTTGTCGTATTTTACCAGTTATATGGTGTAGTTGTTTCTATTATTAGTCATTTTGCATCTCAAATGATAGTTATTCTTGATTTTTATAGATAAGTATAATATTTTGTCCGATTCTTTGTGTCAATGAATCATTTCTCCATGAGGTCAAAATGATCAGTTTGCGTCGTCAAAAGTAGGCTTCCAACGGATTTGGTTGAGAAAAGATTTCACAGATAAAAGTCACCATCGATAAGCTGATTTTGTTTATTTCCTCTTATTTTACATATATCTCAATCAAAAAGAGTTTAAATTGTTCAGACAAATGATCCTTAAAGTCGTGCGACCGAAAACCGATCACTAATCAAAGGTAAATATGTGCTAACTTAGATGATCTTCTAATCAGATTCGGACATATGGACATCAATGTAATCTGAAAATATTTTATTCCAATAAAGAGTATCTTCTTGAATGCATTATAATAGTAGTAATATCCGAGAATGATATTTCTACTTTCTATGCAAATTCCTATTCATCCTCACTCTCTGATTAAACAAAACGAACAAAATTTGTCTCAACATGATTAATAACCTATCCAGCTTTTGAATAATTTAAATGTTTTCCATATTCGACTTTGTGCTCGAACCCAAAACGGGCCATTATCCATGAGAGCAAAGCACCATTGCAATAATTTCTCTTCACTTAATGAATTCATAATACCTAACATCAATTCATCCACACCGGTCGGTGGCTTCACAATATTTTCATTTTCATACTTCACAGAATTGACTGCTGTACAAAGACCTATTGTACCATAGTAATAAACATCATCGACGACCTGCGTTCGAATCATATGTGTTACAAGAAGATCTTGGTACGTTTCTAAAATATCATCGACCTCATCTGATGCGTACATATTTGTGACCACCAAAGCAATGAATACGTCTAATTCTATACATTGTTCAACAATAACCTTCATATGTTCGACGCTGGCGTAACAACCAGGAGACGCACAATAGATTAAACAAATGGGATTTTTTTCTTTGACGAGATTTCGAATATGTTGTGCAATATCGAGTTCGTCCCAATTTTCGATACCTGGCGAATCCCAAATACGTATTGAACAAGTTGATGTTATTGGTTTATGGGAATCTTCGAACGATGTGTATGTTTCTTCATATTCATAATAACTCGTTGAATTCGTACAGGCATTACGTCCAGCACTTGTACGAGCAAGATCTTTTTTAAGTATAGCATTAATTAACGTGCTTTTGCCAACTCGTGGTGAGCCCATGAGAAGAATATCAAATGATTTCTCAAGTGATCGATGAAGGTATTTTTGGACGTCCCGTCTTGGAATTCTTCGAATCGTTTCTCGAACAACATCGCCTAAAATCGGCTTAGTCTGTTCGGTCGTTGTATTTTCTTCTTCCGAAGGATTTGCTATTATCGCTGTTGGTGCAGCAGGTTCGTGTGCTGATGTTTCATTCACACTTGTCGTTGCTGGTACTGATGGTTCTATGGTAATGATAAACAAATAAAAACGCTAGAATAGTCTTTCAAATAACTTTTACCTTCAACAACAGTAGTCTCTGTTTGAATGTCGTTAGTTTCTGCTAGTTTTATTCCTTGTCGCCTCATGGCTTGTGCAGCAATATGTTCTAATAACCATTTAGTTCTCATGACCATTTGAAACTGCTCACTCGCATGACGTGATTCGAATACCATATCTTCAAACATTTCCGTTTCATTATTTAATGCTATGTAATAATGACTTGGCTCAGGATCGTTAATTCTCTCACATACAGTTTTAATAATACTACCAAAGGTAGTTGATTGAGGAATAACATCAATTAAGACGTGTTCTCCTGTTCGACGTACATAAATTTGTATTCGAACTTTTTCCGATGCCTATTGATTAGAATCATGCGTAGATGATCTGCTGTTAGTTACATCTCTAACTTACCATTGCACGACGTACGTTACTTTCTAGAAGAATGAGTAACTAGTTCGTATATTATGCGTTTCTATGTGTATGTATCTCATCTTTATCGAAATACACTGATAAATATGAAACTTTTTCGTTTATCATAGGTGAGAATAAATATTTATTGTATGAGTGAGGAAGAAGCAACAGTAAAAATACGAAGAACTGCTTCTGTTGACTCGGAAGCAGTTCTTGAAGTAGCTGCAAAAAATTTACGGAAATCGATTCGCGAATGTGAAATGCAAAATCCGCCGTTTATTGCTGATCACGCAAAAAGTAAATTACAAGAGTTTACATTCGTTGTTTGTGGTGCACCACGCACTGGTAAAAGTACTTTAATCAATGCTATTATAAACAAAGACGTAGCTCCAACGAAATCAGGCCCGTCAGCTGTCACTTTGGAAACAAAATGCTATACACTGGAAGGACCTTGTTCAAATGACGAAGATCAAGAAGGTCGAACATTTCGAATCAATATTTGGGACACACGAGGTATCACAGCATGGGATAAATCAATCGCTGATGTCATTGAAGAAAAACATCCCATGTGTATGATCTTATGTGCATCACCCGGTTCGTTTGCTAATGACGAATTTGTCCGTCCATTAATCAGTCAATGTGTAAACTCGAAAATCTTCGTTGCACTCGTTTGCACCAACCAATGGAATGATAGCGGTGAAAAACGGGCCAAAGTCATGGAAGAATTTCATAATTTACTGAGAGTATACAATACAAAAGTCTCGTCAGACAATGATATAACATTTTACGGTGAAATTGGATTAGTAACCATGGTGAATAGCATAGCATATTCGAATAGACGAACTGGATTATATCGACCGAGAAGTGGTGTAAATCATCTGATCTACGGTATTATGAAATCATTGAATGAAGATCAACTATTAGGATGGTGTTACACACTGATGGAGAACGATGGGTTCTGGTCTCAAATGCAAAACCAAATTCAGGACTTTTTTGCACAAAAATTTACTTACGGCAAATCATTTCTTTGGTCATTATCAAAAGCGAAAACATGGTTTCAACATCAATGATTGAATAATATCTTCGACTTGAAGTTTTCTGTTCTATTGAAAAGTCAAGTTCATTGTATGAAGTAATAAAGTTAGTTAGCTAAATAAATTTTCAGCTCAGCTAACAAACCTACTACCTCAAACTTGAACTCGATGTGTTGCTGAATGCTTGTTGAGGTCAAATCGTTCGATAACTTTTCTGTAGTTTATGAACTAGCACGAACTAGATGATACTAGTTTCATGTCTACGAGTTTAGACATAAACGACGAATGAATTCTAAAAAGAAACATCGATGGAAGAAGAAAAGGTGAGTCCGAATTTCGGTTTATTGATCTGTCATAATGATCATACAAACTCGATGTATGTGCTCAAATCAAGCCAAATATTTCTACACATCTAAAATAAACCAGCTGGTGTTGAATGATCGCGAAAGGTGAGAATATTTCGTGAACTAGTCGATATGAAGGCAAAGATTCTTCTGTCCGACTAGGAATAACTCGTTCTTTTCAAAGATATTTATACATGTGTTCTCAGATACAACTCTAGACGTATATAGAGACAAAAGAAAAAACTGTGTCCCATTAGCAAACATTGAATTCGATGATATAATCTGGAGAATCAAATGAAGATATATGCAAATCATCGGCATTTGTATCAGGAGATAGATCGATATACGGAATTTGTCCTGTATATCTTCCTTTCGATGATAAAAAACGGATGACAATTGTCTATATGTCAATACATCGTTCTTTTCTTTCTTCTCTTCTCAGATAACATATGCACACCTGAATAGCATATGGACATGTTGATGATCTGATCTATTTCTTGGATGAGAAAGAATTATCTAAATTCTCAGTCTTCAAGCGATATTCAATTAAACAGCACAGCTCAACTTAGGTTTCAATCAAAAAATATACATTTATTTAGACAATCAGAAGAACACAAGTCAGAGAAAGAAAATTTATTCGATTCGAATCCATCGTCGTGTTGATTTCCAACCATTTTCACGAGAAAAATCTTCTTTTTGCCAAACAATATACTGTTGACTCCAGCCAAGTCGACCACGATAATGATCAATAGGTCGATTCGATTCTTGTGGGTAGATGATAATCATATTGATCAAAGTCCCATCGAAACTTGCTAGAGCTTTACTTCCATTTACATTGGAGTAACCAACTAATTGTCCCATTTCAATTCGAAATTCCATTTGATAAAAACGATCAGGATAGTCTTCCCATAGGCCGCAGAAAGCTAGTAGCTTTTGTTCGTAGAGATCCAAATCGCGTATCTGAAAGTCGAGTATTATTTAGTGAAACTCTGAATTAAAGTGTAAACTTACCGTTTCTTCAAGAACGTTCAACGTTCGAATAGATGGTGATATTTTTTCTTTCTTCTCAATGGGTCGACATTCAGATGATCCAGTATGGTTATCCAAGATTTTTGCTGTTGTACTTTCGAATTTGCCATATAGTTTACACTGGCTGAATTTACAATCAGTTGAATCATTATCATAAAACATGTTATCCTGTGAAGAAGAGATTGCTTTATCCGAATGACTGAGTCGAATGAGTTGCTATTTCTAACTGTAGCATATGAACCTATATATATATATATATATAAATGCCCGCCATGCAAGCAACGAAGCAAGACGTGAAATTAGGCGACCTGATTCATTCATTTTTCCATTTGAGCAATTCTGTGCGTAGCCGGCTACACAATGGTCTAAGCATTTTCGATAGTGCAAGTCGGCAGCAAATACAAAAGTGACCGTGCTAAAGCATGACGAAACAGGAGAAGAGCTGTTTAGAGTATACAGCGCCTTTCATCCTTATTATCTTAGAAAATGTACAACTGATGGAGAAAGAAAAAGTAATCTTTTTTCTCAGGTGTTAATGTGCTGTGACAGAGAGGATTTGTGATGATTCTGACATTCGACTGAATGACATTGTCTTTCATTGATAGTCTTCTGCGTACAAAAAAAAATTCATCGGTGAATCGAAACGCTAGAGATCAAAGAACGAAGACATGAAATATTGTTACGCTTGCATCGTATCTGATTCGTCTGTATTCTCTTACATATCGTCTGATCAACACAAGTAATCAGACAGGGAACAATGTCTTAATTGTTCTGTTTGTCGTATTGATCTGTTCTTTATTGGCTTAGTTAACCAAAGCATATTAACAATTATTGATTGATATATTGACTATTAGGATTAAGTGAAAGTGGTGTTAGGAGATTGTTAGAAATAAGGTAGGTGAACGTTCATTTTTGCACAGAACATCATCATGTCAACTTCGAAGCCAACCGTGCGCGAACCTTTGAACACACGCCAACGAACTATTCTTATCACGTTCTACAATCAAAATCCATATCCATCAGCAAGTGAACGTTATCAACTTGCGCAAAGCACTGGTCGAACCTTGAAACAAATCCAAGACTGGTTTTCAAATCGTCGAGTAAGTACTACGATTTTTTTTTCGCTTTCCTATCTCATTGTTTCTTTTTGTAATTCTAGCGTAATGATTCGAAACTAGCATCGGGCAAAACAGCATCGGTTGCAATGCCTCCTCTTCCTGTTCAACCACCGGCAGTAAGTTTTCATATAAAAATTTCGATTCATATCTCACATTTGTCACTTCTAGCCGATACAAACAGTTTATTATTACCCGCCGCCACCATCGATTTGTCCATGTTGCTTTTCTAATCCAACAGCTCCTTTACTCGATCCACAATCATTTTATTCTCCATGTTCAACATATTATTATTCTCCATCGGACACGTTTCACTAATAGAAAGTCAATAGCAATGCTGATTTGTTTCTTTGTTTTATCAATAAACTACGATTTAGATTGAAAGAAAATCTAACTAATCAAATTGTGCTCTTTGTATATCGGAACATGTGCTGGGAACGGTCTTTCTCTAAGTACAAACAGAAATATTTCCGTTGGTCGACAGTGACGAAATCGATGATTCATTAAAAGTGAACACAAAGAAAAATGCATGTTTATTTCTTCTCTTTCTACTTATACACCCTCTCATGCCAATCAAACGTGGACTACATACAACAAAAGATTGAATTTTCTTAACTAAATTACACAACAGTTCAAGTTCGTGATGATGGTGTCAGCCCCGTCGTCATCGTTTCATGATGTGAGTAGAATCGATGAAATTGAAGATGTTCTTTCGTATCGAATGATGTTTCTATAGTATTTATCAGTGAGTGATCCTTGTTTAACAAAGATGGAAGCCATAACACCAATTCTACAAACAAATGATGAATATCTGGGTGATGTGTATGAGAATAATAATAATAATAGTAATAGAAATAATCGAAATTCAGTAATTAAACGGCCGATGAATGCTTTTTTATTATGGGCACGTGGAGAGAGAAAGCGCGTCTCGAGCGATGGATATGGTGTTAGTCAAACATCGCTCAGTAAACTTCTTGGGGAGACATGGCGGTGAGATTACTTTATTTTACAACAAAGACAAACATGCACAATAAGAAAATATTTTGTAGACATATGTCAGTAGAAGAAAAACAGCCTTTTTTGGATATGGCAGAAACATTAAAACGTCAACATCATATTGATCATCCAGATTATAAATTCAAACCGAAACAACGTTCATCAACAGCTACTAAACCAGCAGGCTCAACTACAACAACAACTACCATCACAAAGAAAAATCAATTGTTGACACGTTTGTCTCATACGCTGCATTCACGTTCGAACATTGCTCTTTCTGTATTTTTGTTCATCATATAGCTCAACAGCAGTATTCATCAGTCAGTCCATCACCAGTATCTTGCACATCGTCAGCATCCTTGTCGCCTGTATCAAATGCAGCTCCTCATCCCATTCAATCGAACGTTTTAGCCATGTGTCAAGCAATTATTCCATCATCAGCACCACAGAATAGTAACGATTGGTTTTATCAATTGACCGGACAACCACAATCAGTTATCGTTGCACCTGTACCTCGTGCCCAAACTTCTCCACTCTCATCACGTCGACCTGTGCGAATTCAAATTATCAATAAACACGATGATATTGTTTTACCACCATCAACCTTACTACCAATGACTCCTCCACCACCGGCATCATCATCTTCATTAATCATGGATGAATCAACACCAACATTGGTCGATTATCTTGTGAATAGTTGTAACATATTTAATATGCCTACGAATAACAATCAACAAGTCTTAGCACCTGCCATCGATGATGCAACTGGTAAACAATCCGAGATTTGTTCTCGTTCATCATCTTTCCATTTAGAATATGAAACACTGAACGATTCTTCAGTCAACCATTTGACAGATCTCGATCAACACTATGATAGTAATGGTTGGATTGACACTCCGTTATCGAGTTTTGGTACGAATTCAACAGATATTGTTCCATCATCACCCTACTCTTCCTATGACTTTTTATGCCTCTAAGCTTCATTTGATTTTCTTGGTAGTCTTCTTCTTTTTCTGATAACGATGATGATAATTCGATATAGAGATATAACTTCAAGGTAGTCTAGTACTTTTCTTTTTCTTAACTCTGTGTGAATACGAAAGTAAGCTCATGCGCGTGCCATTTAACTTTTCCTGTCCTGTTTTTTCTACTTCTTCTTTCGGCTTTTGCTTATGTTCTTATTTTTGGTTCTTGTTTACTTCTTTTCTTTTTCGGTGTTTTTGGTTTGTGTATTTGAGTGCATGTTGTACAACGAAAGATTCAGATGATATACTTAGACAAACAAGACAATGACAAAATAAACAATCATTCGCATGTACTCTTAACAAATACTGCTCTTATGTAATCAATTTATCGCGACAGATTCCGCTAGTTTTCGTAACAAATAAGCCAATGAAATATTTATGATACTGATGAGTCAACTGATATTTTCTTCGTTTTTTTCTAGACAAAACATGGCAAGTGGAAGTTCGGCGTCGATTGGTATAATTGATTTGATTCTTTCTGAACACAAATACATGCGCGATGAATATGAACATTTCAAAAGTGTTGATGATGAAGCTCAACTCGATTCACGTGTCCGAAAATGGATCGCCTATATTTCATTGCACGGTCATAAAGAAGAAATCGCCTTTTATCCCAACGTTGAAGCTCATTTGAAAGATGAGAAGAAAGGTGGACATCATCTGATCGAGCACGGCATCAAAGAACATCGAGAATTAGAAACAGAATTGAAGAAATTATCCGAAGAATCGAATGTCACATGGAAACAAATTCGAAAAGCAGTCGCGAAGCTTAGTAAGACTTCTTTATCCATTCGAAGAGATTGACGTTCGTTTGATGTTTTGTAGTGCATCATCTAGATGAAGAAGAGGCCGATATTCTCGCACCACTGCGCACAAAACTCGATCAACAAGTTCAATTAGAACTTGCCAGACAGTTTATTCATGCCGGTCAATTAGCATCGGAGAAACCTCATCCTGAACTTTCAAAAGATCCAGAACGGGCTCCAGTTGAAAACATCAATGTCGGTGTTGTTGAAAAGCAGTAAAATGTTCGTTTCTTTTCGTCTATAGTCATATTTTATACCAGCTTAAATAAAAAAAAGTCTTTCAATCGTTAAAATCTCTAGACGAACACGATTCAACAATCGAATAAAACTGTGATCTCACAAATTCATTTGCAATCCATGTGTAGATCAAAATTTTATTCAATTGTTCGACATGCTGCATCTGATCTTACCTTGTACTAAGTTTCTTTATCGACACTATCAGAAGAAAATGTGAGTTAGCTGAGTATTTAAATAGGACTTTTTCTTCGTTGTCTTATATTTCAAATGTGCACTAAGATAAAGCAAATCAAAGTGGACAATGATGGATGAATGAATGCATAGGCTTGGAATGGATGCTTATTTCACAGACAGATAAGACACGTTTCAACGTTTTTTTTTCTCTCCCTTTTCGTTGTATAAAGTATCGTTATGCTGATCTATCATAATCATACGATGATGTGTGTTCGTGTATGAATGTTTTGTTCTGTTCTAGGGAAGAAGAAATCTGTATAAATCAACATTCCTGATTTTGAAAGACAAATATGCTATCAAATAATTGATAACTTTTCTGTTGTGCAAGTGAACAAGGCAGATATTCGATCTCTGGCAATTCTGATGTGTATAGGACATGGAATAACTTGACGAATACAGATGGCGTTAGGAAGCAATCTGTTGCATAATTGTGAAAATGAAGTTAAATACTAGCAAGAAGAAAAGTCTTTGTTGATTTTAATTGATAAGAATTTGTACTCATGCATTTGAGAAGTTTATCAAGGTCATTCGAGGCTTCGTCGCCAATCAAATTGTACGCTTTCACTATTGGTTCAGTTCACTGATTATTCTCTCATTGAGAATACATCTTTTCATCAATCAATTAACTCTTTTATCTTTGAATCCATGTTTCAGATAGATAGTTGGATAATCAGACTTAGCCTTGTCATCGTTTTCTTGACCATCTTCTTCCATTCTATTCATCAGAACAACGAACCAATGTCTGCAACAAGTGTAACGACAAATGCCGGGATTCAAATGCCTCGATTAATCTATGGTACAGCTTGGAAGAAAGAAGCCACCGTTCAACTTGTCGTCAAAGCAGTACTCAATGGATTTCGCGGAATCGATACTGCTTGTCAACCGAAACACTATCGGTAAGAGATAAGTATTTTTCCTTCTTCTACCAAATACTAATTCTTTCAAAACTCCAGTGAAGATCTCGTTGGCCAAGCATTGAAAGAACTTCAAACCAAACATAATATTTCACGAAAAGATCTTTTCATTCAAACCAAGTTTACTAGCCTTGATGGACAAGATCGAACGAAACCATTACCGTATGATCCTCGTGTGCCACTCAGTACACAAGTTCGTCAATCATTCGCTACCTCATTACAAAATCTACAAATCGACTACATTGATTCATTAGTTCTACACGGTCCTGAACGAACGCACGAGAAAACAATGGAAGTTTACCGTGAATGCGAGAAATTCGTCGATGAAGGCCGTGTTAAACAACTGGGTATTAGTAATCTCTATGATATTACTAGTTTAAGAAAACTATATGACGATGCTCGGCATAAGCCATCCGTTGTTCAGAATCGTTTTTACGAAGAAACCAACTTCGATCATGAGATCAGGCAATTTTGTCGCGAGAAAAACATTTTCTATCAAAGTTTTTGGACTTTGACTGCCAATCCAAACATACTTGCTCATTCACTCGTTAAACAACTTGCTCAAGAACGACACGGCACGCCTGCTCAAATATTCTTTCGATTTCTTTTGGATATTGGTTTAACGCCGTTGACCGGAACCACCGATGAAACACATATGAAAGAAGATATACAAGTTTTACACTGGCATTCCCTAGATCACGAATCAGTCAATAAATTAAAACGTCTCATTGGAGATTAACTATAGAAATCAGTCTTATCCAGACTAGTAGTCAATAAATTTTATTTTACACGATAGATTTTTCATATACAAAGAAAATTTTCATCAATAAAATATTGATGATCTTCCCGAATCCATGATGAACACCTTTGATCATCAATGCTAAAACATCAGGAAGGAATACAATACAACAGGACACTCATTCACTGACGTGTCAATCGTCTACTAAAGACAAAATAGTATTATGCATAAAAGTGAAGTTCGCCATATTATTCATCCACGGAGTGTTCAGCCAAATGAATTATTCGATTGTTTTGTGTCCATGTAAACATCATCGGTTGTCATATTGATGATTTCATAAGGACGCGCCATGATTGGAATAATGAATGCTTTATTAACTAACGAGTTTCCAATAAAATGTTGCACCAGATACCTTTTCATCGGTGATCTATTTGAGAATGATCGACCAAACAAGTATCCGATCAGTTTGCAAGACGTTATGATCATATTAATCGAAACCGATTCAAGTGTGGAGAAAAATGAAGTATACGTGGAAAAGAGAATGAGACATCGCACTATTTATACCACACCAACTCCCTTTCGAGGATGATGTAAGCACAGCCTTCCATAAATGGTAAAATGTCGTGTTGTCGTGATGACGTGTGCAAAAAATGAAGGAGAACAACGACAACCCTGTATTGCACTAGTTAAGTAGTATAATAATGTTCTTTGAATGCATCTGATGACTAACCGTTCTTTTTTTGAGAGCAAGGTGAAAGATCACGTATTTTTTGTGCTTTAGTTACAGTGAAATTATGTGCTGTCATTGAAACGCATGTGTCACTTCGAATCGAACCGTGCACATTAAAACCTGTTGCCATACATTGACTGAATATCACGACCAATATCGTACAGGTCTACCATTACAGATGAGTCATTATTTACGAATTAGACAAATATTTATTTGAAAAATCAAAGAATAAACGGATAAATCTTGTGTTTCGTCATCGATCGTTGGTATTTTACTGGTTTGTTGACAATATTATTCACGTGGTGATGGCAATGGCAGTGACAACATTCGAATGACGTTGGAATCGACTCCGACCGTATTGAACTTATTTCTGATAAGGTCGCCAGAGAAGCTGAATCCGTGGTGGAGATCCTCGTTGATTCCAATGGTCGGTCGTACGAGTAACCTGAATCTCTCGACTGTGATCTTAACCACGAATGACATTCGCTCAAATCGATCTACAAAATAAACATTTCGCGTGAATTTCTGTCGAAAACAGAAAAATATCAACACTCACATAATCATTCTTTGATGATGTTTGTTTAAATTCATATGGAATATATTCATAATCATCAGGTTTTTTTATCGAACAACACGACATGATTTCTACGGGCAAAAAAATGCAATCATGATTACAAATAAGGTTTATTCAATGGCGGAGAGCAAACTTACTACTTTGCTTGGGCTTCGGTGATGATCGGAATGTTGTGTGAATGGCATGAGAGATTTTCTGCAAAAACAACCGATTTAGCAGATGTGGTAGAGTATGATTCATTCCTTACTTGACGGATTGTTTTTGACATGTTTAATGAAGTCTGAGCATTGAACAATATTTTTATATTGATGAGCACGCGGCGACTGTCGCTTGAATGTGCGAGATAATTCTATCATCTGCTCATTTCTTTTCTTTTCTTGATTCATTAGATGTGGACATGATTGAATTTTCATAATCCCATTGAACAAGAGAAAAGTACTAATTGATAGGAGGGAGAAAGAAAGAGAACAGATCGAATGGACATCGAAGTGGAAAAGTGTTATCAACCAAAGGATTGATTTACCATATATAGTCAAGATTTCCTTATTGGTTTCTTGTGAATCATAGAATTGGAGATGGAAACTATGTACAGAACAGCGAAAGCGTGTGGAAGTATATAAGGAGAGAGAGAGAGGTGCATTTTGACATGCTGAAAAAGAAATTTTTCAAGTGTTGTCATTGAAGTGCATCAAATGTTGGTAAAAAGATTTCAAATGTTGGGTGGTGACGATGCTCAAGGTTTCGAAGAAGTTTTATCACAACCAACAAGCGTGGCGATCAATGAAGGGGATAAATTCCAGAAAAAACCATGGCGACGAAGAAGAAAACTGTAGCAGATAAACAATGGATTTTGAATCGTGATTGAGCATGATTTTTATTTAACAAATACTTCCGAATGTATGATATTTTTCTATATGCAGAAAAATCAAATAATCGAATGAATACATTGTCTAGGAGAAATAAAATGCTTTAAAAAGAAAACTAAAACTGCTTGATTAGAATATTGTGAAAAAGAAAAAGAATAAGAATATCGATTTATTAGACGACGGAAACAACTTTGTGTGGTTCATCAATGATGGTTACATTGAGATCTTTGTAAAATTCTTGCACATGTTTTTTGGCATCGTTCAAATGTTTACGGTCACCTGAAATCAACGAATTTGAATCCGAAGAACTAATAGAATAACTCACCATAGAACACCCATTCTCCACGAGTGTGATCAGAACCAATATCGATGGTGCCAGGTGCAGCTGACCATGTTTTTGGTAGAGCAAATGTCTCTTCATGTAAACGATACACATCGCGATATTTTTGGTATTGTGGACCGGTGAAATCATATTTGACAAGAAATGATGCTTGATCTTCCAATGCTCTAAATGATGAAATCCACCCGTAATACATGAAAAGCGTCGCTCGTTCGATTGATTTACCCGTGAAACCATGTTTCAATATCTTTCATCGTTGTGGAGCCTAATTTGAATTCTTTTCGTTTGGATGTATGTGGAATGTGCACATAGAGAAATTCTTCTAATGGATCATAGATGAACTCGACATTACGCGAATGCATCTCAGCTGGTACAGCACCCCAGTTTTTTTGGATGAATGTATCATCTGGATGCATTTCAACGGTCGATACATAATCTTTTCCGATACCATTGATAACGTATTCGTATTTAAGTAAAGCATTTCGTGTGTCTTCTACGATAGGAAAAGAAACGACGATGACATTAGTGGAGAATTAGAAATGTTGGTCTTACTGGTCACAACAAAAGGAATAGTTAAATAGCCTGAACCAGAACGATCAGGATTTTTCAATAGTGTTCGATCAGCCATGACGAAGTAAGCTTCTGTTGGTCGTCCCTTTGACCAATTCAAAACATCGCCGAAACTTACATCCCAATCAGCAGGAACAACGGCACCATTGACGTGAAAATCTTTGTATTCAGACTCTGCAAGTGGAATACCGTTTGTTCGTTTTAACGTTTCAGGTTCTTTGACTAAATCGAAATATCGTGCTGTTCGTTCGTTTATGATCGTTTGTAAAGCCATTTCGTAGATTTAAAAGGATGGTACTCGTGTCTCAAACGTATATATAAAATCAACTGCAATACTAGATTAAATTCGAGAAGAATAATGCTTGAGAGCGAGAGTCAGATGTGATGAATATATAGCCAACGAAAAAAGAGAAAACAGCGGGCTAGGCAGTAATACTATCCGTCCAGGTAATTAGAGAGAAGAGACGAAAAGTAAAGTAACGAAATCGAATATAGATATGTGTATGATTAGCGTCGACAGAAATAGAAGAACGACATACGATGATTCATTGTATACTGAACTGAATGACTGATCGCAGATTGACAAAATGCGTTTTTCTCTCTCTCTCAGTGATCGAAACTCACATTCGTCATGTTTTATTTTATCAAATAAAAAAGAATAAATCCAATCTCAATCATTTTTATCTTCACATTCATGCAATCTATACATTTCGAAAATTCGAATTTTCATTCACAAATCAATTAGTTTCCAGTATTTGATTAAATAAATCCGTACGATGACAAATACCAGGTAGTAAACAAATAATCAGAGCTAGAATGAAATCAAATGATCGATTGGATACAAAAATGTGAATTGGTTCGTGTTACTTATTGAATAACTTAGAAAAAGATTGTCAAAGTGTTGACAACAGAGTGCGACAAAGCCGAGACATATTCCACCAACGATTAAATACTAAAAAACAAGAAAATACTCAATTCGAAAAGATCAACATTCGATGGTACCATTGTTGGTTGTTCTTCACGTATTTGTAATACTAATTGATACTTAGATCTGAGAAATTGTTCAAGATTTGCGATCTGTTTGCATAATTCTGCATATTGAGTATCATGCATTGATGTCCTAAACGAATTCTTGATAAGCGATAACTCTGTTCCTTTCTCTTATTTACCACTTTTCATTTTTGAATAACAAGGAAATGCTAATCGGTGCCAAAAAATCAAGCAATACAAGGATTAAAACAAAACAACTGATGAACGTTAGAACAGACGGGTTGGTTTGAGAAATAAACCTGCAATAGGAGTACTTGCATTTTATTCTCGTAATTCTATCATTCTTACAGATAAATCAATGTGATGGAACCAAAGATAACAAATGGATGTTGCTTATGTCTCCATCGAAGTAAATCATTTAATGGTAATAGTATATGCCGCCAAGGCATTAATGACTGTTTTAATTCTTCGATACGAGACTAGAATGAATGATTACAGATGAAAATTGCAAAGTGAAATTAATCGGGCAACTTACGTTCAATGATTTCGACGAAGTATCGATGTTGTTTGCCATGAGTTGGTAGTCAATGAATCTCTAAAAGTAAATAGATCAACTATTCAAGATAAAATTTGCTTCAAATCTTTGTCATAGGATACAGTCATTACTGTTTGCAATGATAAACTAACCTGCGTAAATAAGAGCAGCAAACTTTGACGTCTAAGAAAGATAAGATCGTGGATATGATAACATGATTCAAATACTCACATATAAAATAGGCGCTTGAGGCTGGTCATATTCTGTTCTGTTTGTTGGCACTTGTAAGAAAAGGATAATATCAACATGGCATATGCATATACACCAAACAATGACATGAAAACACCGTATCCACCAGGTTATCCAATGAATCCCGGTATGCCAACACCCAATCAACCGCCATACTACAGTGAGTTTTCCAGCGGGATCATTCGTTTCGATTTGTGATGATAAATGTTGTTGTTTTCAATAGATACTCCAGTTCCCCCACCAGTCCCTGTTATTCAGCCAGTGACAGTTGTTCAACCGATGGGTTTCGGTCATATGCCACAAGCCGCTCAATGTTCAGCTTGTCGACAACAAATTGTCACAAACGTTCGATATGAATCTGGTGGCGGCACATGGCTATTTGCATTTCTAATTTGTATTTTCGGTGGTTTTCTCGGTTGTTGTTTCATTCCCTTTTGCGTCAGCTCATGTCAAGATGCTGTACACACATGTCCAGCGTGTCATGCACCAGTTGGTCGAAAAAATGTCCTTTAATTTCGTTTGGGAGATTTCTATTTTGATTATTTATTGAAATAAACTCTATATATGTATCGGTATAGTAGTATGTGTTTGTTATTGATCTAGATTTGTCAATTTGTGTTATTTGTGCAATGTCAGGAGGAAAAAACGAATGTCAGCGTTTGTTTTCAAACGAAAAAATGGAGAGATGGTCGTATGACGTCGTTGCAACTGACGTAAATACTTTCAATGCAATGACAGAAACAACTGTAATATTGACTTGCCGTCGGATTTTTATTCGTTCTTTGTTTTGATCGTCGTTATGAAACCTCTATCGATTATTCGCTTACAATATGCAGAAAGAAATATTTGCAGTTCTCCTTTTTAATTCTTTATTTAACAATGCAATCAGCTCCGCCGCCACCGTATAGTAATCAGAAGGATCTCTCACACTCTCTTGTCTAATTTTGTTGAAATTTAGCTGAGAAAGTGTCTTATGAATCGGCGCCGCCTCCCGTTCAAACAGCTCAACCAATTTTTTTAGGATCACCGGTGGTTTCTATTGGTACATATCCAGTTCAATGCATATGTCCTCATTGTCGCACACAGATTGTCAGTCAAACAGCGAAGAAGCCTGGCCTTCTTGCTTGGCTTCTCTGCGGTGGAATGGCTTTGCTTGGTTTTTGGTTGTGCTGCTTTATTCCATTTTGTATTGACTCTTGCAAGGTTAGAAATTATTTCGTGTAAAATAATCTACTCGAAATGTTTCTCTTTCTATAGGATACGGAACACTATTGTCCAAATTGTCATATTCTGCTCGGTGTCAATAAAACGATTTGAAACATGAGAATACATTTTAAAACCAAAGTTTCGTTTTTTCGCTTTTATATGTGAATTTGAGACGAGTAAAAACACTGTTGATTCTGTAAGGGAATAAATAGAGCACAATGGAAGGAGCAGAACGTATAAATTTGATTGTTTCATTTTTGATTTGAAAAAAAAAAGAACTTTCTACGGTAATATCGCAACATCAATCATGTCAGGTTTATATCCAACGGAAGGAAAATCAAATGCACCGCCGCCATCTTATTGTAAGTAGAGTATTTAGTCTGAGAAGTGAAACTTGGTTTATTTCCTAGCACAATCAACTTACTCATCACCAACGGTATCCATGCCTCTCGCTGGGTATCCTCCAACGGCAACAATCACGTATGGACAGATTCCAATTCAATGTACCTGTCCTTATTGTCGACATGTTATCGTTACGCGAACCGAAACAAAGACCGGAGTAGTTCCATGGATCGCATGTTTGATTATTGGATGTGCCGGTGCATTCTGTGGCTGTTGTCTTATTCCATTTTGTATACGAAGTCTTAAAGTAAGTGTGTGTATGATCATCAGTGAATGGTGTTGTAGAGCAATTCGTTTTCTTTCTATGTTAGGATACAGAACATTACTGTCCGAGTTGTCAACATTATCTTGGTGTTGGATCTGTCATGTAATCTCATCAGAACTCAATATTATCGCATTTGATTCTCAGCAAAAATACATTTCTCTCACGCAAAAAAAACAGATTTGTTGTCTAATAAATATACAAGCTCAAGCGTACTTGACTGATACAGTTTGCCATGTCGTATTTTTAAAACTTGAATCGTGTTTGAATGGCGACCTCTTTCGTTTTAAATCTTCAAATATGTTATTAGTTAAATAAAGCAATCAAATCAAAATATTTCAATTGCATCGATTGTACCAAGGATACAATGTTGATATGAACTGTGTAACCACCCATTCCTCAATGAAAAGCACAAATTTAAACAGATCTATTCTCCAGTTTAGTCGTCGATGGATTTCTTCAAATCAGAATCAACCGATCTCTGCAAAAGTATCTTCGATTCGATCCTATCTCACCACATACATTGAACAACGTCGAAAACAAGTCCAGAAACATGATATTCGACTCGAACCATATCTGTCAAAAGGTGTTTACACTGAATCAGGTGCTATTCGGCCCGTAAGTTTCCGTCTTGCAATCATCAGCAAAATTTTGTTTTCGAACGATTTAGATGCCAAAACGATATCCACTTGGAATTGCGAAAGTCTTTCTCGTTGCATTTCCGTTTCTTTATCTCGGCTCTATTGTAAGCAAATACGCAGCTTTAGGCTTAGAAAGAATGGATGTTTTTATTTATAACGACGATGATGATGACGATTAACAAAATTTAGTCCGAGTTCTTTTTCTGATATTATTACTGTGCATGATTTAGTGTGATTTGTGCGTATAGAGAAGAATCACCAATTCGACTTTTGCTTTTATAAATAGACAACCAAGTGTGTAGTATTTTTCGAATATATTCACATCGAAAAGTGATTGATACAAATAATTGCTTACAATTGATCACGATTGATGACATGTTTGCTATTGAACAATTGATAAGCATTTCGATTTTCAATCGGAGAATAAATACCGTCCCAAGCAAAAAAGTAACTGATTAAATTGAAATGATTAGCGATGGCTATGGGCCTAAATCGAAAATAGTTTCATCCTTCTCATCGGAAAAGGAATAGACTTACCATAAACTATAGTCAAAATGTCCATCAGTTGTATGTGGACCTACTTCACCTAACGCAAACGGTTTGCCTAATCGAACCATTTCTTCATATCCTTGCATTGAATTCTATCGATAAAAGACTTTTCGTATGAAAGTCGATCTTCTATTTTCAATTCCTACCGGATCATCAACATAGACATCCAATGCAACAATATCAACATAATCATCTCCTGGATAGAACATGGATGGATTCGGAGCACTTTGATCAGGTGCATAAATCCATAGAAGATTGTGTAAATTCATTTCAGTAGAAAAATATTCGAACAGTGAAATCCAAACAGATCGAAAGTCATTTGAATTCTAAATATAGATCAGTCATTTGATATAGGATGAAAAAAATAACTTTTATTAAATGTAACCTGATTTCCCCACCAAAACCATGCTCCATTCATTTCGTGCAATGGTCGGAATAAAACTGTAACATTTGCTTCTTGTAATTCATTCAATCCATCAGCTATTATATTCAAATAGGATTTCCATCGTTGACCTGTTTCACTTTGAAAATCTAATAAATCAGTGAAAGTTAAGTTTGTACGATTCTTCAAGAATCCTCCATCGGGTGAAGCCGGGTTGGGAAAATGTATATCAATGGTTACGAGTCCATTCGCATTCGAATGATCTTTCAGATATTTATTACAAGAATAGTTGATGATTGTTTGTGGGGGTGTTGCATGTAACCATCCAGCAGCATAGTCGCAGCCAAGTATAGCGGGTGTATGACCTGTTAGATTGGTGATCTGATCCATTTGAATTAGATTGAAAGTGACGTTACTCCAGCCGGCGAATTGACCAGAAAGATACCGATCTAATCATGATCACAGAAATGGAAACAAAATCGTCGAAAGACTAGACGTTTAACGTACTTTGTGTGGGTAAAGTATCGAGGAAATTGAGAATATATCTCGTTTTCTCATTCGCTCCTTTATCTGCAGGTTCCCGAGCATAGCAAACAATTCCAATTAGAAGAAATTTTAGATAGAAATGCATTTGAATGAATGAATGAATACGAACATATCCATATACAACTTATATAGGGGCATTAATGTTGTTTTCTCAGAAGATTAGGCAGCAATTAAATTTAAAGACGCAACACATATAGGAAATGAATTATATCACTTGGATTGACTATGAAGCTGTGAAAATTATCAAACAGAAATATGAGATACTCAACATTTTGCACTCGTCATCGTTAAAAAGTATGTCTCACGGTTCTCGTAGGTGGCAGACGTCAATCCAATACACACTTTATTCTATTCTGCACGTTATCAAGAGTAATGAGTAATAGTTTCCCTCGCAAAAGAAACCAAAACTACCATATTGACACAGAGTATGAAGATCATGGCGTCATTATTTTCCGTTCTGTTGTATACCTTAAAAAACTTGACGCGCGCATATTACTATATAAAAATAAATGTTTAACCCAGGTTGACATACAGTTATTTTTTTTGCTGTGATGGCTTACTACATGCAACCTCCTGCCGACTATTCTTACCAACAAGCAATGCCGACACGTCGGTATCAAATCCGCGAGAAAATCTTTTCCTTAGGTGATAATTTTAAAATAAAAGATGAATCAGGCCAAGATGTGTATACAGTTCGATCAAAACTGTTCTCATTCGGCGATAAACTCATTCTTGAAGATATGGCTGGAAAGTAAGTCGGACGATTTTGAAGAGGATATTATTAGAAATAAACTTTGATTGTAGTGGTTTGGTAAAAATTCGTCAGGAATTGATGCATCTTCATCCGACATTCAATCTTCTCTCTGCTCGCAGTGGTGATTCGGATCGACAGTTAGCTGTTGTAAAGAAGAAATTCACTTTTTTACGTCAAAAATTCACAATTGATTCTGTCTATGGAGAATATTCTCTCGAAGGTTTAGACATATTCGCTCATTCGTTTACATTGATGAAAAACGGACAAACAGTAGCGATTGTAAACAAGAAATTCTTCTCATTATCCGATACATATGGAGTTGAAATTGCAGGTAATGAAGATCATGCTTTTGTTTTATCATTAATTATTATCCTCGATCAAATTATTTATGACAAACATAATAACTAAATATTGAAACATATTTATTCAACTTTGTTTCTTTTTATTATCGAATAAATGATATATATAGAACGTTCAACTTCATATCACATGGTCAGATGTCGCCTGAAGTCACGAATCCTCTATAGTATTTCGTTGGACTCATTTCTGGGTATTTTTTCCTATCTCATATATACATTATCATACAATGGGCGAGTAGGAGATATTCTGCGATATGTAATCCGAAGAAGTTTGATCATTTGTTGTTTTTAGTCGTCATTTATTTCTCGGAAATTTATGTCATGTGTCTATCGAATGTTTACGTTCACACTGTGAGAAATATGGTACAATCACTGACTTGTCTATCAATCGAGACAATGATAATAATGTAATTATGCTTATTTGTTCATTGAATTTCTACTGATCAGAGGCGACTTTTCGTAGATTTATCATTGTTTCGGCTTTCTTGCGTATCAATCAGCTCATTCGACTACAGAATTTATGTCTACACGACCGCATTGTCTTAATGGAGAGGAAATCTTTGTTAAACGTGCTCTGCCGCGTGCAACCGCAACAATTCCTGAACGACTTGTTGTCACAAACCGACTAGTCATACGTCAAGCAACGAAATACGAGAAACGATCTCTGAGGAATTATTTTCAAAAACTCGGTGACATTAGAAAGTTTGATTACAACAAAGGTTTCATCGACTTCGAGGTACCACAATGATCTGTCATTTTCCTAATCAAAGCTTTCATTTCTTTCAGGATTATGACACTGTCGATCGTATTCTACTTGCACGACCACATTATCTCGATGATAGGCAAGTGCATGTTACTAAATTCATCCCGACCGAACAAACAATTGTTGATGAAAATGACAATGATGATGAACTCGTAAATCTTTACTCTGTGAATTTCAATCATTCGAAATGATCTCTCGTGTTTTAGACTTCTCTTGTCGAAGAAGAGACATTCAAAATCAAATACGAGTGTCTTGTCAAACAATTTGAAGAGTATAAAGAAACGAAAGAGAATGAAGTGAATTTTCTTCGCAAAGAAATCGAACGGCTAAGAGAAGAACTATCTGACATCACACAGGTGAAATTAGATAAATTAATAAAAAATCAACAATCGTTTCATAATCAATTCCTCCAGCATCGTTTGTCAACATCGGGTTTCACTCATGCACAAATGTGTGAGAGTTTTCTTCAATCAACAACGAGCAGAAAACGTCGAACAACAGAAGATGAACAGAATATGTTCTGAACTGTTGCTTTTATATCAAATGGTTATATTTACTATGACATTAAATATAAATGAGTACGTGTGAAAGAAATGAGATCAGAAATTCGATTAAAACTATTCCGTCTGTTGACAAATGTTGATTGATTCTCGCTCTAACTTGAAACAATGAGTGAAATCTATGCAGAAAACCGACAAGTGTAATGACAGTTTTTGAAAGAAAAAAGAAACAATTTTCTTATCTTTATCGCAAACGTTTGATAACATCAATTTGAAGAGAACAGAAAAGAAAAGAAGAAAAAAAAATGTGTTTTTTCCATCATTTCTGTGTATTATTTACCCATATAGAGGTTTCTTGTGGACAGACATATACAGAAAAGAAACAAAATGGCAGTTGCCTCGCCCAATCTGTCAGAATCTCGTGAATATATTCTCAATCAATTTCAAGTGAAATTTACAACTAATTCTCGTCGAAACATTTCTTTAATATTTGCATAGGAGATAACAGCTTTGAATATCGAAGATGCCATTTGTTTCCTCGATCAGTACGATTGGAAACTCGACGTAAATCAAAACTTATTCGTTTGTTTTTTCCTCCTCTATACACTTCCTAATTCAGGACGTCATCAATGATTATTACAATGGAATCGAAGTGAAACAAAAACCAACGCACAATCCAAGTAAAATATCGAAAAGTGCTGAATTATTTTTCTATTTCTTCATTTCAGATTTAGGAAGATTCTATTCCATTGAAAAAGACAACGAACAACACGATGAAGACAGTGATCGACATTATGCAGAGTTATTACAAACATACGGTGATGCTGATGATTGGGCGCGAGCCCAACAATCGCGACAATATTTCGAAGCCAAAGTAAATTAATAATCGGAGAAGAAAAACGAAATTTCTTTGTTATTGCTTTTTTTTTTCTCCAGCCAATTTATCATGAAAAACAACGCTTAATGCGATGTGGTCTACATTCGTTGAACAATCTTTTTCAAATGCCGAAATTGTTCACTAATCATAATTTGGAAAGTATCGTTCGAGAATTCGATAAACGCAAACTTTTCAACGATTATCGAACGTTGTGGTTAGGAAATTATGATTTACGGATCTTGATCGAAGCAATCAATCGATGTGGATTCGATGTACGACAAATCGATGTTTATCGTGGTGAAAGTTTCGAACGATTACCTTGGGATTCCTATTTTGGTTTGTTAATCAATTTAAATGGTGCTCATTGGTTTACAATCAAGAATCTGAGTGGAATTTATTATAATCTCGATTCAACATTACGCAAGCCAATTGAAATCGGACAAAGATCTCATTTAATTCAGTATTTGTATCGTTTGATACGTCAGACACGAACAGTTTATTTGTTTGTTGTATCGCAGAAGATCGTTTGATAGTTTCGGTGATTGACAGTCAGAATGTATCTTTTCTTCATCATATTTTGTTGATTAAATATTTTATTCCGGAAATCCTATCGTCAATGTCATGTTCAGTCTTTCCTTGAATCGAAAGAACGATGTTCATCATCGAGAAACATATTCGAAAAAGGAAGAAAACCCGGATGCCAGCATTCATGGTCAAATAACTAACGAGAAAACGAAAGGTAGAAGGTAAGGACAAATGAAAAAGAGTTCTCCTCGTCGATACATGAAGATGACTGTAGAATTCAGAGCGAAGTTCATATAAAAAAAAGTGTCACTAATCGAAGGTGTTTCGTAATTGATCAATCGGGTTGAATATATTGGTAAGTCGATGATGTAAAAGCGACTAGAAGAGGTTATGGCATCTCAAGGATCAAATAGAAACTTATTGGATTATGCTATTAATTATATTATTTACACGAGCACACTAATATTTATATCGTCAGGAAAGATGATTTTCATAATTAGGTTTTTTGAAAGAACTTTGCCAGGTTTTCTATTAAGTCCGAACGATTTATTAATAGGAGAAAAATCTCGTTTCTGACTGCCAGCGCAGTGAAATGAACGTTTCTTTGATGAAGTGCAACAAATCCTTCTGGTGTTTTCCAGCAGGAGAAGGAAAAAAACTTTAATAGTTATGACCCGTTCGTGGAGATGCGTGATAAGCATAGAGAAGAAATAGAATATGCGTGTGTTTAGTCAAGTAGATGAATGAGTTAGTTGCTTATCGTACCGTACTGACGTCAGTTTAATGATGAGAACAAAGTTCTGTTGTTGTGGCAACGAAGTGGCGACAAAGACAAAGCAGAAGAGAAGAAAGAGAATCTAAAGTGTGAAGTGCAAAATGGATCATCTGAATGCTTGAAAAAGATAGTGGAGAAAAACAATCTTTTTGTCGCTCTTTTCTTTTTTCCTTCACGACCGGTCGTGGTAATAAGAAGCACTTTTCTTTTTAAGCACAATTATGCTTGGATAGAGAAGAATACAAGCAACGGCTCTTCATGTCTTAATTATCGTTTTCAACACAAAATCAACTTCACTTTATTACAGTTATTTTCGATAACAACATCCTCTTCAACGGCAACAATGGATAATAAATTAGGAAAGGTGACTATAGAGACTTCAAACACGGCTAAGTTGTTAGATATATATTTTTTCTCTTTTTTGCATAACATAAGCAAGGGGAATGAGTGTTGAGGTGTTGTTTTTATCTGTCTATCCGATTCTTCCATAACACGATTTTCTTCTGCTTATCGATCTGAATTAGGACGATTATTTTTTTTCTCTCTGATTTGATCGGAAAACAGCCGATTCAACGAATCTTTCTCTTGACATTGCTTTGACGCTATGCAAATCGAATTGCTTTCACAATCTTACAAACGCGAGTACAAATACAAAGCGCATTCTTCGGCTGTGAATAGAATGACAAAAATCCTCTTTTCAACAATACAGAGCGAGTTGATCATTTCCTAAGTCATTAATTCTTTAAGACTTTTGTTTTTTTTTAATCGATTAACGAGAGTGTGAATAAGGTTAGATAGCACGTAGTACGTTATGGAATGTCATATTTTGTATATTAAAGCCTGGAGAAACAACGATAATGAAACTGTTGTTCCTGGCAAAGTTGAATGGATGAAGAAAGGAAATACTAATGTCATCGCTTTCCTGTTAATTTCCTTAAAATTTAAATGAGATTGTTCATTATAAATAGCAATTCTGAGATAGTCTTGCACTGCGAATTCACTTTTTCTCCCCGAAAGAATCGAGCAGATTGATCACAACACATTCTTTTTATGGCTTTTCGATTTCATTCCCTCTCTTTCTCCTTTTAGTTGCAACGAAAAATGTATCACCCGCCTAGTGGTACCTCAGAAAGTGCCGAGCACTCGTTAACTGAAGAAATGGTTGCGAAATACTTGGCACGAAAACCAAACTTCCTCAAACGATGGTTCAAAGACAATGCAAGTAATGATTTAATCAACGACTGTATTCGAATAAAAGAACAAAATGAATATCTATCGAAACCTCGTGCATCCGTCACACACGAAATGTTCAATAGTATTGTCCAAGGTCATCGAACAAGCCGACCGGTATCGTCATCCAAATCTTCGGTGACAAATTATACACATTTAGATGAAAATGAATTATTTTTCGAATTAATACGTGATATTGCCAATGAACTCAACGTCGATGTTGTGTGCCATAAAATCTTGATAAATGTATCCATTTTAACCAATTCTGACCGGGGAAGTTTATTTTTAGCACGTGGACCCAAAGATGGTCGGTATCTCGTGTCAAAATTATTCGACGTTACCGCTGGATCAACATTAGAACAATCTCTACATCGAGAAGACCAGCAAATCATCATTCCGTTCGGCAAAGGTATTGCTGGACATGTTGCGTCAACGAAAGAGTATATTAATATTCCGGATGCGTATGAAGTGAGTGACTGACACGTATTTGTCGTTGTAGAATTCAAGTGAAGAAGTATTTTATTCGTATAAAACAAGAGTGAAGTTTCCTTTCAACTACATAATCGTGCAACAACTACTTTTTTTCGTTGATGTTCGAGGGGCGGGTTGCTGAGTTTCAACGTGGACTTGCTTTTCAGATGTAGCGTCCATTTGTACATTTTGTTCAGGTTGAGGTTGAGGAACAACTTCGGCTGATTTTGATTTCTTCAGTGTTTGCTCGCGACGTGTCGCTTGCCGACTGGAATGTACACTGTCCAAATTCGATGTAAGTCGATTTATTGGAACGAGACCTGCATAAGACGTGCGCATTTTATACTCGGCGATATTTCGTTTGACATCTGTATATGATTTGTATTTGACCATTCTTTGATTGACTGAGTTTTATTATTCAAATTTGAGTATGTCGACAATAATGTGCACTGCTATTGACAATGCCATTTTAAAAGAAAATATTTTCTTTTACCTTTTTCTTTTCTTTTCTTCCAATAGGATCCCAGATTTAACAAAGAAGTGGATATTAAAACAGGTTATAGAACACACTCAATATGCTGTATGCCAATTCTCAATCGAGACAATGTGGTCATCGGCGTTGCGCAAATAATCAACAAAAAAACTGGTACACATGAGTTTACATCCAAAGATATCAACGTGAGTTCACCAATATTCCTCGATCACATGCTTCTTGAAATCAATCTTGCAGGTCTTCCGTAATTATTTAACATTCTGTGGACTTAGCCTATCCAATGCTCAAATATTCGAATTATCCATTCAAGAATTTAAAAAGAATCAAGTAAGCTTAATCACGTTCTTGTTTAACGTTGTGTTGACGACCTCAAAACAACGTGTAGGAAAGAAGAGAAAAAATTCTATAGTAAAGTGCTCTTGATACACGCGCGCGCGCGTGTGTGTGTGCAAGCAGTTGAACGTTTCTCTCTCTCTCTCTTGTTATTCTTGATTTTTTGTTCATCATGCGCATGGAGACTAATCAACTATGAGAAAGAGTGAAGTTTTTACAAGGAACAATGACGTAGTTTTGAAAGAAAGCAATCCTCGAGAATGAGAGAGAAAACTGACGTCTAATGCCATTTTGTTGGTCGGAAAAAGTACAACGAACAATTGCTCAATCATGTCTCGTTGCTTTACGATCGAACAACAACGTTATAACATATTATGACGCACATTTACAGGCTATGGAAACTTCAATAACTAATAAAGAAGAGGAATTGACACTATTAGTCAAACTCAAGGTCAGATATTTGTCTGTTTTGGCATACAAATATTAAAAAAACGAATTTGATTATTCTCGCAATTGTCTTCTTTGTTTTTCTTTCGTTTAGCTTCTGTTGAACTTGGCTCGAAACTTATTCCGTGAACAAGTTGATCTCGAACGATTAGTAAACAAGATTACAACTGAATCTCAAGGTCTCATGCGATGTGCTCGATGTTGTGTCTATATCCTCGATCGATTAGTATCATCCACCGATAAACCAGAAGTAGTCTTTTATCGATTTGATTCTTGTAGAACAACTTTCTGCCTTTAGGATATCCATTTTTCAAAAGGATTCGATATGATCTATGGCGAAGAATTCAAAGTTACAACGTAAGTCTTTGTTTTAGAAGTTTTAAGAGAGAAATAGAAGAACGATCGTTTAGAAACGACTTTCTCGAAAATTCTCGGTATGCTAAAATAGCTTTTCACGTCGCAACGACTATGGAGACGGTCATTATCAATGACATTGCGAACAATCAATCATTAGCACACTTAGTAAGCAACATTCACGTTTCAGCTATCGAAATTCTTTCCAAATTTCATTTCTTTCAGCTGATCGCTGGTGGTAATGATACATTCGAATTGAAAAATCTTCTCTGCGTACCGATTATGGATGGCGATGGACACGTCATCGGTATTACACAAGTGATGAATAAACTAAATGAACGTGCCTTTACTGAAGATGATGTTGCTATCATTGAAGTAGGTTTACGTGATTGTTCTTTGCGGAAAGATCAAATTTCCGGTACTTTTTTAGGCATTTTCTGTGTTTTGTGGTTTGGGTATACATAATACTCGTCAATATGAGAACGTTGCTCGTTTAACAGCGAAACAGAATGTCGCATTCGAAGTTTTATCATACCATGTAGTCGCTTCTGACGAGGATGTTCAACGTGTTGTTCATATATCACTCCCCGAAGCGAATCAACTTCGTCTATATGCTTGGGAATTCAATGACATGATTTTAACAGATGATGAAACAGTCTTAGCCAGCATACGCATGTTTGTCGAGTTGGATTTAACGAAAAAATTCCGTATTTCACATGATGTTATCTGCCGATGGATGTTAAGTGTGAAGAAAAACTATCGTCCGGTTATCTACCACAATTGGAGACATGCGTTCAACGTTGCTCAAACAATGTTTGCAATGTTAACAGTACGTAGACATGTAGAACAGGTACTTTATAGCGAGATCTTCGGGTTTTTTTTTGTAGACGGGTGGTGTCAATGTTCGAATGAATGATCTAGAACGCTTGGGTCTATTAATTGCTTGTTTAAGTCACGACCTTGACCATCGTGGAACTAATAACGCATTTCAAGCTAAAGTTGATGCGCCATTAGCAAAATTATATTCAACATCGACACTTGAACATCATCATTTTGACCAATGTATTATGATTTTACAGACGGAAGGAAATAATATTCTCCAAGCGTTATCGCCGAATGATTATAAACTAACGGTGCATTACATCGAATCGGCGATTTTATCAACAGATCTAGCGTTGTACTTTCGTAAACGAGGTGACTTTCAGAAATTAGTCGAAAATCGCGAAGAACATTGGACTGATCCGGCTAAGAAAGATCTCTTGAGGTAATATTGGCCTATTCAATGAATATGTTTCGAAAATATCCTTCTAGAGGAATGATGATGACGGCATGTGATGTAGCAGCTATTTGTAAACCATGGGAAATGCAACAAGTCATTGCCAAACTTGTTGCTAGTGAGTTTTTTCAACAAGGTGATATTGAAAGAAATCAACTCCACGTCGAACCGATTGTATGTGAAAGTAAAACACTTTTTTTTTAACCTAATTTTCCTATTCAACACTTTCTAGCCAATGATGGATCGAGCAAAAAAGGATGAATTACCAAAGATGCAAGGTTTGCCTCTGTTTCTTGAACTAATCATATGCAAAATTCCGTATTCTAGTTGGTTTCATTGATTCAATTTGTCTTCCGGTTTATAAAGTAAATTCGAAATGTTCTCACTCTATATAAAAGCGTCCACATTCGTTTAATTAGATGTTAGCCGAAGCCGAAGAAGGCTTAACACCACTCTACGAAGGATGTAAACAAAATCGAGAGAATTGGGAAAAATTACAGCAAGAACATGACAAATTAAGTAAGATACGCAAAACAAACTTATCTGACCTGATGAATGTTTGCCCTCACAAGCTAAAGAATTGAAGTAGTCCTTCGTTCGTTGAGTATCGTAATTAAACATGAATGACTCGTTGCGTATTTTTGACTGGATGCTGATGATCTTCTTTTGTTGATCTATTCTAGAACTATTGTGGGCAGACAACGCTACTCAGGTAAATACTCCTAGATGAAGCATTTCGCATTCGATTGTTGTTGTTTTGTGGTTCTGTATTGTCTCGAATAATTGCTTGTCCTGTTTACTAAACATAAACATTTTTCTAGATAAGCACCGACATCGGTAGCAAGGAAAATTGAGCAGCTAAGTGAAGTATGAATAGAACATTATTTCTTTTAATCCTAATTCATCTCTTATTGAATCTGATTTAATAACCTCTGTTTGTTGATTTTGTTGTATTTTGTTCATGTCTTCCCAATCATAAGTTTTTCTTCACTGCTTCGTTCGGCAATGAGAGTTGTTCACTGTATCGTTGCTCGTTTTAGGAAACTTTACGCAAAATCCTTGAAGCATCTGACTCGCATGTACCATCGAAAAACCTTAATACTATTCCCTTAGATAAAATAAGTAAAAAACCTAATACCAATCACATTAATTCATCGTCTGAACAACACACGTCACTCGAACCAGTTTTATTTACATCTATTCATCAAAATAAAGGAGCAATCGATGTTATTCGTGGTCAAGTCACAGACTTAAGGCATGATGTAGATCAATTACGTGCAGAAATTAATCGTCGGCGAACACACAATCATACGTCCAGCACTGAAACTCGTCGAATATCGAAATCGGATACGAATAATGTCAATCAAACATCGGTATCTCATCATCATCATCACCATCATCATATTGATCAATCTTCTCAAACAGGACGTTCATCACTTTGCATTCTCTTGTAAAAATCATTTGTTTCGCTTTACTTGATTCGTATCCAATGCTTATTGTTTTCCATTTCTTTCTTTTTTTAACTTATTGTCAGAAAATAAAAGTATCGAAAGCTGTATAGAATCATCGAGCTATTTTCTCATTGCTTGCACTCGAAATATTTCAACAAACTCTTGCTAACGATCGATAAAAAATGAAGACATTCTCGTTTGGATGAGTCATCGTAGATCCAACCCATACGAGTTGTTTTTCTTGCGAGTGCGATAATTTGTTGAATCGACTTCGACAAAATACACAATAATATTACTTGAAAAATGTTCATATCCTCCATTTGTATTCAACTACTTTCAATTTTGCTCAGCCCCCGTAGCTCAGTCGGATTAGAGCGCCGTACTTATACACAGTATCGGAGCAATGCGGATGTCGTGAGTTCGAGCCTCACCGGGGGCATCCATGATATATTTTTTTCTTTTGACTCATACCACCTTGTGTTCTGTTTCTTTATGCTCTCGCAATACCAATGACTCATGACACCTTCCCAAAGTCTATATAAACCCATTGCTTTCTGAAATCTTTTCATTTTCTTTGGTCAAGTGTCAACATGTTGAAGGTAGCATCATCGTCTGGTCGGCAACGTCATCAAGATCAATTTATTCCGTTAAAAAACGTTGCTGTCGAAGTGAAGATCCATTCATTTGCAGCAGAAGTTTGCATCAAACAAGTTTTCATCAACAGCGAAGAAACAAGCGCACCGGTCGAAGCTGTCTATTGTTTTCCTGTCGACGAACAAGCGGCCATCCATAGTTTCGAAGCGACAATCGACGATGGACGAAAGATTCAAGGACAAATTAAAGAAAAGAAAGCTGCACAAAAAGATTATTGTCAAGCATTAAAGAGAAGAGATGGTGCATTCTTGCTCGAACAAGATGAAAACTCGAATGATATCTTTACTATCAGTATTGGTGAGTATTATATAACTGTAGGTTTTCATGTAATTTTCATAATATTTTTTGTTTAGGTTCGCTTAAAACACAATCGAAATGTGAAATAGAACTTCGCTATGTTCAAGAGCTTGAATTAATCGATGATGGTCAACGCATACAATTCGTTCTACCAACAACTATTGCACCACGATATAGTTCTGTATCTGCCGGTCACGGTCATATCAAATCGCCTGGATCAACATCGATTCAATACGTACAATCAACACCATACACGATTTCATTTTCTTGTATAATTTCATCATTACCCATCGCATCGGTCGGTTCGCCATCACATCCAATCGAAGTTTCACCGCAATCAAGTAGCGACACATATCCATCGATAAATGCTCGTTTATCACAAGAAAACACTCATCTTGATCGTGACATTATTCTTAATATTGCTCTTCAGCAGCAACGAACTCTTACGTATACTCTCGTCGAAAAACAAGCAGTAATGGTTTCACTGGTTCCAACATTAGAGCTTTGCGACAACACCAATCGAATAAAAAAAGTGAATTGCGAATATATCTTCGTAGTCGATTGTAGTGGATCGATGGATTCTGAGAATAGAATTGATTATACCCGACAGGCCATGTTAGTATTTATTAAAAGTTTACCGATTGACTCGCATTTTAATATCATTCGATTTGGTTCCTCCTACGAAATGTTCCAGAAAAAGAAAAAACTGACAATCGAATACAATGAAAAAACGGCTCAACAAGCAGTCAAGTATATCAACAAGATGAAAGTAAGACACCATGATGTATACATGATTGTGAAATGAATTTTTATGTTTTAGGCTGATTTGGGAGGAACGGAACTTCATTCGGTTCTTTCTTATTTAAAAGAAACTCCGCCGGAAGAAAATTATTCACGACAAGTTTTTTTGTTAACTGATGGAGAAATTTCTGATGTTGACTCAGTTCTTCGCCTTTGCCATTCGATGTCGAATACCACTCGCATCTTTTCCTTCGGACTTGGCTCATCACCAAGCCGAGCCTTAGTCAAAGGCTTGGCTAGAATGACAAATGGTTCATACCTATTCATTCCACCCAAAACTCATGTCGATGTCGCAGTTACTCGACAGTTATATAAAGCACTTGAACCATGTTTAGTCAACGTTAAAGTGCGATGTCATTTTGATAACAATGAATTCGAAAACTGTCGAATTTCACCGAAAATTTTACCACCTATTTATGCTAAACAACGGCTTAATGTATACATTATGATGCCAAAACACATCGAAGGAAAGTTATCAGGCACAGTGGAATTCCTCACGCAGAATGTAAGTACACGTTGATTCATTACTCATACATTATGGCGCTGTATTTTTCACTTTTATAGAACGATCTACTCGAACGTGTGACACTTACGAATGTTCAGCCTTCGTCAACATTGCTTGCAACACGTTTGGCAGCGAAATCCATCATAATGGATCTTCAAGTTGATGATTATCAGTCGACTGCCTCTCGTCAAACACGTTTTACTGAACAAGAGAAAAATGATGTTCGGCAAGAACTGGTTGATATTTCAGTTCAGCATCAAGTGCTTTCACCGTTTACTGCATTTATTGGCATTGAAACGCGAACTGAACAGGAAAGAGCTGCCGTAGCGTCAGTCGGTGACATGGTTCTTCGAGAAGTACCAATTGAAATCAACGGTGGAGGCCAATCATCCTTCAATTGTAGTCCTACATCTCCAAACTTCTCTCGGTCGTCATTCAGTGATGAGGACGACGAAGAGCTAACTTTGTTCACTTCATATTCTAAGAAATCGTATACCAACCGTAAAAGAGCACGATCACGATCACGATCACGGTCACGATCACGGTCACGATCACGGTCACGATCACGGTCACGATCACGATCAGCTCGGCTCAGAGACTCATCGAGTTCAATGGAGCAGTTGGATACTGGCGATAGTGAATCAGAAACAGAACAAACAACTGCTAGCAACTCCTCCGATGTAATCCGAGAAATCATTGCTTTACAAAACTTCAATGGCCTATGGTCAACAAACGATCTCCAACAGATCGATGCATTACTTCAGAAGAAAACCATTACGGTCGATTTGAAGAAGATTATTAGCGATTTTCACGATAAAATTAATGATACGATATTATCAATAATCATCATGTGCGTTTTGGCAAAATACTTTCCGACTGATGAACCATTATGGAAACCTTTGGTAAAAAAATGTGAGAAAGTGTTAGAAGGTCAACTTGGGAACAATGAATCAGCTCAGATAATAGGCAATATAAAACAATTAATTTGATTTTGTTAAAATACATTTCGTTTTCTTTCTTGTTAAACTAGATCTTTGATAATAGATTTCTTATTCGTGACGTAAAAAAGTGCATTGAAATTGTTTTAAATTGATTTATTCTTTAAAGAAATTGAAAGATTCTATGTATACTCCTATTGCATCATTAATTTTACAAATTGATCAAAATTAATTCCATTGGTTCCATGTGAGAGTAGTTCTTTAATGATTAAATCGTATTGTTCATCATCGAGATGATCAAAAAAGTCGCTTTCACGACGAAGTCGATCGACATCTTCACGAGAAATGCGTCCATCGTGATCTCGATCTAATGCATCAAATGTTCGACGTAATTCGTCGTTCAATTCAGTCGAGCCAACATGACGAAGCATCAATGTTACATATTGATCAACAGTAAGCGTTGTTTCACGGGTCGCCTCATCAGTTTGTTCGCCTAATGCAGTACGAACAAGTAATAAGGCTTCGTTGGGATCTAATTCGATTCCAATCGATCTTGCTATCGCACAAAAATCTTCAGGACCAATCGAACGATTGTGGTCGCGATCAAGAAGAAAAAATGCTTCTTCCACAGCTCGATCGAATCGAGCATGGTCATTCGTGTTACCATTCGTCGACATGTTTATTCATCTACGTAGAAAGTTTTTATGAAAACCTATGTCAAAGAAAGAAAAGAGTTTTTTTTAAGTCAGTAGTTGTTATCGTGCGCGTGAGATCTCTCGTTGCTTATCTCTACGTCCGTGACGTTTACAATTAGAATTAGTTTGACAGAATTAATCATTCTGTTTGTTGTCTTTCCATCAAATACCTGACATCACGAATGACTCAGTCATGTGAATATCTTTCGTCGGTATTTAATGGATTGATGGCAAGTATTGATACGCATTTTTCGAAGGATTCGATCGTCTCTATTTCGACGAAGTTAATTATCACACTTATTTTCGATTATTTTCGTTCTTCAGAATGAAAAACGATACTGGATACATAAGTCAATATATGCACTCTTGTCTTACCAGCTTTCCTGTGAAGCGTACTCGTTTATATAGCGTCGTGATTTCGATTATTTTTCTCAGTAATGCCGCAATCGCCGGACGAAATCTACGAAGAATTGTTTGAAGATGTGCAGTTGGCAAAGGTTTTCAATGATTCGAAAACGTTCTGTGATGTTATATCTTGGCGACTAACACCGAAGAAAATTCTCGAATGCTATCGAAAAGAAAAATCCAAACCAAACTTCGATCTTCCGTCGTTTGTTTTCGAGCATTTCGTTCCACCAAATGCAACAACAGTTGAGAGTAAAGACTGCACGATTGAAGAACATTGCCGTCGTTTATGGCCGTTGTTGACTCGATCGCCGACGAAAGAAAAATTCTCATCTTTTATTGACGTACCACATCCATTCGTAGTACCCGGTGGCCGTTTTCGAGAATTTTATTACTGGGACACATATTTTACGATGTTGGGTTTAGTCCGATCGAATGAAATCGAACTAGCAAACAACATGTTGGAGAACTTTGCACATCTTATTCGTACCATTGGACATATACCAAACGGAAATCGATATTATTATCGAGGTCGATCGCAGCCGCCTTATTTTGTCCTAATGACGGAATTATTGGGACAAACAGAAAAGTATCGAAAGGAATTAGCAATGGAATACCAGTTTTGGATGGAAAAACGAAGTGTTGTACTTGCTAATGGAACGGTTTTGAATCGATATTTTGATGATTTAAACACTCGTCCAAGACCGGAAGCTTTTCGCGAAGATACAGAAACCGCTCGGTGTGCACAAACAACGGATATTTATGCCCATTTACGAGCAGCTGCAGAATCAGGTTGGGATTTCAGTTCCCGATGGATGGACAAAGAAAACGATTTATCAACGCTGAGAACAGCTGATATTCTTCCTATCGATCTGAACTGCTTACTATATCATTTGGAAGTAATTTTAGGTAAAACCGATCAGGCTGAGAGACGTCGACAGGCGATTCATCAATACATGTGGTCGGATGACTTGAAGTTCTTTACTGATTATAATTATGTACGAAAAGAACGAACTAATCGATTGACATTAGCTGGACTTTATCCATTATGGTTACGTGTGGCAACAGCTGAACAGACTCAACATGCGGCCGGACAAGTCGAAAAGTTATTTTTATTCGATGGCGGTCTCGTAACCACAATTTCGAAAGAAAGTACACAGCAATGGGATAGACCAAATGGATGGGCACCCATGGAATACATTGGGTATCGTGCGTTATTGCAAACATCTGGTTATGAGAGTCTGGCTCGAACAGTTCGTCAACGATGGATGGCATTGAACGAGCGTGTCTACAAAAGCACAGGTAAAATGATGGAAAAATATGATGTAGTTGACATTCATAAACCAGCCGGAGGTGGTGAATACGAAACACAAGATGGTTTTGGATGGACTAATGGTGTATATTTAGAAATGCTTTACGATCAACAGAACGAGATTTAATCTAAAACATGACAAGCTTTGTAGTTGTTAGTTTATCTTCATTTACAATAAAAGAAGCGTTTCTATAAGTAAAAGATGAATTCTCACAATGCTCATCTTTGGATTACATAGCGTGAGGACAAATCAAGTGTGTAGACGAGCTGCTATACAAAAGGCTCAGGAAAATATCATTCCATGGATAAATAGTATTTAAAATCAAGACGTCTTTTTCTCTTGAAAGATCGTGAGCTAAACTAAGTGCATTTCTCAAGTACGACATACCGTGGAGAAGAGACAGAAGATTGTTCTTTTCATTACGTGTTGAGTTTCGCCCGACAGATGTCACTGGTTGCCAAGTACATCCTTCTTTTCTGTCAAAGTATATTGTGTAGGATAATGGCGTCACAAGATCCAATCTAATACGAATCAATTCTTTGAACAACAACATTTCAAGAACATTGGAGTCCATTGAAAACATCGACTCCGTGATACGAAAAAAGTAAGAACAAAAGTGAGAAATTTGTCAAAACGTTCGTTTGTGTCATTTAGAGAACAGTCATGGCTTGCACCCCAGTTGGTGTTAATAATCAAAGCAGTGAACTATCAAATGATAAATCAGTAAGAGCAATGGCCAAATAACATCCCGGACGGTTTTTCAATCTAAATCGTTTTCTCTAGGATATTCCAAGTAATCTCGATGACGAAGCTAATACATCAAAATCAATAGTAGAAACACCTTTAATCCCACCGGAGTCGACCAGTAAGCGTTCATTCTCATCTATAAGTTCCAAAGCAAGTGATTATCCTGATATCTGCCGGATTTGCCATTGTGAAGGTACACTTGAAGAGCCATTAATATCTCCTTGTTACTGTTTGGGCACAATGCAATATTTACATCAAGCATGTTTACAACGTTGGATAAAAAGTTCCGGTGTAAAATCATGTGAATTATGTAAATTTGAATTCATCATGCATTCAGAAATCAAACCGTTCAAACAGGTAGAATTGATGTTCGCTGAAAACGATGAAAAATTTGCTGGGATGTTTGTTTAGTGGCAAAAATTGGATATGAATGTCGTCGAACGACGAAAAGTGATGTGTTCAGTAGCGTTTAATTTAATTGCAGTCACCTGTGTTCTTTGGTCTTTATATGTGCTGATTGAAAAAACTCGAGATGAAGTCAAAGTTGGCAAACTTCGTAAATAAAATCTATTTTATCTTTGAAATAGAAGAAGACGAAAGATCGGTTTTGTTTTTCCACAGATTGGCCGTTTTGGACGAAACTCATCGTGGTTGCTATTGGTTTCACTGGCGGTTTAGTAAGAGAAAACGGCTCGTTAGTGTACGAGAGACAGCAAACTTTGTATTTTTAGGTTTTTCTCTATGTTCAATGTAAAATGTACATTCAGGTAGGTTCAAATATCTAATTATTCCTTACACTCGGCTCTTCTTTAGCTTTGTATTCGTTGGCGTCAGTTCAATCAACGTATCATCATCCATTCAAGAGATGAACAGCATCGTAGTGGCACTCTCTATTCGTCGGGTAACTTACCTTTGAAAAAAAAAGGCATCTTTTCCAAACATTTCTGTTCAATTTAGGAACGAAATATTCTCAAAATAAACGAGGCAATTGTATTATAACAGTACTTGATGCAAATGATTTACCCCCATTGAACTCTAATACTTCATCATCGGTTACTCCTGGTCATACAACAATTCGGTCGAATTCTCCTTCAGCAACGAGCACAAACCGCAATCGAAGACATGACGATAATCATCATCAACATTTTCTACATCGAATTTTTCATTTTCGTCGATCGAATTGATTTCTTTTACGTGTACATACATAGATTTGCCCCTATCAAATCGAAATTTCAATACGAGTAGGAATCTCAAATCGTTTCTACAGTGCATTGCCAATAACTATAATTATGAAAGGCAAAATCAAATAGACGAAATTGATCTTTTCTAGTCATTAGAATGTTCTCTTAATAAGACAAACTCTTTTAGATTCGTTTTTCCTCGCTCTCCATCATCGATTTTCGTCTCTCTTTTTCTTAGGTCGGTTCATTCGTTGTTTTTCTTGATGTTGTCTTATGTAATTGCACAGAAACAGAAGTTGCTCTTTTCAGTTCATGCGTTACAGTTTGTTTTTCTGGTTCACTTTGTGCTATTGCTTCATTTTAAACAATAATAAATGGTAGGATGATCTAATCGAGTTCACATCTTAGTCACACAAGAAAAAAAATCTCACTAAACATACAAAAAAAACTTCTGATTTACCGATGAAATAAATGAATATAAAAACATTAGGTTGTGATCCACTGTATTGCACGATTTTTCAAACTGAGATCCAGTGGAACGTCCATTGAATAGTCTTGAATACTTGAACATCGTTTTAGATTAGGCAATGACGGACATATTTCACCGTATTCCATCATTATTTGATCGATCGTCGTTGGATCAAGAGCGATATTTGATTCTGTGGGCAACGGTCTGAAAATATCTGCAGTAGAAATCGGCCGAGTGATAACAGTGCAAGTCGATAGGATTTGTTCGATTACACTCGATTGAATGATTGTTGATGATGGCTCACATTCGATTGGGGGCGATATACAAGAACAATTTGCGAATGACGTAACGGTATTAAGCAGAGTGAAGTAGACAGGAATATAATTCGTCGCAGATAGTGTTTGTCTAAGCGAGCAAAGACGTTCGGAATCTTTTAATAAGCGATCGTTGGCGTCATACATTGAGATCTGTACGAATGCAAAGAACGATGAAGACGAAATGAAAACATAATGACTAACTTACTTTGATCATACGTGAATAAGGCAGTGTGGATTCGATGAATAATCGTAGAGCACGAACAGGCATTGCACTGTGACATTGAAGATATCGGCGTGAAAACTACACGAAATCTGTATATACACATTTTGAAATAATCAAAAGACAACATACTTGTATATTGGAATGATTTGTTAGAGGTGGACAACTAAAATAAATTTTAATTTCTTTTCTAACATTCAATCGATTAAGTTTTCACTTACCTGCATTTTAGTTCAAGCTGTACGTTTAGAATATCTTTATTTTCTAAAGAGACAGTTATATGTGTTTGCAAAATCATGAATCATTCGTGACGAAACTTCCTACTTTTAGTTTTGATTCGTTGTTGTTTCATGATTTTATATCAACAGGAAGAAAAATGAACGAGAATGTTGTTTTTATTTTCGTGAAGATTATATATATATCAGTGGTGAAACAAAGAAACGCAGACGAAAAAGTAAAAACTAAAGCAAAAAAGAAACACCTATATATATTTTGTATGTTTGATTCCAAGGAAAAGAAAGGAAGAGAAAAGAAAAAAAAACATCAATGATTTGAGGGTTTTTTCCTTGTCGTGTGTACCTGAGATGGGACAGAACAGAATAATGAGTGGTGCTTCAACATGCCTAACTCATGGATCTTATACTGTCCATTGTCATGATATCACTTAGTTGTGTGATGAGTCACTAGTATCTTATCAATATGTTTAAGGTAGTGATTGTGACATGTTTTGTTAGAGAAAAACTAGTTAAATGAATATTTCATTATTCAGTGGGAAAATAAGGTTTGAAATTTCGAAATAATTGTGCATGATGAAATCATTTTTCTGTTGTCTTTCGTTACACAATGACTATGATGACAAAACTATTTCGTGCACATGAAATTTTGTTTTGCAATTCTGTCCAACAAAGATTTCTCAACAGATTTATCTTTGATCATTGAATAGAATTCACAGACAGTTTGATTTTGTCATGAATAATTCTCTGATGTAAAGAGGAAGAGGGAGTTAATGATTGTAACCTACCATAGTGTTTTTCTTCCTTTATGTGCCTATCTTATTTTTTTATTGATGTCAAAGAAATGACAACAGAAAAAAAAGCAAACGTCTGATGACAATTATTTACTATCTTATAGCTATGACAAATAACGCCAAATATTGTCAAAGTTCGCATTTGACAAGATCAAACTAGTAGATGACATCCTCGTACATATTTCTTCTTCTTCTATTTCTCTCGGCATATGGTAATTACCATGATCAATGTTCAATTCGAGATTCTTGTTCAAATTCAACGTTAATCTCTCCATCGATCTACAAAACTGAACAGTTTATTCAATCCCGAAATTGTTTTTGTGACTCGTATTGTAAACAATATAATGATTGTTGTCAACAATCATTTACAACCTCTCCAAAGAATTTCTACGAATGTACGGATTTTCTTTCGCCGACATCGAACGATAAACCATTAACATTTCAACCGATATCCGTTTGGATGCGTACTCGCTGTTTGAGAATCTATCATGGAACGCCCGCAGATCTCAATTGTCGAAATCATCATGATCAAACATTTCAAACCAATCCCTCCTTGTTCATTCCTGTAACAAGTGTAGAAAGCAACATTACTTATCGGAATTATTTCTGTGCTTATTGCAATAATGAGCTAGATACGCATATACAATACTGGAGATACATCGCGATTTGCCGTGAAGATTTGAATATATCTTCTCACGAAGTAATATTGAATAAGAACGAAGATGTGAATTATTATCTTAATAATCTAACAGGAAACTGTACGAAATCAGTGGATTATCCACAAATTTCGGGCCTAGATCGACCTTCAGTCTTCATTCGAGCTTGTAAAAAAGTTCTTCCAAGAACTTGTCCTATTGGAACACCAACTGAACTGGCACAGAAATGCTTGTTAGCTAGTAATGCTTACCGCTATGACAATAACACACGTGTCACATATCCAAATCAATATTGTGCAGATTGTCATCGCAAGTCTCCTACTCAAATCACTTGTTTAGATCCAACACCTCCTTCTGGAAGAATACCCAGCAAACAAAGACTATTTCCTCCATTATCTATTCTCTTCAATCCAGCTCTTCTTAAGAGAAACTTCCATTCGAATCTTTCAAATGAAATGATCTACTCAGTAGCTTATAATTGCACAAAGTCGACTGAATATTATCATTTATTTCAAAAGCAGTGCTTACCATCACCAGAATCTCATCAACAAATCCTTCTCTCCTTCAAATGTGACCATCCGGTTTTAACATTGGACAAATTTATTCGATTTCATAATGGAAGCTTGTATTTAATCAATCAGTCGATTTATTTAACTAAACATCAGTATGCACTCCTGAACGATCATCAAGTTTTCTTCTGTGCCGATCAGCGGAAAAGACTTCGACCAACATTTCCATTCTATCGTCATATTTTATCCATGTTTTGCACATCGATCTCACTTTTCTTTCTCTTTTTATTCATGATTGTATTCCGTGCAATTTCTTCTTTGCATAATCTTCCTGGTAAATGTCTTCTATGTCTGTCGATTTCAATATTTCTTGGTCAAACGATATTTTTGATGACATCGGATCTTCATACGCTTAGTCTTCCTTGTTTAATATTCGGTATTTTGATTCATTATTTTTATTTATCTTCATTCTTTTGGTTATTTATTATCGCCAGTGGCATCCATTCAACATTTCATCATCAACAACTTGGTTCACGAGAAAAGCTCCTAACGGATAATCAATATTTATCGGTTTACAATGTTCTCGTCTGGTGTTCAGCAGGATTTGTCATCCTTCTTGCTTGTCTAATCCAAATCTTCTCTCCACAGTCAAGTTTTTCGCCCAATTACGGCTATTCATTTTGTTCGATATCTCAACCGAAAGCGTTAATCACATTTTTCCTTCTCCCGATCGGTTGTTTACTTTTACTGATCATTATTCTATTTATCAAAACAATATCTGCTATTCATGATTCTCGCAAAGCGGCGAAACTCGCGAATACGTCATCCAATGATAGTTACGTGATGATTTACGCACGTTTAGCATCACTGATGGGCTTGCAATGGATTCTCTTGATTAACGCAGTTGTTATTCGACAGACGTGGGCGTGGATTTTATTTGAAGTGATTAATTCTCTTCCGGGAATATTCATTTGTTTCGGTTTCCTCTGTTCACGCCGGGTTTGGAAGGAGATGAAAGCAAATCTTACGAAGAAGTCAGTTAGTAAAAGGAAAACATCGAGTAGTCAAACTACAGCGATAAGTTTAATGGTACCTCTGACTCAACGTGACAAATGATGGCCGATTAAAGTTGAAATCTTATCTAAGACATTGTCCTTCACCGTACACTTTATCTCTTGTTACAAAATTAAACTTTTCAACTGAAAGTTTGCTTTTGTAATCTGGAAAATTTTCGTTTATCGTAATAAATGAGGGATCATTCTTTTTCTCTCGGTTTTTTCTCATTCGAAGCATTTCACTTCTTCCTGTGACTCATTCAATGAAATTGCCAACACGAAATGACTCATGTGTCGAAACGAGTAATGTCGATGTCTGATGTCATTCACGACCAACATGGCGATTGCATCAACATCTTCTCATCAAGACTTCGACCATCTTTTTACTCTTTGTAAATATATTTCCCAAACTGCATCACGTATCCGATTTGGACATCTTTCCAACAATTCCTCTTCTCTTGATGATATACAATTCTGTCGCGATCAATTATTGTCCATCGCTGAGAACTTGGAAGGTTCCACTATCCTACTTGAATCATTACTAGTAGGTGAACAACGACGACCAATTGACATCTCAATGCAAAAGTCAAGACATTGCTATACGCGTGACGAATTGTTGAAATTACGTCGACATGTTTCACCGAATCTATCCAATCAGATCAAGCATTCTCTAGAATTAGTTGTTGACCATGTGAATGCTCAGTCGAACAAAGCGTCATGGAAAAATATTCGAGATATTATAGTTTGAATATTTACTTGTGTTTTTATATGATCAAAATAAAAATTTATTTAAAACGTAGACCGGAACTTAATTCTTGTCAAAAATAATTTTCGCAGCCCATAGCGCCATTATAGTAAGTGTAACACTGATGGCAAGCCAACAGGAATTATTTATACTATTGATTAGTTGTGAAAGTAGATTCGATTGATTTTGGGATGTTGTTGAAAGTACTTTTCGAAGAAGCTCACGTTTATTCTCACTATCGGTAGTGTTTTGACCATTATCTAATCCTTGAATAAGTTCATTGATCAGACGAATTGATTCGTTTTGATCACAACGTTTCAACGCATCACGGTTATCTTCAACCCATGTTTTGAAACTACGAAGAATGTTATCGAATGTTTGAACAGTCGTATTCGGAGCGATTTGCACCGTTGGAGTGGGTGGTGGGGTTTGTCCTAAGGTAAATTCGATCTCATTCTGATCTAGTAAACGAACGCACATGAGACTTACGTGGACTAGTGGCTAATTCTTCTTCGATATAAGTGATTTGTTGGCGTAAATTTTGGAATGATTCATTAAATTTATTGCTATCGGAAAAGTCGATTTTGATATTACCACCAAGCAGAAGACTCAACCAATCCGAAGGAATGTAATTATCTTCCATAATACATGGAATAAATTTGATTTGCTTTATACTGATACGTTCTGCTTCTATATAAACGTCAAGATATTGTACGGATTCATCGGAATAAACATGTTTATAGATTACCTTTTTGACACCAAAAACTCTGATCATATTTGTGATTGAGACACATCAAAACTATATAGGAATCTGCAATTGCTTGAGCCATTCCTTGGATAAAATTATTACGCATGTCGTAAACGTCCATCCATACAATATATTTCAAACCCTAAAACAATAAACGCGAGTTATTTCTCTTTTAGCATAACCGTCCACTTACTCTAAGATGCTTACGAATCTCTTCGCATGTTTTCTGACAAGATCGATTGTAACTTATCATGATATGTGGTTTCCTCAGTTGATTCGTTGTGACTGGTTGTGACACTATGGGAGAAGCAGAAATAATAAACACTTTGCACTCAAATAAACCTACCAGCTGGTGATGCAACTGTCGACTGTGCAGTAACAGTTTGTGGCTCAGACGTGTTTACAGTTATTGATAGTTCAGCAGGTTGTGTTTGACTTGGTGAAAGTTCGGGAGGTGCTGGATCACTTAATTCGCATGACAGACATTTAGCAGTAGAATTAACAGATTCAAGAAGGTTTTCTATGTTAATTAAAACAATGTTCGAAAAAGTTTCATCTCCATAATGTCAGATCTTACCGATTCCTCCTTCATTTGACGTTCTCGGTGAATCTATATCTCCAGTTCCTCTACAACTTTCTCTTGCCTCTGGTGATGTTCCATACAAAATTGCATTGTCTACCTGGATACTATCCTTCGATGAATCTACAAAAATTATAGTACATATTCGAATACAAACTGGAATCGGTTGACTCACTAGTATTACTTGTACATTTGTCTTCAGGTGCAAATCCATGCAACTCATCCACCATTTCCTATTCAAATCAATTTGATTACAATATATATTAAAATCCAAATCAAAATATGATGTTAACTTTACTCTTAATGCTGGTAGATCTGTGGATGGTTCCAATATTCCTTGCAAATTATTCATTGAAGAGTATATATTCGTTTTTCCTAAACAACACAACTGATTTCATCAAACACCAAAACAACCCGAAGAAAAAAACAATGGTGCAATAACATGTAATCTCTTCCTTTTCTTTTTCAAACAATCCCTATGACAATGCTTTATTATACATAAGAACGGTCTCGCATGTTATCGAAAAGAAACGTGATTTGTTTATGGCTTGCAACGAAACTACGCATTTTATTGAAAAAATTCCCTTCAAACTATTCTTTTCTTCTAAAACAAAAGGCAATGCTATTACTACAAATGAAGTCAATAACGACAGGTGTTCAGCGAGTTCGAAAAAGAACATCTTCGATTCTTTAATGTTTAATTGTATAGATTTTTTTCCACTGATAAACCTTTCGATAGCCATCAGTTGACTAACTCGTCATCGTGAGTTTCCTTTTACACAAAAACATTAGATTAACCATTCAGATAATAATTTGTCACGCGAATCGTTTAAACGTTTTCCCTCTTCGATGAAGATGAGTGTAAATATGTAATGGATTCTTCACTCCATTTTGTAACACCATGTGTGAAGAGAGTAAACAGATGAGTGTGTTATATGCTCAATGTATCCATATACACGCAGATACAATTGAATCACGTGTGAAGATCGTTGAGAAAGCAGAAAAAAAATCGGAGAAAATCTTTTGCACTCTTATCGCATCGGGTAAGAAAAACAAAAAATTAGTTAGTCTTGGGAGAAGAATAATCACGATCATCAAGAATGTCTTATACTCAGCATGATATACATACACAAATATGATTGGAATACACCGCAAGGGGCCGTCCATCAACGATTAAGTCTAGACATTGACACATGTATATTGTCTCTTTGGAGAATAGCGGAGCACAGAAAAACGACAAGATAATTTGATGAAGACTTTTCTTTCCTAGTGTTCCCTTTCTCTCCAGTTTGAATTGAGTGCTGCTAATTGATTCATATCAGACCATGTCAAATACGAGAATTTGTTTCAGTAAAACGAATCAATCGAGCATATTAATTTCACACCTTTTACTCTCGTCGATGGAGTATACATTTCTTTGATTGATAACACACAAAAGTCTAGTACAATTGACGATTAAAAACCGATCAGATATGACCAATCAGCATAGTCCTTGAAATAATCAATTGAACAGCAGTAAATCTTTAATTGAGTTCAAAACAACTCTCTCGTGCATGGCTGTGTGGGCACACCCGTGATGCAATCATCATTGCCATTCCTTTCCTTCTCTCTCTCTCTCTTTCTTCGTTATTTGTTGTTCATTGACCATCTGTTTTCAATTGCCCATTGGTCATTTCATCCATTTAATAAATGAGCGAAAGAGAAGAGAAAACATCCTACTTCATTCTCTATATAATTAATATTANCATCTTGTTTTTGTTATGATTTCGACATACGCGTGGAAATCAGCGTAGGCCGCAAGCTATGTTTTTATATATAAACAGAAAGAATGACCCATGGATCGAAAAGTCAGTTCATTTTCATTCGAAAGTTGTTATTATTATGAGAGAAGGAGCGAGAGGGACGGTGAATTTGTCTTCACTCGATCAATCTATCATTAATCAATTCGTTTTGTAGATGTTTGTACTCTTTCTTCTTTTCCCATTGGTTTCCGCATTCGATTATTCAATTATTCTCGAAGAGAAATCGCCAATCAACCAGGCAATTTATCATTTTCCATATTCGTATGAATTACTAACTAATTTTCAATCTAATTTTAATTTAACCAACAACAATCGTGATTTAATTCTGACGAAAACCATCGATCGCGATGCGTGGTGTGCACAAAATATCTGTTCATGTGATCATTGCTCGTTTCTATTAGAATTATTTTCTAATGATAACAAGACTGTACCAATATTCTCTTCGATTAATATCACCATCACCGATCTAAACGATCATGCCTGTCAGTTTCTGGATATTCAAACAAATATTTCCCTTTCGGAATCGATTCAAATCGGTCATCGATTTCCAATCGCACGTGCGATTGACGCGGACTCGGGCGTCAATGGTCAATTATCATTCAAACTTTTAGAAAATGAGGATTATTTCGAATTGAACATTATCAACTTATCCGTCAATGAATACGCAATCTATGGGATACTAAAACATGCATTAGATCGAGAATTGGAAGAACAATATGATTTACTTATCGAAGCTGTCGATCATGGATTAAAACAAGTACGAAGTAGTCGAATGAACGTTACCGTTTGGATTCTAGATGAGAATGACAATGCACCGAAATTCAATCAAACGGAATATTCCATTCAGGTGAATATCAAATGCATTTTCTGCCTTCATCTGAAACGAATGTTATTGTTTTAGTCATTACCAGAAGATACACCGGTTGGAACGCAATTACTAACCATTTCTGCAACAGATATTGACAAAGGTTTGAATAGTCTGATTCATTATTCCATTGTTCAACCTCCAGGTATCTCATCCTTTCCATTTGCAATCGATTCAAATACGGGAGTTGTCAGTCTTCGTTCGTCGTTGGACTATGAAACCGTGCGTTCGTATCGATTTCTCATCCGTGCCTCGGATTCTGGTTTACCTCAATCATTATATACCGATACTTGGTTATCTATCTCGATCGCTGATGTCAATGATTGCCCTGTTGAAATCACATTTATTCCAAATCGACGATTTCAATATGAAAACCAAACCTTATTTATCTATGAAAACACGGAAATTAAGAATTTAACTATCGGTTACATTCGACTATTTGATCAAGATTCGATTCCAACGAAACTTTCGGTTTCATTGATGACTTTAGATTCGAAACTTCAACAAGAATACGAATTGATTCCGTCCAGTCAAATCAATTCGTATATATTGATTGCAAAGAAAGGAATATATGATCGAGAGATTCAACGAGAAGTTCATCTTCGTTTCGTCGCAACAGATACTTTACTAACCTCAATTTCTGACATAACAATTCATCTATTGGATCTAAATGACAATCCAAGTGAATTTCCATCGAATCCAATGAAGTTCTCCATTGAAGAATTAGCAAATTACCACATGGTTGAACATCCAACTGAAAATTCCCAAATCGTTCTTGGATATCTCAATGCAACTGATCCTGACGAAGGTGAAAATGCCATGAACCGATACGAACTAGAGCCGAACTCATACGTGAAAATCGATTCTAATACAGGACGATTGACTCTTATTCAACCCTTAGATCGCGAACAAATTTCTCGAATTCAGTTAAAAGCCAAAGCGATCAACATTGCAGAGCCCAAGTGGGAAACTGAAGTTCAAGTTGAAATTGAAGTGTAAGTGTCTTGTAATGTAAAGTCTCGACAAATTTCTTCAATTTCCTTTTTAGTTTGGATATCAATGATAACATCCCTCAATGTTTATCTCGCATACAACAAATATCCGTTCGAGAAAACTCTTCGACTACGAATTCACTTGTTCAAATCAATGCGACTGATGTTGATTTAGGCGTGAATGGAACAATCAATTATTCTATTCGATTAAATTCTTCATGGCCGTTTGAGATCAATTCTAAAACAGGCGAAATCTATTCTCGACAAATTTTCGATTACGAATCAAATTCGAAAACATTTTTCATTATTGTCGATTTGGAAGACGAAGGTTTCCCAATCAAAAATCAAAATAAAAACGCTTGTCAACTGATCGTCAACATCGAAGATATCAATGATAATTCTCCACAATTAACCGACGACAGTCAGACGAGAATATTTCTCGATTTACAACGAAGTCCATTTCTCAATGAAATCATTCTCTTCAATGCAACAGATCTCGATTCAGGTGATAACGGAAAAGTGAAATATTCCCTACTAGACAATGATTCTAATTCATTATTTCGACTCTATCCGAATGGAAGTTTACACATGACACGGCAAATCAATCAAGTGTCCCTATTCAAATTGGAAATTCTTCTTGAAGACTATGGTATTCCTACACAACAAGCGAGAATTAGTGTTATCGTGGCAATCGGTGATACAAACATACCTGCATTTTCAACATTTGAAAAAGTTCTTGTCAAATATTCGCAACCGAAGTCAATCGGCCTGATCTTAGGCTTGACTGTTCTTATCATAACACTTCTGCTATTTCTATGCATAATTGTAACTTGTATATTACTTCGACAACATCGTCGACGACATCAAGCGGCAATTATCGCAAGAAAAAAACTGTTATGCTCATCATCGCAACAGTTAACATCGTCAGGTTCGACGAATACCACATCTTCCTTTTCGGTCGAACATCAGCAAATCGCAAATATCGTTCAAATCAAACCGATCTATTACAATCGTCGAACATCCGATACTTATACAAGTAAGTCTTCTGTTTGTTATCCGAACGATACAATTGCAATTCTTCTTTTTTTTGTAGTGAATACATCTTCACCGGAATCTCAAACATATAAGATTCTCCATATTCCACAGGACAATGAATACTATTTGAATTATTATCATCACGAGAAGGTCGATAATCATAGTTCAGATCTTGGTTACCATGGAAGCTATGAAACAGGTTCATCATCATCGCCTTCATCGCAAATGTCCACACGTCATTCGCATATGGTGAATCAACTACCGGATTTCGTTACCAAATGTAAAAGTGTCAATGGAGGATTTTTGGTGGAAATGAATGTTGATGGAAGTGATGAAGATCGAAGATGACATTTGATCTTCTTTCCTGCATTTGTTTTGTGTTGTATAGAAACACTCTAATGATCTTATTTATTATTTCTTCGTTTTGATCAATAAATTGAAAAATCATATTTTGTCAAACTGAAATACAATTATTTCATTGTCAAATGTGGCACAAATGATAGTTCTGGGATTTCTTTTATCTCTATCGTTTCATAGAAGTGTTGGTTCTGAACATGTCAAGATAGTCAACACATACTTATCCGAAATACAAAGATGAGACAACGGGTAAATATTTGTCCAGCATTTAGCAGCTTCAACTCAGTTGCGTTCAAATAACGAGCAGCCTAACAATATGGAAATGAAAGTACTTGATATCCATACGATATGCAATCCATAGATCGTAAAATCACTCTACTACAGTTGAAGAAAAATGCAAATGCAATAGTTCCTAGTGTCGTCATGATGAAAAAGAGAACTGTTGTAATGACTAGTGTAATAGCGATAGCTTGATGATGATGTGTAAACTGAGCAGAAAGAAAAAGATCAAGATGCTTGCAATAATGATGAAAACATGTTTCGAATCATTGAATCATGTTCGATGAAGTCGAGTTAATGTTAAGTATTGATCAAGACAAATGAATATATACGCGACCAAACTGACACTTGTGATGCAAAATAGTTGAGAAAGAAAAAGAAACTTTCAGACACCGAGTGATGTTCTCTGAAGGTAAAAGCCATAAATTGGATAAACATAATTATCAAAGTTCCATCCGTATAACGTGATAATGTCGAATCAGTCTGACTTTTCTTTCTCGAAATTTCGATCGACGAAGAGTGATAAACGTTAGTGAATTCACCGATGTACCAAAAATGACCAAAGCAAGCGAAAAATAAGACACGATAAGAGTCTCTACTGATCGTGTACTGCTTTTCGCTGTTGTCGTATTACTCGTAGACATGATGTGAAGAAGAATTGATTGTAAATCAGAGCGATAAGAGTAGAAAAGGAAGGGATTAGTATTAGTTTGAAAAAAGTACTTGTTTTTCTTTTAATTGATCATCTTTGAGATATACGAACAGGCATTTGTACTATTCTACGTTTTATAATTGTCATGAGACATGGCCCAGCCTAATAGATAATCTTGTCCTATTTGCTGACTTACCGATGTCGTGTAAGATTTATAAATCCATATTCACCGTAAACAACCGTTTTCCAACAATGTAAAATCCGTCCGAGGTATTCTCTTTCTTTAACGAGAGAGAATATCTTTAATATATGAATGCTTTTATAAAACGAAGTTAAAGTTCAAAAGAATTTTCCTGCATAAGTGCCTGAAAAGAGTTAGTTCTGGTACAAAGGAGCCTATTCTAAGAGGTCTATTTCTGCATCAATGTTCCTAAGAGAGTGAGAGTGTCAAATATATGCATATTATTTGTAAAACAGTCTTCTGTTTGTTTACTTGATTGCGATGATTAGGCAATCTGTAAAAATATTTTCATTATCTGCTTTTCCATAACAGTTTTCGGACGTTACTGACATGTGGAGTTCAATCTCCTCTAGCTACTATGAAAATATTATTAAAAAACCAAGTGATTCTTACAGATTTTTCTCGTTTGTCTGACAGTACCAGGTCTTGGCTACGTCACCAATAGCAAACGTTTCATATAGTTTTATATACTAGATATGAATTCGAATATATCATTAATCTACTTCGATGCAATGATACATTGGATCTTACAGATCTTTTTTCTTAGTGTGTATTTATTAGTTTAACTATCTTCAAGTCGAGCCTATATCAAGTTCGATTCACTGAGATCCGTAATCAAGTCGAACAAAAATCATAAACATCCTATTCTATTACCAATAGAAGATAAATGCCATCTAATTCTTCCTACTACTTGGCCATCTGCTGTGCTTATGCATCCGATACATATGAGCAAATCATTGTATTTAACGTTATAATCGAGGATAAAAATAACAAGCAGAAAACGATGAGAAGTCAATGATATCTTCATCTCAAATTACTCATCTATATAAACACTGACTAAATTATTGGCGGCATATTCATTTGCAAGCCACTCGATCCGTTTCTAAGCATATTCTCAACGATTTGAAATCATGGTGCAAGAAGGGTAAGTTTACTCGAACTTGAACAAGATCTTGTTGAAGTCTTATCTATTGGAATAGGATGGTTCATGATCCTAATGATCCGGAATTTATATCAGCAATGAAATTTCTAGCATTGCCACAGGAAGAAAAGATTAAACTTCGATCGCAACCGTTCGATGCTAAGAAAGCATGTTGGATACCAGATCCAAAAGAGTCGTTCATTGCTGCTGAAATCGAGAGTACTAAAGATGATCAAGTAACATGTAAAACTGGCACAGGAGAAGTAAGGTATTCGTAATTCATTCGAGCGAAACTCGCNATTTCGTTCGTTGTATTATTCCCAACGAAATCAAAACTGGTGGTGTGCTCGATGCCCATCTAGTCATGCATCAATTGACATGTAATGGTGTCCTTGAAGGTATTCGTATTTGTCGAAAAGGCTTTCCCAATCGAATGATCTACTCGGAATTCAAGCAACGGTATTCTATTTTGGCACCGAATGCCATTCCCCAAGGATTTGTCGATGCAAAAAAAGCTACAGAAAGTATCCTGACTTCGATCACTTTGAACGAAGAACTGTATCGTTGCGGTAATACAAAGGTTTTCTTCAAAGCAGGAACATTAGGTCAATTGGAAGATCTACGCGATGCAGCTTTATCGAAAGTGATTTCGTCTTTACAAGCCCGAATACGTGGTTTTATTATGAAACGATCCTATAGGAAAATGTTAGATCAACGCTTAGCATTGTCGGTTTTGCAGCGTAATTGTCGTAAATACTTGTCACTTCGTAATTGGCCATGGTGGAAATTGTATACGAAAGTCAAACCTTTACTGTCGGTCGCACGACAGGAAGAAGAGATGAAGAAACTTGAAGAAGAATTCAAAGCGTTGAGAGAAGCATTGGCGAAAGAAGAAAAGTTGCGAAAAGAAATGGAAGATAGCAATTCGAAACTAGTACGAGGTAAACTAAGGATGTTCGTATTCCAGGGAGATATGTTATCTATTTTGATGGTTGTTCTAGAAAAGAATGATATTTTTCAACAACTAGAATCCGAACGTACTGGATCATCGGAAGCTCAAGAACGATACACTCGTTTAGGTAGGAAAACTCAGTCGTTTTGGCAAAATAGATTTGTCTTTTGTCTTTTTCCAGTGACACAAAAAGCTGATCTTGAGCAACAAATCAAAGATCTAGAAGAACGGTGTACTCAAGAAGAAGAAACTGCCCAGGAGCTGAATAGTAAGAAGAAGAAACTTGAACATGATATTGATGGATTGAAGAAGGATATCGACGATATTCGTTTAAACCTTCAAAAATCGGAAAATGAATGTAAAACACGCGATAATCAAATTCATACCTTACAAGACGAAATTGCTCATCAAGATGAAACGATAGCAAAATTAACACGTGAACGTAAACGTTTAGAAGAGCAAAATGCGAAGACAACCGAGCAATTACAAGGTGAAGAAGATAAAGTCAATCATTTGAACAAAGTCAAAACGAAATTAGAGCAAACGCTCGATGAATTAGAAGATTCGTTAGAACGAGAAAAGAAGGCTCGAGCTGACCTGGATAAGAATAAACGCAAACTCGAAACAGATTTGAAAGCTCTACAGAGCAATCTAGAAGATGTTGAACGATCGAAACGAGAAATAGAGGAGAATCTAAAAAGAAAAGACCAAGAAATTCAGCAGATGGGTGGACGTTTGGATAGCGAACAAGGTCAAGCAGCAAATCTCAGTAAGAAAATCAAAGAATTACAAAGTCGAATGGAAGAGATGGAAGAAGAACTTCAAACAGAAAGACAATTACGGCAAAAAACTGAAAAACAACGAGCTGATTTAACCCGAGAAATGGACGAAATGAACGATCGATTGGAAGAAGCGGGTGGCGCAACGTCGACACAAGTTGAAATGAACAAAAAGCGTGAAGCCGAATTAGGTAAACTTCGGCGAGATTTAGAAGAAGCCAATCTTCAACATGAAGCAACTACAGCCCAATTGAAGAAAAAGCACCAGGATGCTGTCAACGAAATGGGTGAACAGATTGATCAATTGCAAAAGATCAAGAATCGTTTAGAAAAAGAAAAGCAAACGGTGAAATCCGAGGCTGATGATATACGCTCCCAACTTGACCATTCACAAAAAGGTAAACTCGCTGCTGAGAAACTCTCGAAACAATTGGAACAGCAACTAAACGATATCAATAGTAAAATGGAAGAGAACGTTCGCCAATTGAATGATTTAAATCAACAAAAGTCGAAGTTATCGAATGAAAATTCTGATCTCACTCGACAACTTGAAGATGCCGAACATCAAATAGCAGTACTGACAAAGACGAAAACCACGACACAGCAACAGTTGGATGACGCGAAGAGAACATTGGACGATGCATTACGTGGAAAAGGTGCAGCCAGTAAGTGTTCATCGTTTATTTCTTCCAACGGAAGTTCATGAAATTGATGATTTAGATACACAGTTACGTAATTTAACCGCCGATCTTGAACAGGCTCGTGAACAACTTGATGAAGAACAGGAGGCTAAAAGTGAACTTCAAAGACAGGTGACGAAACTGAATTCGGAAGTTCAGCAGTGGAAAGCTCGTTATGAATCCGAAGGTTGATTTTTCATTGTTCTCGTTAATTGATAGATGACTGAATTTATGTTTAGGTGTATCTCGTAGCGAGGAATTAGAAGAAGCGAAACGAAAATTAGCATCGAAGTTGGCTGAAGCCGAAGAACAAGTCGAAGCTGCATTAAACAAATGCAATTCATTGGAGAAAGTCAAAGCGCGACTTCAAGGGGAAGTCGAAGATCTTATGGTCGATGTTGAACGTGCTAATACTAGTCAGTATCTCACATAGTTGATTTTGATCTAAATTTTCATCTTCTAGATGCTTCTTCGATGGATAAGAAACAAAAACAATTCGATAAATTGATCAATGAATGGAGACAAAAGTGCGAAGATATTACAATCGAACTTGAAGAATCACAGAAAGAAGCACGCCACTATTCAACTGAATTATTTAAACTTAAAACCCAATATGAAGAATCTCATGAACAAATCGAAGCACTTCGCAAAGAGAATAAGAATTTAGCAGACGAAATCAAAGTAAAGATATTTATTTCAGACGAAGAAAATCGATTCAACTAGTCTCTTACAGGATCTTCTGGATCAGTTGAGTGATGGTGGAAAGAATGTTCATGAACTTGATAAAGCTCGTAAACGTGCCGAATTAGAAAAGGAAGAACTTCAAGCTGCTTTGGAAGAAGCTGAGTCAGCGCTCGAACAAGAAGAAGCGAAAGTTCTTCGCGCACAAATGGAACTGAGTACAGTTCGTCAAGAAATCGACCGTCGAGTTCATGAAAAAGAAGAAGAATTCGAAAATACAAGACGCAATCATGCACGTGCACTGGAATCCATGCAAGCGAGTCTGGATGCTGAATCACGTGCTAAAGCTGAGGCGTTCAAACAAGTATTTCGCTTTGCAATATCCGTCTTTAGGACACCCTATCTTCTTCTTCTTGTTTTCTTGTAGAAAAAGAAACTTGAAACTGATATCAACGAACTTGAGATTGCACTTGATCATTCGAATCGTATCAATGCCGATACTCAAAAAGCTCTCAAACGGCTTCAACAGCAATTAACAGATCTACAAACGCAAATTGAACTCGAACAACAGCAACGAGATGAAGCACGCGAAGCTGCAGCCGCTGCTGAACGCCGTGCTAACGCTATTAGTGGCGAAGCTGAAGAACTGCATACATCTTTAGAACAAGCTGAACGTGCGCGAAAGGCTGCGGAAATGGAATTGCACGACATTGCTGATCGTATCAGTGATTTAAGTACGCAAAATGCCAATTTAGCATCACAAAAACGGCAATTAGAATCAGCAACAACAGCTATGCAGGCCGACTTGGATGAAGCACTTAGCGAATTGAAGAATAGCGAAGAACAATCGAAGAAAGCCAGTAGGTGTTTGAAAGTAGAGCTCGATGAATTCAAAGTTGTATTATGTTTTTAGGTGCTGATGCTATTCGTCTTGCAGACGAATTACGTCAAGAGCAAGAACATGCCATTCATCTTGACCGATTACGTAAAAGTCTTGAACAACAAATCAAAGATCTTCAAGGACGTCTTGAAGAAACCGAAGGAAACTCACTCAAAGGTGGCAAACGGGTCATTGGTAAACTCGAACAGCGCGTATGTACATTTCTAATGTTTTGATGTTGAATTTGAAAGGTATGATTTGTTTAGATTCATGAATTAGAAAATGAAAATGAACTAGAACAACATCGCCATCAAGAGACCTTGAAAGAACTACGTAAAAATGATCGCCGTTTGAAAGATTTAGCCTTTCAAGCAGAAGAAGATCGAAAAAATCATCTGCGTTTACAAGATCTCAACGACAAACTACAAGCTAAAATCAAAGTCTATAAACGTCAAGTTGAAGAAGCTGGTAGGTCGTTTACGATATCTATTATAACATTTAAAACATGTTTGATTTCGTTTCAGAGGAAATTGCTGCTGTCAATTTGGCAAAATACCGCAAAGTTCAAACTGAACTGGGTAAGTGGTTACCAATTCGAGAATAATAATTAGGAAATGAGATGCTCTGTTGTAGAGGATTCAGCTGAGCGAGCGGACATGGCGGAAAATCAACTGGGCAAATTACGAGCTAAAAATCGATCTTCTGTTAGTCTGAGTCGCACATCTCCGGCAGTAAGTAGAATTGCTAGAAAAAAAGAAGAAAAGTATCATGAAAATAATGTCTTTTTCTAGCGTGAAATGCGCGAATCAACTGTCAATTATCGGGCTGCATCAACCGTACGTGCTACATCAGTTCGTCCACGTTAAAAGCTTCAGATGCCGATATGAACATTGTTTTTTGTCTAGCCAATTCAGTGTGTTTGTCTTTTCCTCTATTAAGAACTGTGTAGTTATTCACGTAATATCATAGTTTGTTTTATTTTGCTGCACTTTAAATAAATAAAATATATTTGTATGATCACTCATTATAATCACGAGTGCTATATCAGGACTGAGAACTCTTGACCTCGTATGAAACAGTCGAATGCTCAATTTACATCCTACGCTGTTATTTGATTTGTCATAGTTATATTTCATTGTTCAGTTTTCTTCGTACATACATTTCCACTTCATTATCAATCAATCTATCGAATACGCCTTTTTTAATGACTTTCATTGATGAACGTTATTCTGTTCGTTGACATTTATCACATTGACATATTCAATTGATTTGAACATGGGTGCCTTTCGTCATAGTAAGAATTTCTGCCAATATAAAATTTTGTATTCTAATACTGCGCTTTTCTGTCTGTACTAAGTAAGAAATAAAGCTGCTAGAAATCGAGCTCGATTCACAATTGTTTCCATATCACTCGAACATCGCGTACTGCCAATAAATGGCTACGACTATTTCATCGATCGAATACTAGGCCACGGTTCATTCGGAGCTGTTTATGCAGCACGACGATCTATTGATGGTGAGTGAAACTTATTCCATCCTATTCATTGCTTGATGGCATTTGAATCATTGTAGACAGTCCAGTGGCTATCAAAGTCATTTCGTTAGCAACGAGAAATAATGCACTATCCGTGCAGAATTCCGAAGCTGTTCTCAATGAAATTCGAATGGCCAGACGATTAGCGCAGACATCGGATCATATTATTCATATGTACGATTTCGATTTCCATTTTCAAACTGGCCTATCTTTTATTGTAATGGAACTTGGCCAACAAGATCTGGAGAAATATCTTTCACAACGACTGGTAATGCCACCGTTAGAAAGAAAAGCGATATGGCAACAGTTAGTTGATATCGCTGTTACACTGGAAATGAATCTAATTGTAATTTGAGTATTTTTTTTTCTCTCACAACAATCACACGATTCCTTTTACCTTATAGGTACATTTCGATATTAAACCACAAAATCTTGTCATGTTTCCAGATGGAACCGTCAAATTGGTCGATATGGGCATTGCACAGAAAGCATACGGGAGAAGGTAATCATTCATGATTAAACCACATCTTCAATATCAGTTTGCTTAGAATGGGACCCAATGGCAGTGCGCCATACTCAGCACCCGAAGTAACGCTCATACCACAACATCACATAACGTTGAATACATCAAAAGCTGATGTCTGGTCATGGGGAGCGGTGCTTTATCGTATGACGTATATGGCACCACCTGATTATCATGAACCATGTTATCGTCCACCGTTAAATCAACATCAAACACGTGATCTACATCTTCACGATATACTTCGACACACACTTGTTCTTGATTCCCAACAGAGACCGAATGCATTTTGGTTTCTGACACATCCTTACACTTTATTGCCTTAGAAAAATCGACTTGTGTGTTTTAAGACTGTTCGCATAGGAATTTCAGAGTTCATTTTCTCCTTTGCTGAATTTTTGTACTTCAATGTCATTATGAATCGTTGTGTCTATCATTCGTTCCATAACTTCTTGGACAATATAACTCGAACATTTTAATTATACGTCACTATGAAAACTTTGCTTTCTGATCATTTATCACAAGAACATGATTCACAAATTATCAACACTTGTCATTTTTCATTAACATTTACAGAAATAACATGTTTTTCTATCTTCATCGGTAGGTTCTACATGCGTGTAATGCCAATTACTTGCTCATAACATATGTTACTATCGCATATTCTTTCTGGCACTTCTTTGTATCGCGTTCCAACAACATTATTTGATTTCTATTTTAAAATACGTATATAAAGTTATCGTCGACAATGTGCCCACGCCATTTCGGTAAGAAAATTCGACAAATTCGCCAGTTATCTATTCTCGATTAGATTTCTCTCCGAGAAAAAGAAGAAAACATCCAGCGTATCGTCATCGAGACGATAAAGCATTATTAGATATGGCGAAGCAATCGTGGACGATACACAAAAGACAATATATATTTGAAAGGTATCTGGGCAATGGTTCGTTCGGTTTCGTTTATGCAGCTCATCGACAACCGGATAGTAATTGATTTGTTTTTAATGAACGCTCCTTTCCCTAGCCGAACTTTTCTTCGACTGTTTAGATCGACTAGTGGCTGTGAAGGTTGTATCTTTGAATTCGGAGAATCCTGACCGAGCGCGTCGAAATTCTGAATCTGTTGTCAATGAATTTCAAAAAGCAAGAGAATTAACGAAAACGACAGATCATATCGTACGTATGTTTGATGTTGATTTTGATCCTCAACTAGGTGTCGCGTATTTGGTTATGGAACTTGGCCAACAAGATTTCGAAAAATATCTCGCACAACGGCCTTACCTTTTGCCAGCAACGAGAAAACATATTTGGCGACAGTTAATGGAAATTGCCGTCACTCTTCATCGTGCACAAATCGTAATTGTTTTCTATTTTTGGTGCATTACTTCGTTTAATTGCTTCTATAAATAGGTGCATCGAGATATTAAACCATTAAATCTCATTATGTTTCCCGGTGATGTGATCAAACTAGGCGATCTTGGAATTGCTAAACGTGTCCTACAAATGTAATGTTCAGACAAGAAAAAGCAAACATCATGCATAATCATTGTTTTATTTAGAACTGAACGAACTGGTAGTCGGCCATACTCAGCACCTGAAGTCACATCTGCTCAAGGATCTACGGTGTTGACCACAAAGACAGATGTTTGGTCTTATGGTGCGGTACTCTATCGTATGACATACATGGCTCGTCCTCCACTTGATGAACCATATCATCGTCCTCCTGTGGATCGGCGTATGTCGCACGATCCAAATCTTCTAGATGTTCTTCGACATACACTCGTGAAGACTCCCGAAGATCGAGCTAGTGTTGCATGGTTAGCCAAGCATACGTATACAACAACAAATTAGTTATTTGTAAACTGGAAAAACAGACAATCTTACACACATATATTCGAACATTTTCGTCGTAATTTTTCTTTTTCATATGCATCAATGGATAGAACTTAGATTGTTTTCTTTTCGTTCGTTATTTATATTAAGTGATTCAATCGGATATTTAGATGCATTCCGAAATAATAAAAATCTCTACGACATTCATATACAAATTAATTTTCTTCCATACACAAACAACAACTGGACAAGTTAATTGAAATCGTTACATGTATTGCTAGTTATAAAACAAACACAGTACTTCGTTCAACTTTTCACCTCATTATTACGTTTACACGTAGGTCACAATTACATGGAAATATTTCTTGAACAAAACGATTCTGTGTTCTATCGATAATAATTAGCAGACGACTCTTTTTTTTTCGAAAGTTAAAATTACTGAAACTGTATATTGTCAAGGTGTAGTTATTTTTCGCCTCATCAATTCGAACTGCATATTGCATGAAGTTACCAAATTCACAATAGCATGATTTGTGCTTGTTTTTGTTCACTCATCAGTTGACCGATTACTCATACGCTCCCGTTTGTTAAAAAACCTCCTCATTTTCTTTCAACTACTCATTCTGACAAGATCATGGTTGGAAAAAAATTGTATATAAGGTTTTGTTTTACACCATAAAAAAAGAAGCCTCGTCTTCTCCTTCTCTCATCACTTACAATGTATTTTCCGAACATGATGTACACGATTGGATACAGTAAGCGTTGAAACTAATGCGAATAACCTCTGATCTGTTCATGTATGATATAGATGATGGATCTCGTCAAAATGCCACATACCCAGTGGCAAAAATGGAAGGCGAGGTGTGGTTGATATTTAATGAAAAATATACGATTGGCAAACATATCGGAGACGGTGGATTTGGTTTTGTCTATGCAGCGCAGCGCGATAGTGATCGTAGGTTGCTTTTTAATTTTCCGAATCGTCAGACAAGGTAGTCGGATTGTTTAGGCAAACCTGTCGCTATTAAAGTTGTGACAGTCGCATCTGGATTGGGTGAAGCTGCGCGTCAAAATTCGGAATCTGTTCTCAATGAATTTCAAAAGTCCAGAGAACTGTCTAGGTTGACACATCAAATAGTTCATATGTTTTCTGTTGATTTCAATGCTCAATATGGACTGGCATTTCTTGTTATGGAACTTGGTCAACAAGATTTCGAAAAATACCTTCGACAAAAACAGATACTTTCACCTTTGCAAAGAAAACTACTCTGGAGACAACTGGTAAACATCGCTTTAATTCTTCGTCATTCAAAAATCGTAATAGCTCGTTGTTGAATGTGAGAAAACCCTGCAAATACGTTCTTTCCTCTCTTTTTTCACATAGGTACACCGAGATATTAAACCAGAGAATCTGATCGTATTTCCTGGTGATCTTATCAAACTCAGCGATCTCGGTATCGCTAAACGAGTTCTACAAAAGTAAGTTTTGTCAATCAGAGTTTAACAAATTCTTTCTGCTACAATAATTTAGGACGAGTCCAATTGGGAGTCCACCTTATTCGGCGCCTGAAGTAACATCACCCATGTCCTCCTACATGTCACTCACAACAAGAGCAGATGTTTGGTCGTGGGGTGCCATACTTTATCGTATGACTTACATGGTTCCACCTGACTATAATCTTCTATCTCGTCCTCCCTCGTTTAATCAAAACGCATCGTCTGATCCTTTACTTTTAGATGTTCTCCGCCATACGTTAGTGACGGATCCTTGGAAAAGAGCTGATGTGAGATGGCTTGCTATACATCCATATACAAATACACTATAGAAGCCAAGTTAATTAGAAATATGTTGCGTCTAATACTTATTCTCATGAATATTGTCAATTTTTGTCTTTTTTTTCACGGGAAAAACGTCTATTTCTATAGTAAATGTCATAAATCGACACAAAAAAACGTGCTTCTACTCATGACGTATATCCTCAACCATTAAATTACATGTTTACCTTTCAATATCTATCACTGCATCATTATCTATTAATATTTTTCATAACCTTTTTACCTTTCAACAAACATGATCGTGTCTTCGATGTACATACAACCATATGTGACACCTTACAGCTTCTGTACGTATCAAAGAAATTTTTGCTTTTTTTTCTCAGCCAATTTCATATTTTCGAAAAGTAGATTACGTTCCACAGAATCCAAATGATCAACGACCTTATGCTTATCGATCGGTACCTATGGAACATCATGTAGTATCGATTCACAAACAGACGTATATTTTCGATAGAAAACTTGCAACAAGGAGGTTTAGTTCCGTCTATACTGCACGTCGACGTGTCGATAGTAAATATAATTCATCGCTTTCTTGAATCTCGAAATCTATTTGATTGCTTTATTAAGATAAACCAGTGGCTATCAAAGTTTTCTCATTCGTAGGTCATAACAATAGGGAAGTATCGATGATCGCCCAGTCGTTTATGAACGAAATTCGAATGACTAGGCATTTAGTTGGCCAATCGAATCATATTATATACTCACATGATTTCGATTTTCATAATACAGGTCTGTCTTTCATTGTAATGGAACTGGGCCAGCAAGATCTGGAGAAATATCTTTCACAACGATCGACAATATCATCGACAGAAAGGAAGGTGATATGGAGACAATTAGTCGCTATTGCTACTGTGCTTCACAACTCTCAAATAGTAATGGACGTTTTTAGTCACGTATCTGGAAATATGTCATTGTTTCTCGTAGATACATTTGAATATTTCACCCGATAATCTCATTGTGTTCTATGGAAATCTCATAAAATTAACCGACTTTGGCATGGCGCAAAAAGTAAACGAACCGGGGTAGGATTTATCAATCATCTCTGCAATTTGAATTTAATGTTTACATGTTTAGAACTATTACACATGGTACTCCGCCTTACTCTGCTCCCGAGCTGACCATTGTTTCGAGACATAATGTGCCAAATATCACAAGCAAGGCAGACATCTGGTCGTTGGGCGCGATTCTTTATCGCATGACTTATATGACACCGCCTGATTACATTGAACCATGCCATCGCCCTCTGCCGCATCAAAATCCAGTACAAGATTCGCATCTTCTCAGTGTGCTTCGTCATACACTTTTGATCGATGCAAGAGATCGAGCGGATGCGTCCTGGTTAACAAAACATCCTTACACAACGACCACGTAGACAATCGACTGTTTTTTTCCTTCATTTCAACTGTTTTATTTACTAACCTAATCGGCGAATATCCAACTTCATGCTTTCATATGAAAATTTAACATTTCAGTTAATAACAATACTCTTTCAAAATTCTCACTATCATTGTTTGTTAATAACACACGTGTTTCAAAGATAAACCATCATCAGTTGATAACTAATCTATGTAATGCAGTTGACGAGTTAAGGCACCAAAAGAAAGACACAAAACAAACGAAATAACGATGTTTCAAAACTGCAAAAAACTATTGCGCTTTGAAAATTTCATCTACGGAAATGGCCCATCGGGTAACTCATCATGTCCATCAACACCGGCTAAGTGGTGTGTTAATGATTACGATGGCTCATCATTCTGTATTGATAATCCTGCATTACTTCCGACTTGCATTTTGGCCTTATTAATCGGTTTATATTGTTCGAAACGTATCCATTCATTACCAGGCAAATTTCCGACTCGATACTACTATCAATTAACATTTTTCCTCTACGGAATTATGATGACATCCGCTGGCATATTACATTGCTTTTTAGACGACAAACAGAAACTATCGACTATTCTTCGAAGTACAAATGGGAATTCCATGGATTTTATTCAATTAGTTGTCACAGTAATTGATGTTGGATTAACTTCAAATATTGCTGTTAGTTTCATGTTCTGCGGTCTATGCGATATCAAGCTTTTAAACCCTCAATCGGCAGTCACCAGTTGTTTACTATTCTTGTCGTATCTGATTGTCTTTCTCCTCTGGACTCTCGGTCTTATTAATCAATGGAATTGGATTTTCAACGTTCTATACCTTGGTATTGTTGCCGTTTGCTGTTTTATTTTTCTTCTGACGCAATTATGCTTGAAGAAAAATCGTCGTGCTCTACCAGCACTTTTCGTTGGAGGATTATATGGTGCAATTGGTTTACTCGCCACAACTTATGGCGCAGAACACATATGTACATCTGAAGGTCCATTTTGGTCGCAATATTTTGGTCCTGAATTCATCTGGTTTCTCTTTTCGGATATCAGTGTGGCATTTGTTTTTATTTATGTAACTCGTGCGAATCAAGAAAAGAAAACGGTTATTCAGAAATATCCAATTGATATTGAAACACTTCCTGAAAAATTCTAACTTTGTCTTGACGTTTTATTTCACTTATGATTGAATGAATAATAAACATCTTGATTCTTTACCTTGTAACAAACTAAACAGATGTCACTTACATGAATATTCTAATGATCAAATCTGCTTTGAATGAATGATGATGTTCATTTTTATTCTTTCCTCCTTCCTCCCATAGGAGAGATATGTGTACTGTACTGTTCACGATTTATGATTGATCGATTGGTTCATCGATTGAACAAATAGAAAACATTTCATCTCGTTCTTCTTCCTTCTTTCCCTCCTTCTCGCTGATGTTCTTTGTTCGAATAAACTGTGGATCGGTTGTCTTATTTCTGGGATCAACTTAGTGTTGGTAATCAACAAATCTGCACATGTACTACCAGATGTCCACAATGAATGAACAGCGGCCACCACCGCCGCCTGTCCGTATCGATTCCATCACAGGGTAAACGCTCGCATTTTTACCCAATTTTTATATCTCTCTCTATTTCTATAAGGTCAACATCGAGTCTTGAAACTAAACCACTTCCTCGTGTACCAGATGATGATCTTAACAAAAAGAAAAAGACGAATAGTAAAGGTAAGACTAGACGAAGAAGAATCATTTCAATACACTCGTTTGATTTAGATTGGACAAAAAAAGATCCAGCTAAACTAACGATCTCTCGTCCGACAAACTTCAACCATCCTATTCATGTTACTTACAATCCATCGACGGGAGAATTCGACGGCATGCCAGATATTTGGTCAAGTTTATTACAACATTCGAAAATTACCAAACAAGAGCAAAAGCAGAATCCTCAAGCTGTCATTCATGCATTGGATTTTTATCAACATGCAGCACAGAAACGCGAATCGAAATTCATGTATTCATCTTACAAAAGTAGGACTATTTCTCATCTGTGATTTATTGTTCGATTTTCTGAACTTCTCTAGATTTAACACCACCAATTTCTGGCGATCTAGCTGATCGATTTCGCCAAACAGTCATTCTTGTTTCTGATGGGCCATCATCTGTAAATAAATCGAACCATCACAGTTTTCTCTCTACATGCTGTGCTTTACTTTTAGTCACAACGACAAAATTCGAAAGTCTACGATAACGATCAAATGCCACCACCAATTGCAGCACGACCGGAGAAAACCAAGAGCATTGTGAGTATTCCTTGGGTAATCGAATCGAATGTATTCAGCGGTCATTGTTGTTTCAGTACACAAAACCAATTGATGATGAGAATAATAAATCTCCTCAAACCAATAGTGATAAAGCAAAACGCAAACAATTAAGTGATGAAGAAATCTATACGAAACTACGATTAATTGTCTCGCATGGTGATCCAATACGAAAATACAAGAGTAAAGATAAAATCGGACAAGGGTATGATCGAATTTGAACGAAGACAACATTGTGAAGATATTTATTTCTGTTGTAGTGCGAGCGGAACAGTACTATTAGCATTTGAATTATCTACAGGTGAAGAAGTTGCGATTAAACAAATGAATCTTGCTAATCAACCGAAAAAAGAGCTAATCATCAATGAAATTGCCGTTATGAAACATAATCGACATATAAATATTGTCAACTATAAGGACTCATACTTAGTTGATGAAGAACTTTGGGTGAGTTCTGTTGTGTTGGTCTATCAATATCATCTGTTATTTAAAATGAAGGTTGTCATGGAATATCTTCCGGGTGGATCGTTGACTGATGTTGTCACGGAAACAATTATGGAAGAAGGTCACATCGCTGCTGTATGTCGAGAAGTGTTACAAGCATTGGAATTCCTTCATAAAAATCATGTCATTCATCGAGATATAAAAAGTGATAACATTCTACTGGGATTGGAAGGCAATGTTAGTAAGTATTGAAAGATCCATTAGAAATGATTAATGGACTTGATCGAAAATCATTCGTGGTAATGTTATTTTAGAATTAACTGATTTTGGCTTCTGTGCACAAATCACTCAGGATCAAACAAAACGACAAACAATGGTTGGAACACCGTATTGGTAAGTGAAGAAGATTATGTATGTAACTGAATGATATCATTTTCGTATAGGATGGCACCGGAAGTAGTAACACGAAAACAGTATGGACCGAAAGTAGATATTTGTAAGTTGGGTGAAGATTCTATTCGGCAGTGAAAGATATATTCAATTGATTCTAGGGAGTTTGGGAATTATGGCTATCGAAATGATCGAAGGAGAACCACCGTATTTGAATGAGAGTCCATTAAGAGTAAGTTCATATTTGTTTATGTTGGATTCGATCTTCCATTTCGATCTTAGGCTCTCTATTTAATCGCTACCAATGGTAAACCAGAGATTGTCGGTCGTGAAAAGCTCTCACCTTTGTTCGAAGATTTTCTTGATCAATGTCTTGAAGTTGATGTTGACAAGCGTGCAACTGCTTCCCAACTTCTTCAAGTATGTATTCGAATTCTCGTTTCTTCAACTCATTTCGACAAATTTTCTCTTCTAGCATCCATTTCTGAAAATGGCGAAACCATTACTAAGTCTTGTACCACTGATAAATGCAGCACGTGAAAGCATCAAACGTAATACATAATCATATTGATAGCCGAGTGTCAGATCTATCTGTTCGTTCTACTTCTTTCTATTTATTCTGTATTTTCTCTCTTTTGTTGCTAATTAAACAATCATATTCATATCTCTCATGGAATTCATATGTTTTTCTTTGTTTGTGCGATGTTTGTTATGTTGTTATATCGTATGCTAATACTTTCGTTTGCGTGGAAGATAATTATCTGTATATGTAATAAATGAAGAAAAAAAACGCTAAAAATAGCTGTTAATTATTGACATAGATAGCGATGCATTATTCACATAGTTTCGTTGCCGAACATCTGACATGTTACTGATCATTGTTCGATAATTTCGAGTAACAACTGTTGTGAATTAGTAACTAAGGTGAAATTGTCGCGTTCTGTTACTTATTCTCGGTTTTCTCTTTGTTTAATTGTTTGAAAGCATCGCCATGTAGTTCCTATAATGTGTTCGTATTCTTAACTATTTTCGTTAGTGCAGAAAACTGAGAATGGATGCTTGTCTTCGTCCACGATTAAAAACAGCCTATCATTGCAGACGAAATCAAGATTACGAAACAACATATAAACGTACATTCAGTGCGAAAAGACCGGCCCGTATTGTCGAAGGTGCACCACTAAGTCAACGCTATTTAATTGGTTGCCCTTTCAATCTTGCGGATCCTGTAGGTGAATCTATCTACATGGTGGACTTTACTGGAAAGAAGAGTAAGGATCCGAACCTATCCTTTCATCAAAGCACGAATATACTCGAACCATGTGATTCTCAATTTCTCCAACGGTCAGAAAGTTGCAACAATATGACATCGAATGAAATAAAACAAGCGTTAAGAAATCAATTAGATTCAACATATCAAGTAGACTATACCGGTAACAATTCTTTCAATCTTCCTTTTCAACGATATCTCACTTGACGGTTTCTTTGTTTAATGTTGTCAAGGATCGCCTCAAGGATTCAAGCTTCCTTTGGCTTATACTCGTTCGCGTCCATTCTGGCGTAATCAAGTTCCACATACACTTGATAGCGAATATCGAAATCATTTTCAAAATCATCCTCACGTATCCATGCATTTCGGTGGACGATTCGCCTATACGAATCGAGTACCAGCTGATGCGATCGTTCCTCAAACATTACCGACATGGAAGAAAAAGCCTTTACACTCGATTTACACATGTGAAATCGGTCAAAAGGCACCATCAGATCGATATATGAAAGAGTTCGTTGATTCATTCGGTGCTCCGACAAACTAAGATTCGAACTCGATTACAGAACCACGTTGAATTAGAAACAAAATAAAAGAAATAATCGTCACGCTGTATCATTGTCTTTAAAAAAAGATGTTCTAAAGTCCGTTTGTAAAAGACATCTATCGTTAACTGAGTCACAGAATATATGAGTTACCAATCAGCTCGTTTGCTTCGTGTGAATACGTATGCATGTTCTTTTATTAGGAGAGTGTTAAAAACAGACGATTGCTGGATAGTTTCTGCTTGCCGACAACGAACATGAGCACGACTCCTCGGAGAAAAGTAAGTCTTTGGCATTGCGATAAATGCAATCGTAAGATTTTCCACGGTGAACTTCGTTATAACTGTACAGTTTGCTATGATTATGATCATTGTGAGAATTGCGCAACGAATTCGAATTCATCACATCCACATCAATTGGTTCCTGAATTTGCCTATGGTACTGCAAAGGAGCATAAATCCCATAGAGAGGATATAAAAGATGTAGCAGATCTACTCCAAACAGCCATGGTCATCTACCATGATCGCCATTGTCTGGGCACACGAGACAGAGATCAGGATGATCCTTCTATCTATAAAGATTCTTATTCTTGGCTCACTTTCAAGACCATCGGTGACCGAGCTAAAAATTTTGGACACGGTCTCAGACAACTCATCAATCCTCGACAGTACCTTGCAATCTGTGCTGCTAACCGACCCGAATGGGTCATCGCTGATTTTGCATGTGTCTTTCAAAGTATTATCAGTGTACCAATCTACACACTTTTTACTGATCGTGAGATGATATATGTACTTAACAATACGAAAATCTCAGTGATAGTTTGTGATGGAGAGATGTTGTCGAGATTCGTTGGTATTCGATCAGAATGTCCAAGTGTCGAACATATCGTGTGCATGGATCCAGTTCCAGATCAACTAAGGAGTAAGAGCCAACAAGAATTACATATGTACACTAAAATTTGAAATAGATAAAGAAGGTAATCCATCGATTCATTGGATGAACAAAATCGAAGACGATGGCCTAGCGTCTAAGGACACTTATGTTGCTACTGAACCTGACGATTGTTTCACAATTTTCTACACAAGCGGTAGTTCGGGCTTCCCAAAAGGTGCTATTATCTCACATAAAGTTGTATTTGCCTCAGTCCCACACAGACTTCCATCGGCAGCATCCGATTCTATTCATTTCTCTTATCGGCCGTTGGCTTGGGCAAGTGATCGTGACGCAGTTATCACCACGTTTCTATCCGGAGGTCGAACTGGATTCTGGACAGGAGACCCGTCTCGACTGATGGAAGAACTATGGCTAGTGCGACCTTGCGAATTTGGCGCGTCCCCAGCTATCTGGAACAAGATCTATACCGAATTTAAAACTGCTCTTTCACTTCAGACCGTTAACTTTTCGCCCGAAGCGATTGCTAATGAGGAACAACGTCTTCTCCAGCAATTTTCCAAGCTCATACCGACCCGATGCAGATATCTTACTACTGGTGGCGCTTCAGTCAGTCCAGCGGTGTTAGATTTTATGAAACGTTGTTTCACACAATGTATTGTTAACGAATCATACGGTACAACGGAATGTGGAAGTGTTACATTCAATAATGTCACTGACGATAACCTTCAGTTTCGCCTCGAATCTGTTCCCGATATGAACTACACAATTAATGATCAGCCATATCCCCGTGGTGAACTTCTTGTGAAGACAAACCAAATGTTCTCAGGATACATCAACAATCCAGATGAAACGAAGGCTGCCCTTACCGAAGATGGCTTCTTTCGAACTGGTGACATTGTCGAACTACAAGGAAATCAAGGATCCCAGCTTACTATACACATTATCGACAGAAAGAAGAACTTCTTCAAGCTTTCTCAAGGTCAGTTTGTCTCACCTGAATATTTGCAGAGCATCTATATTCAAAGTCCTTTCGTCGAACAAATCTATATTCATGGTGATCTACTCTCACACTCCGTTTCTGCTGTCATCGTTCCCAATCTACAATATGCACAGTCATTTGCACAGCAACATCACCTGCCATTGCCACTTNTTACTATACACATTATCGACAGAAAGAAGAACTTCTTCAAGCTTTCTCAAGGTCAGTTTGTCTCACCTGAATATTTGCAGAGCATCTATATTCAAAGTCCTTTCGTCGAACAAATCTATATTCATGGTGATCTACTCTCACACTCCGTTTCTGCTGTCATCGTTCCCAATCTACAATATGCACAGTCATTTGCACAGCAACATCACCTGCCATTGCCACTTGATTTCGATCTCGATCATCCTCATCCACTCTTCTATCAAGCCATACAACAAGATCTCCAGTCTATCGCCAAAAAAGAAGCACTGCGAACACACGAGATTCCATCTCACATCGTCATCGACTTTCATCCATTCACACCAGAAAACGGCCTACTCACTTCGACATACAAACTCTGTCGACACAAAATAGCTGTACACTATGCTCAACAGCTAGCCAACAAACACAACACGATCGAACAACAACTCAGGTCCATCATCGAAACTGTCACCCAACAGAACATCGCCTTCACCGACGATCAACATTCCAATTCGATTCTCATGTCGGGCGCTGACTCATTATCAGCTATTCGTCTCTCTCGCATGATCGAACATGATCTTGGAGTAACCATTCCCACGAATGTCCTGTTCGACCCACAGATGACTCTTGCTCAACTCACATCTCTCATTCAACATCCTTCGCAACTCGCTTCATTGTCACACTCCATCGCTCCACAACTGACGCGGGATGCAAATGCCGATCTCAACATTGTTGTCCATGGTCACAAATCTACTTTATCGTCTCATCCATCGGTGATCTTCATCACTGGTACTACTGGTTTCGTTGGCGCTTTCCTTCTGGCTGAACTGCTACGAGTGTATCCATCGACAAGTCGATTTGTTTGTCTTGTTCGATGTACAGATGGTACGAGTGATGTCGTGGACCGAGTTCGACAGAATCTGTCATTCTACCAGATATGGAAAGATGAGTATGAACATCGGATCAGTGCAGTGCGAGGTGATCTATCGAAGTGTCGACTTGGCATCGTCGATGAGCATGAGTACAATCGTCTGGCCAGTGAAGTGGATGTCATCTATCATTGTGGTGCAACAGTGAACTTTGTTCTGCCATATCATCTCCTGTATGGAGCAAATGTGAACGGAACTCGAGAGATCATTCGATTGGCCACACATCATTCTGATGCTTGTATTCCGATTCATTATATCTCGACGATCAGTGTTGTCGGACGAGGTAGTGAAGCAGGCGCAGACGAGTTGGTGGGTGGATATGCACAGAGCAAATGGGTGGCCGAAAAGATGGTGAGTGGAGCGATAAAATGTGGTGTTCGAGCAGTGATCTATCGTTTGGGATTGATGTGTGCAGATAGTGAGAATGGTGGATGTAATGTTCATGATGTTTACACGATGTTATTTCGTGAGATGATGAAGATGAAGTGTTATAGGAAGAGCTGGCATGGTGGTCGAATGAGTGGATTGCCAGTTGATTGTGCAATGCGAAGTGTGGTGTGTTTGAGTGATGGCGAGAGAAGTAGTTGGGGAAGTACACATGATGTTATGGATGCGGAAAGCGAAGTGATGTTCGAAGAGGTGGTGAGTGGAATGGAAGCATGTGGAATCAAGATGGAAGGTGTATCGGATGATGAATGGAAAAGAAGA